GGAAAATCAGGGCAGAGAAAAGGAAAATAACTTATTCACACAGCACACGGTTAACCTCTGGAACTCCCTGCCACAAGGGGCAGCGATGGCCACCAACTTGGATGGCTTTAGAAAAGGATTAGGCAAATTCATGCAAGGGTAGAGGACTATTGATGGCTTCTGGCCAGGTTGGGACAGCAAGGCTTCTGAGCACCTGTTGCAGAGAAACATTTATCTATTTTATCATGTCTGTCTGTTTGTTACTAGATATTTATATTCCACCTTTTTCTCCCTGGTCCTAAAGGTAAAGGGACCCCTGACCATTAGGTCCAGTTGTGGCCGACTCTGGGGTTGCGGCGCTCATCTTGCTTTACTGGCCAAGGGAGCCGGCGTACAGCTTCCGGGTCATGTGGCCAGCATGACTAAGCCTCTTCTGGCGAACCAGAGCAGCGCACGGAAACGCCATTTACCTTCCCGCCGGAGCGGTACCTATTTATCTACTTGCACTTTGACGTGCTTTCGAACCGCTAGGTTGGCAGGAGCAGGGACCGAGCAACGGGAGCTCACCCCGTTGCAGGGATTCGAACCACCTTCTGATTGGCAAGTCCTAGGTCCTGTGGTTCAACCCACAGCACCACCCGCGTCCCACTCCCTAGTCCTAGTCCTCATTTAATCCCCACAACAGCCCTGTGAGGTAGGCAGGCAGGCAGGAAGGGCTGAGAAAGGCAGGGACCCGGGGTCCCGCCCTGCAAGAGTGATGCAAAAACCTGGTCGACACGCAGAGAAACTCTCCACATGCCAAGTTATCTCGGCTCGTGTCTCCTAAGGCAGCCGGTGCCTGAGCTGAGCTGCATCGTCGCCGGCAAACTGCCCCGCAATAGCGAGATGTGCAAAACCGAAGCAGGCTTGCCCCATGCGGAATTGGGGATGTAGCGGAAGCCAGAACCGGGAAGTGCAAAACGTTATGCAGGCCTCAAAAAAAAACCAGAGTGGCTGTCAAATGAGTTGGCCTGAAGGAGTCCGCAGCCCATTTATAACTGGGGCTGAAAGTTTATTTTTGCAGGGTGCCAGCGAAGTAACCATGGGCACCCCAAGGAAGGGGTCTTAAGATCTTGGGGGATATGAGAAGGGGGGTCTTCTCAGGGCATTGTCAGATTGTGCAAGGCGGTAAGTAACCAAACAATTAAACCCCTGTGTTGCAAACAATTATCAATAATATCCAAGGCAACACGACCGAGTACAACAATGCAATGTCGATACAAACTCTTTATATAATCTATACAGAACATTGAACGGTATGAAATATATGAAATATGCACTCTCTGCAAAACCAAATAAACAGAAATCTTAGAAATCTCTTGTGCACTCTTGATGGGTTCTTTTGAAAACACAGAACCCAATAAACATAAAAGTCTCTGAAAGTCTTTGTAGACTATGCAAGTCTCTGAAAGAAGCAATGGGTCCGATTCTTATCTGGTTGAAAACAAGCCGTAAAGATGGCGCAAGGCAGCAGAGGATGGGAGCCGCCTGCCAGGGATGCCTGAGATTGCAGGGGGTGGGACTAGATGACCTTCAGAGGGCCCTTCCGACACTTATATGATTTTCTCCGAGTGGATAAAACAGCTCAGAGCTGTCTCCCCGGGGCAGGAGGAGAGGCTGGGGCTGAGGCACACTTTCCACAGCGGTGTCTCAACCGGGGGGAAGTACAGAAAGGGAACTTTGGACCGTCGTCGATTGCGCCCAGTTCCTCATTGAAAGTGGTGGGGGAAACGGCAGAGGCTCACGGCTGAATCAGCATCCCACGGGCCTGGGCAGCCTCCGCCAACCTGGTGCCCTCCGTCCCCCCACCAGCCCCAACTGGCAGGGGCAGATGTCAATCATCGAAGTCCAACCCTGGCCGTCTGGAGGGTGCTAGGACAGCAAAAGCTGGTGCAAACGAAGTGACTTAAATTTGCTTTTTTAAAAAAAGCAGGCGGGAGTAGACAGATTTCACAGAGGAGTAAAGATCTATCGCTACACATGATAGCTAAATGGAGCCTCCAGGCTCAGTGGCGCTCTACCTCTCCAGAACAGGACAAAGAACCGGGAACCAGAAGCAACCGAGGGCAGACATATGGGTTTTGGGGTTTCATTTCCCCAGCAAAGCTGCCCCAAAGGAAGCGTTGCATTTTGTAGCACTGGAACGGGGTTGGGCTGGATGACCTCTGAAGGGCCCTTTTCACACCGTGAGTCAAGGCTTCCTGCTTCTGCTGCTGCCACCAGCAGATCGCGAACTCTGTGACTCAAGGAGGTCCTTCCCAGCCGGGGTTTCCAAGCCGCTCACACGTCAACCGGCTGGAAAGTCCCTCCCATTGAGAACATCTCGCTGGAGAAACTGAGGAAATGGCCCCCTCGGGAGGCTCCGGGAGGTTCTGGGCATGAGAGGATCACGCAGCAGCTCAGATCGAGGCCACCACAGCAGATCCAGCCGAATCGAGCCAGTCTCAAGGTGTCGGTTCCTCTGCCCCTTCGGGACTCCTGTTCAGCCTCACATCCAGCCCAAATCTCTGGGCAAGGGACCGTGGCTGCATGGTGGAACATCTGCCCTCCAGCTGATTTGGGACTACAATTCCCATCATCCCTTACCTCTGGCCCTGCCAGCTTGGGATGATGGGAGTTGTAGTCCAAAAAAACAACCAGAGACCCAAGGTTGGGAAAACCCTGGCTTAGAGCGCCAGACCAGGGCCTGGGAGAGACCGGAGTTCGAATCCCCCGCTAGAGCTCACTCGGTGCCATCTTGGGCCAGCCACTCGCTGACCCTCACCCTGTCCTACCTCACAGGGTTGTTGCAGGGATTAAATGCAAAGGGGGGAGCCCTGTAAAGCCACCTTGAGCTTTTTGGAGAAAAGATATAAATGCATAAATAAATGCAATAAATAAAAAGTCAATCAACTGCCCTGCACAGCAGCCTGAACCCCTGGCCAGCTGCTGCCAGTCAGTGCAGACATTACACAGCTCGAGGGAGCAATCCTCTCCCTCCTGCCAAGGACCCCCCGAGACGTCGCTGAAGCTTCTTCTCCATTCGACTCCGCCAGAACCCATTTAAAAAATGCCGGGGAAGACACGTGACACAGACCGACCCCCGCCTCAGGACTGTACCATCTCAACAAGCAAAAAAAAGGGGGAATCGCGCGTATCAGGAACTCCCCCTGCCTTAGAAGCCGCGACTTGATGTCCTAGATGCATTTACCTGCCCAGCTGTTCCGAAAACACGCGTGTGCGCCCGTGCCCACGCGCGGGGAAAGTGGGTCGTGTGAATGGGCAGAAAAGACGCAGTTGGGAGCCGAGTTGGGAAACTGGGGCACGAGCTCAGCCACCCCGTTATCACCCCCCCCGATTTACTCGCGAGTCAGCCCCGATGAACCCACACCCCGCCCCGGTTCCGGAGCCCCAGAGGGCGGCTGGCGGATCCCCTCCTCCCGGCGCCCCGGGATCGGAATGGAGGGCGACCCAGCCCATCCCGGCGCGCCCCGAAGCAGCGCGCACTCTGCCCATGCCCCGGGGCGCCCTGCCCTGCCGGAGGAAGGCGCCTCTTCCCGGGCGCGCCTTGCGTAAAGGGAGCGTTGCGCGCGGGGTTCGCCCCGTCGGGGAGCCGGAGACCCACCTGGGCGCATGGCGCTCGGCCGGCCGGGCGGCGCCGCCGTCGCTGCTGCTGCTTCTCGTCGCCTCCTCGGAGGAAGTGAGCGCGGCCGGAGGAAGTGTGCGAGGAAGGGGAAGGAGCAGAGGCTCGCTCGCCGCCGCCGCCGCCGCCGGGGACGGGGCTCGGCAAGCCGGGCGGCGGCGCGCCCCACCCCTCGACGGCGCCCGGGCGGACCTGCCTCTCCCGGGGCGGGCGCAAGCAGCAGCCAAGGCAGCGGCTGGACAGGGATCGGGACCGCCTCGGCCTCGCCCGCCCCCGCGGGTGCAAGCAAGCAGGTCCCTGCCCCGAGGAGCTTGCCTTCCGCCACAGGGTCGTGGCATTGGAAGGGATCCCCTGCAAGGCAAGGATCGCAGCTGAAAAACCATACAATTTTAGAGCTGGGCGGGACCTCTTGTTGTTGTTTAGTCGTTTAGTCGTGTCCGGCTCTTCGTGACCCCCTGGACCAGAGCACGCCAGGCCCTCCTGTCTTCCACTGCCTCCCGCAGTTTGGTCAAACTCATGCTGGTAGCTTCAAGAACACTGTCCCACCATCTCGTCCTCCGTCGTCCCCTTCTCCTTGTGCCCTCCATCTTTCCCAACATCAGGGTCTTTTCCAGGAGTCTTCTCTTCTCATGAGGTGGCCAAAGTCTTCGAGCCTCAGCTTCAGGACCTGTCCTTCCAGTGAGCACTCAGGGCTGATTTCCTTAAGATTGGATAGGTTTGATCTTCTTGCAGTCCATGGGACTCTCAAGAGTCTCCTCCAGCACCAGAATTCAAAAGCATCAATTATTCGGCGATCAGCCTTCTTTATGGTCCAGCTCTCACTTCCATACAAGAAAACTCCATGGACAAAGACAACAGGCGGGACCTCTAGGGGGTCGTCTATTCCAACCCCCTGCAATGCAGAAATCTCAACTAGGTCATACATGGCCGTTGGCCGTCCCACCTCTGCTGAAAAACGTCCAGTGAAAACTACCAACGAAAGAAGATTGGAGGATGAAACTGATGGACTATGCAGAATTAGATAAGCTAACAGGAAGGATTCGAAACCCGCGGGACCAGAGATTCTCAGAAGACCGGAGTAAATTTACGGACTGTTTGAAGAGCAATTGTGATGAACAAATTACACTAGTAGGTTTGCAAGAAGTTTTGTAAGGCGTATTATTTGAAATATTGCAAAAAAGATAATGAGGAGAATTATTACTTAAGGATAATTAAAGGTAATATGAAATTAAGAAATGCAAAAAAAGTGATAAAGAATGGGAAATCGTCAGAGGTGTTGACGGAAGTCCAAAAATATTGCGTAAGATGAGAAGTTATGTTGCATGAATGTTGGAATTAATATGTTAAAAAACTAATAAAAATGTGTGTGTGTGTATATATATATAAATGTGTATATATATATATATATATATATATATACACACACACGGTATTTTTCGCTCTATAAGACGCACCAGACCACAAGACGCACCTAGTTTTTGGAGGAGGAAAACAACAAAAAATATATTCTGAATCTCAGAAGCCAGAACAGCAAAAGGGATTGCTACGCAGTGAAAGCAGCAATCCCTCTCGCTGTTATGGCTTCTGGGATAGCTGTGCAGCCTGCATTCGCTCCATAAGACGCACACACATTTCCCCTTACTTTTTAGGAGGGAAAAAGTGAGTCTTATAGAGCAAAAAATACGGTATATAACATCCAGTGAAGGAGAGCCCGCGTCCATTCCACTGCTGAATCGCTCTTACTGTCAGAAAGCACTTCCAATAGCTTGGTTGCCATCTCCTTTCGAAAACAATCCCATCTGTTGAGACAAAACCCCATCTCACTCCCCCTTCCAGCAGGGGACAGAGGACCTTGCCCCTGGTTGGAATTCAGAGCAGGACTTCCTCTGGATGTGGAGGTTCCATTAAGCCAGCTGGGCTAATACCAACTGGCCCACCTTTCGCCCTTCACTCGGTTTCCTGGCTTCCAGCAGTGCCAATCTGGACAGCCTTAAAAGACGGCTGTACAAATTCATTAGCAAGAAAGTTACAGGTGGCTACCAGCCTAAGGTCCCCGGATTTACAAATCAGTCCCCATACAAAATCTACGGCAAGTAGCAATCAATAGCCCTCTCCTGCTCTCCTGCATGAATTTGTCCAATCCTCTTTTAAATCCATGTACAGTGGTGTCTCGCAAGACGAAATTAATTCGTTCTGCGAGTTTTTTCGTCTTGCGATTTTTTCGTCTTGCGAAGCACGGTTTCCCATAGGGTATTAACGGTTTTAAGAAAAAGGAAACAAACTTGCAAGACGTTTTCGTTTTTCGTCTTGCGAAGCAAGCCCATAGGGAAATTCGTCTTGCGAAGCAACTCAAAAAACGAAAAACTCTTTCGTCTTGCGCGTTTTCCGTCTTGCGAGGCATTCGTTTTGCGAGGTACCGCTGTACAGTGGTACCTCGGGTTACATATGCTTCAGGTTACAGACTCCGCTAACCCAGAAATAGTACCTAAGAACTTTGTTTCAGGATGAGAACAGAAATTGCACAGTGGCGGCAGGCCCCATTAGCTAAAGTGGTGCTTCAGGTTAAGAACAGTTTCAGGTTAAGAACGGACCTCTGGAACGAATTAAGTTCTTAACGCGAGGTACCACTGTAGGCTGACCCACTGCTCCATACCAGATGTCAGAGCTAGAACATCCTTGGCAGAGCCCAGTCGGAGATCATAGATCCATCAGCTCTTGGCACATCTTCTTGGCTCCAGCATCCTTCATACTGTACGTTATGCAAATCACTGCTACAAAAGATGTTGCCAAGGCTCTGGGCAGTTTCATGGCTGGAAGAGGGGAACTTGAGCGCATAGGAAGAGCTGGCTGGACCAGGCCAGTGGCTCATCTCACACAGCATCCTGTTCCCACAGAAGCTGACTAGATGCCAGCGAGCAGGATCCGAGCACAGGAGCAACTCTCCCCTCCCGTGGTTTCCCAAAACTGGCATTTGGAAGCGTTTCTGACATTGCAGGCAGGGGAGAGCCATCGCGGCTAGTATAAGGTTACCAGATTTTTTTTTCAATGAACCACACACACAGACCATAAGTTAACACACTCTCAACAGTACAATGTTTGTGGCGCTCATCTCGCTTTCAGGCCAAGGGAGCCGGCGTTTGTCCACAGACATTTCCGGGTCACGTGGCCAGCAGGACTAAACTGCTTCTGGTGCAATGGAACACCGTGACGGAAACCAGAGCACATGGAAACGCCGTTTACCTTCCCGCTGCAGCGGTACCTGTTTATCTACTTGCGCCGGCATGCTTTTGAACTGCTAGGTTGGCAGGAGCTGGGACAGAGCAAGGAGAGGAGCTCACCCCGTCGCGGGGATTCGAACTGCCCAGCACCACCCGTGGCCCTATGATGTCTATGAGCCAAAGATGGATCCTGCTTGCAGGTTCCCCATAACAGACATCTGGCTAGCCACTGTGAGAACAGGACGCTGGACTGGGTGGGCTATTGGCTAGAATCATAGAATCATAGAGTTGGAAGAGACCACAAGGGCCATCGAGTCCAACCCCCTGCCAAGCAGGAAACACCATCAGAGCACTCCTGACATATGGTTGTCAAGCCTCTGCTTAAAGACCTCCAAAGAAGGAGACTCCACCACACTCCTTGGCAGCAAATTCCACTGTCCAACAGCTCTTACTGTCAGGAAGTTCTTCCTAAAGTTTAGGTGGAATCTTCTTTCTTGTAGTTTGGATCCATTGCTCCGTGTCCGCTTCTCTGGAGCAGCAGAAAACAACCTTTCTCCCTCCTCTATGTGACATCCTTTTATATATTTGAACATGGCTATCATATCACCTCTTAACCTCCTCTTCTCCAGGCTAAACATGCCCAGCTCCCTTAGCCGTTCCTCATAAGGCATCGTTTCCAGGCCTTTGACCATTTTGGTTGCCCTCCTCTGGACACATTCCAGTTTGTCAGTGTCCGTCTTGAACTGTGATGCCCAGAACTGGACACAGTACTCCAGGTGAGGTCTGACCAGAGCAGAATACAGTGGCACTATTACTTCCCTTGATCTAGATGCTATACTCCTATTGATGCAGCCCAGAATTGCATTGGCTTTTTTAGCTAACTTATCCTGCAGGCTCCTCCTATGTTTTTATGTTCTTACGACCTCCCAAGACCTCTTCCAACTCCACAATTCTCTATTTGTTTTGTTTTCCTTTTCCTTTTTTTAACTTTATTCCAAAACCGAAAAAGAATTACAAACATCAAATTCAAAATCCATATTCATTTTGTAACATAAGCCTATTACATAGGTGACTAGATTAAAATATACCTAATTGCTATAGACTTCCCTTTGCTATATATAAATGCAACACAATTAGAAATATTGTATTAGAAATTTTTATAAATGCCCCTATACCCCCCACTCCCCTTCACACGTGTGATCTCAATTTTTTTTTTTTTTACTTCTTCCATCTTGTTGTCTTGTTTAATAATTATTCAATTGATTCTTTTATTATTTCCTTGCTTACCCCTGCAGGTTTTACACATTATCTATTAATATTCCAGTTCCGGAACCATATTTTTTCATGTATTCCTTCACTCCATCTTGCTCTTTAATTATTCTCTGATTTGAATGGCCTCTAATGATTGCCATCAATTTTGCCATTTCCACAAACTCGCAGAGCTTGCTTTGCCATTCTAATAGTGATGGTATTGAGGTGGGGTTTTGTTCCTTTACGCAACAGCAGCGGCCAGAATATTGACCGCAAAGAATTGGAAGGGGCAGAAAAATTTCACGATTCTCTATTTGTAAAGTCTCAGAAATCAGACAAGTGTGAGACAGACCTGGCGCCCCTTGCCACAGAGCAATGCAGGAAGGTTTTGATTTAAACAAAAAACCGAAAAACCACCCCAAATGTGTGTGGAGTTTGATGAGGCTTTATGTGGGAGGGTGTTTTGCAAAGCGCTGGCAAATTTCTGCCCACGCAGAGCGCTACATCAAAGGCAAACATCACTTACTGAAACATACCTCGTAAAGCCCTTCGTAAGTCAAGTCATTTGCAAGAGAGATTTGCCGTCACTGTGGGTTCAGGCAAGGTCTTGTTCCAAAACAACATTCAAATCGAAGATTCACCTTCTCCGTTTCCTCCGGGCACAGGAGAGGTCTTCCAGGGCTCACATGAAATGAAGCCTGCGCATGAGACTTCCTGCATCGTGCCTTTTATGCTTCAAGGTGCATGAAGAATCATTCTTGACTATTTATGTATGCAGCGACAGCAGCACAGATACTACAGTCATACCTCATGTTACGTTTGCTTCATAGAATCATAGAATCATAGAGTTGGAAGAGACCACAAGGGCCATCGAGTCCAACCCCCTGCCAAGCAGGAAACACCATCAGAGCACTCCTGACATATGGTTGTCAAGCCTCTGCTTAAAGACCTCCAAAGAAGGAGACTCCACCACACTCCTTGGCAGCAAATTCCACTGTCAGACAGCTCTTACTGTCAGGAAGTTCTTCCTAATGTTTAGGTGGAATCTTCTTTCTTGTAGTTTGGATCCATTGCTCCATGTCCGCTTCTCTGGAGCAGCAGAAAACAACCTTTCTCCCTCCTCTATGTGACATCCTTTTATATATTTGAACATGGCTATCATATCACCCCTTAACCTCCTCTTCTCCAGGCTAAACATGCCCAGCTCTCTTAGCCGTTCCTCATAAGGCATCGTTTCCAGGCCTTTGACCATTTTGGTTGCCCTCCTCTGGACACGTTCCAGTTTGTCAGTGTCCTTCTTGAACTGTGGTGCCCAGAACTGGACACAGTACTCCAGGTGAGGTCTGACCAGAGCAGAATACAGTGGCACTATTACTTCCCTTGATCTAGATGCTATACTCCTATTGATGCAGCCCAGGATTGAATTGGCTTTTTTAGCTGCCACGTCACACTGTTGGCTCATGTCAAGCTTCAGGTTGTGTGTTTTCAGGTTGTGTCCCGCGGCGACCCGGAAGTAGCAGAAAGGGTCACTTCCCGGTTTTGCCACTCGCGCATGTGCAGACGCGCAAAATGACATCACGCTCATGCACACAAGCAGACGCGGGTTGCATTATTTTCAGGTTGCAAACAGGCCTCCGGAACAGATACCGTTCGCATCCAGAGGTACCACTGTACTGGCCCAGAGATGGAAAGAAGACAAAGTTCCAACCAGAGAGGAATGGCTGATGAAGATGATGGACTACGACGAAATGGTGAAACTTGACTGGGAAAATCAGAAACCAGGAAGAGAAGAATTTTAAGAAGGAATGGGGAAAATTTATAATGTACTTAAGAGAACACTGTGAACAGCTAAGAACTTTGGCAAGATTTGAGTCATGCTTGTAATGTGCGAAAAACTATGGAAAATTAATTCTTCTTCTTTTAACAAATTAGAGAAAATAAGATAAACAGATGGTGGGGGGAAAGATTGACAGTGGTAACCATGGAAGGGAGAAAGGAAGTCAAGGGATTCAGAGAATCCTAAATGAGGAGGTGAACAGTGTGTTTGAATTTAAATTTGTTATGTAAAGCTTAATAAAAATATATTTAAATAAGAAAAGAAAAAAGAAAGAAAAATCATCTTCTCACAGAATTGTAGAAGTGTAGAGTTGGAAGGGAACCCAGGGGTCATCCAGTCCAGCCCCAGCCTTTAATGCAGGAATCACTGCTAATTGCAGATTGCTTCCAGGCCTCCAACTGTAATTGGACAACTTGAATTTGAGGGCATGTGATGGAATCCCAATAGAAAAGAGTGACAGTCTGTGAGAGCCCAGAATACCAAAATAGGGACTGTATGTGTTGAAGAGGCGGGCTGATGAGCTCAGGAGTCTTTGTATTGGCAGGGCTGGGGCAGCAGCTGCTCTGCTTGCACAAGGTTTCAGGATCAATCCCTGAGTGTCCCCAACTAGGGTTACCAAGAAAGACTTGCTGCCTGAAACCCTGGAGAGCTGCTCACAATCAGTGTGGATAATAATAATAAATTTTTATTTATACCCTGCCCTTCCCGGTTCAAAAACCGGGCTCAGGGCGGCTAACAACAAATTTAAAACACTTAATTGTAAAAGCAGCATAAAATACAATATAAAAACATGAATAACAATAAAACTGAAAGTTCAGAAATCAATTTAGGGAAAATCCATCCAATAAACATTAGATAATCACCAGGGCTAGCTGGCTGAATTTGCCCTGCTTGGACCAGCGAGGAGGCCAGGGGAGAATTAGCTGTGGGATCCCAGAGTGTGTGATCTTCATAAAAGGGGAGGGAAGGGAAATAAAAGATCAGGCTGAATTAAAATTAAAGGCCAGGTGGAATAGCTCTGTCTTACAGGCCCAACGGAAGGAGGTTAAATCCTGCAGGGCCCTGGTCTCCTGGGACAGAGCATTCCACCAGGTCGGAGCCATCACTGAGAAGGCCCTGGCCCTGGTGGAGGATAGTCTGACTTCCTTAGGGCCTGGGACCTCTAAACTATGGTTATTCATGGACCTTAAGGTCCTCTGCGGGGCAGACCAGGAGAGGCGGTCCCGTAAATACGAGGGCCCTAAGCCACAAAGGGCTTTAAAGGTCAGTGGTACCTTGGTTCCCAAACGCCTTGGTACTCAAACAACTTGGAACCCAAACACTGCAAACCCCGAAGTAAGTGTTCTGGTTTGCAAACTTTTTTCGGAAGCCGAACGTGCTCTGTTTTGAGTGCCACACTTCCGTTTTGAGTATTACGCTGAGGTCTGTCTGTTTTTGCTATTTATTTTGCGTTTTTGTGGCTTTTTTGTTTTGTTTTTGTGACTGCGTGGATCCCAATTCAGCTACTGATTGATTGATTGTGTGACTGCAGTACATTGTTTATTGCTTTCATTTTATGGATCAATGGTCTCGTTAGATAGTAAAATCCATGTTAAATTGCTGTTTTAGGGGTTGTTTTTTTAAAGTCTGGAACGGATTAATCCATTTTGCATTACTTTCTATGGGAAAGCGAGCCTTGGTTTTGGAACGCTTTGGTTTTGGAACATACTTCTGGAACGGATTAAGTTTGGGAACCAAGGTACCACTGTATTCATATTGCTTTATATTTTGAATAAAAAAATCTCAAAGCAGTTTACAACACATTAATGCAGCAGATAAAACAACCCAGAATAAGGTATTATTGAAGAAAGTCAAATTTAAATTATACATTCAAGGCAACATAACAGGAAACTAAAATATTATCTTAAAGATTTCAAAGCAAAACATTGCGAAGGAGGCCAACTACAGAACTCGCATTTAAAGCAGCAAAGGTTTTTTTTAAACCAGTACTGGTATTTTTAAACTGTTTTTCATTTAAATACAAGAACAGCATATAACTACAGTAACTTGTCCAGTGGTACATTCTTATTAAGTTTCATATGCAGTATGTAGTATAGAAACAATACCTTTATTTATGTATTATCCACAGAGATTCTTGTGTTGGGGGGTGGAATAAAAGTCTCTTCCATCTTATTTGGAAAGGAAACAATAAGAAGCCAAGTCTCACCAAAAGTGTTTCTCTGTGGCCAGTAAGGCGTTCTAATAGAGCCAAATATTATCTAACCAGGTTTCCCAGTGGTGCCTGGGAGCAGCCGCCGAGACCCCATAACACCAGTCCTGAAAGATCTTCATTGGCTCCTAGTACGTTTCCGAGCACAATTCAAAGTGTTGGTGCTGAACTTGAAAGCCCTAAACAGCTTTGGCCCAGTAGACCTGAAGGAGCGTCTCCACCCCCATCATTCAGTCCTGACACTGAGGTCCAGCTCCGAGGGCCTTCTGGCGGTTCCCTCCCTGCGAGAAGTGAGGCTACAGGGAACCAGGCAGAGGGCCTTCTCAGTAGTGGCACCCGCCCTGTGGAACGCCCTCCCACCTGATGTCAAGGCAATAAACAACTATTATTACTTTTAAAAGACAACTGAAGGCGGCCCTGTTTAGGGAAGTTTTTAATGTCTGATGCTGTGTTGTTTTTAATATTTGGTTGGGAGCCGCCCAGAGTGGCTGGGGAAACCCAGCCAGATGGGCGGGGTATTAATAATAAATTATTAGTATTAGTATTAGTATTAGTATTAGTATTATTTCTGTAGACTGTTTCTAATATCGGGCTATTGTTAATCAGGCTGCTGATAACAGAAAAGTATACTAAATCTCTGCATTTCAGGTTATTGTCTATAACGCAACAAAGTTAACCAAAAAAATGCAAACATTTCAAAAGAAAACATTACGAAAGGAAGTCAGATTTAAAATGCACATTTTAAACAGCATAATTTACAAGAGAATCAATTATTATCCTCGGCATATAACATGGTGCCTGTGGGGGCTGTCACCAATGGAAGCGAAAGCCTTGAAAAAGGTCAATATGGAGGTCAAATGGCCGAAATATTGGGAAATTTTGGAACAAGACGGAGATAGACTGAAATTGCAGAGTTTTGAAAAACTAAAAAACAAAGTGCGAGACTGGCTTCATTATTATCAGATAATGGAGGCATTTAAATTGGACAGGAAAATCGGCTTCCAGGTGGAAAGATCCAAATTAGAAACAGAATTGTTAGAACCCAAAACTAAGAATTTGTCAAGAATGTATAACTTGCTGCTGAAATGGAATACTCAAGATGAAACGGTAAAATCGGCTATGATTAAATGGGCACAGGACGTTGGACATAACATTATGTTTGCTGACTGGGAACAGTTATGGACCACAGGTATGAAATTTACGGCATGTAATGCCTTAAGAGAGAATATTATGAAAATGATATACAGGTGGTACATAACCCCAGTCAAGCTTGCGAAAATTTATCACTTGCCCGATAACAAATGTTGGAAATGTAAAGAAACTGAAGGTACACTTTTTCACCTTTGGTGGACGTGCCCAAAGATTAAGGCTTTCTGGGAAAAGATATATAATGAATTAAAAAAGGTATTTAAGTATACCTTTCCTAAGAAACCAGAGGCCTTTCTCCTGGGCATAGTGGGCCAAATGGTGTTAAAAAGGATAGAACTTTCTTTATGTATGCAACAACAGCAGCAAGAATACTTATCGCAAAGTATTGGAAGACACAAGAACTTCCCATGCTGGAGGAATGGCAGATGAAACTTATGGACTATATGGAATTGGCGGAAATGACTGGCAGAATCCGTGACCAGGGAGAAGAGTCGGTGGAGGAAGACTGGAAGAAATTCAAAGACTATCTTCAGAAACACTGCAAAATTAAGGAATGTTAGAATGATGTTGGATTGAAAATAAGTGGATTCCAGCTGTACAGGTTAAAGTTAAGGATAGATTAAGATTAAAGATCAAGATTAAAGATCTTTAAAGAAATGGAAATTTGATAATAAAAGGGAAAAATTTAAAGGTATATGACATTAAGAACAAGGATTAGGCTTAAAAAAGTTGAAGTTATATATTTTAATATCTTATTAAACTAAAGATTGGGTTTAAAAAGTTGAGAAGAAACTGCTGGACAAATAATGTAGATTGGAATACAAAAGAGGGAGGTATGAGGAAGTCCAGAAAATAAGTAATTTAAAATTGGGAATGGAAAAGAGAGTTGGTTTTTAATTGTTATGTTTTGTGTTTTTATTGTTAAATTTTGTATTGTTTTTTCTTGTGTGTTGTTTTTCTTTTTTCTTTGTTTAAAACTTTAATAAAAATTATTAAAAAAAAAAAAACATGGTGCCTGTGGGATGGCTCGGTCAGTAGAGCATGAGACTCTTAATCTCATGGTCATGGGGTTCAAGTTCCACGTTGGGCAAAAGATTCCTGCATTGCAGGGGGTTGGACTGGATGACCCTCAGGGTCCCCCAACTCTGCAGTTCTGTGATTCAGTATCTATCTGCTGCTGCCAATCCAATAGCAGAGGTGCCCAAATTTTTTTCAAAGACAGCCAGATTTGATGAAATGAACATGTGTGAGGGCCGACCAAAGTTGTTGTGCTTTTTTTAGGATTTTACCCCAGGACATATACTATAATAATAATTTATTATTTATACCCCTCCCATCTGGCTGGGTTTCCCCAGCCACTCTGGGAGGCTTCCAACAAAACACTGAAATACAATAACCTATTAAACATTACAAGCTTCCCTGAACAGGGCTGCCTTCAGATGTCTTCTAAAAGTCTGGTAGTTGTTGTTCTCTTTAACATCGGATGGGAGGGCGTTCCACAGGGTGGGTGCCACCACCGAGAAGGCCCTCTGACTGGTTCCCTGTAGCCTTACTTCTCGAACCGCTAGAAGGCCCTCGGAGCTGGACCTCCGTGTCCGGGCAGAACGATGGGGGTGGAGATGCTCCTTCAGGTCTACTGGGCCTTTGAGGCCGTTTAGGGCTTTCAAGGTCAGCACCAACACTTTGAATTGTACTCGGAAACGTACTGCCACGGGGGCTGGATTAAATCGACCAGCGGGCCGGATTAGGCCCCGAAAACGGACTTTGAACATACCTGCAATAGTCGTTCATGGCAGGCAGCAGCTGTGGACACTCACCCTTGATGCCTTGGGTCTGCGGTCAAGATGGACGGCTGGCCAGGAGGACCCCATGGCCGCTGTGGTCCCATTCCTGTGGACCCAGGGTTGGAATTTGCCAGGAGAGAAGATGAAGAAACCTGGCAGGAGGTCTGGAAGGAGCCTGCTGCCCTCTAGAGGGGAGAAATGCACAGAGCGCAGGGACAAAAAGTTGTGCGTCCGGAATTTCCCGCACATAACTGGAATACTGCAGTCAAAAGCAATGTCTGGGTGGGAAATTGGCTAAATGTCCCAGAAAATCCAGACGTCTGGCAGCCGATGTCGCCAGTGCCATTTCCCACAACGTTTCTCTCCGGATTTCCGCTTTTTCAAATACAGCATCCCTAAGGTCAGGACCAGGGACACGGGTGGCGCTGTGGGTTAAACCACAGAGCCTAGGGCTTGCCGATCAGAAGGTCCGTGGTTTGAATCCCCGCGACGGGGTGAGCTCCCGCTGCTTGGTCCCTGCTCCTGCCAACCTAGCAGTTCGAAAGCACGTCAAAGTGCAAGTAGATAAATAGGTACCGCTCTGGCAGGAAGATAGACGGCGTTTCCGTGCGCTGCTCTGGTTTGCCAGAAGCGGCTTAGTCCTGCTGGCCACATGACCCGGAAGCTGTGGCTTCCTCGGCCAGTAAAGCGAGATGAGCGCTGCAATCCCAGAGTCGTCCGTGATACACCTAGTGGTCAGGGGTTCCTTTACTTTTACCTAAGGTCAGGACCGGCCCTGCAATGAGGCAGCCGCCTCAGGATGCAGATGCTGAAGGACGGGGGGTGGACAGAGCTGCGAGTGCCGTGCAGGCTGTCTTGTACCTGCAACGGCCTTCAAGTGCCCTGGCAAACACTGACTAGAGTAAGCTTCCATGGTTTCAGCCTATTACATCAATCCTGGTCCAACAGAACTGGCTGCTAGTCCTGGTCCAATTTAAAGGTCTGGTTTTGACCTATAAAGCCTGAAACAGCCTAGGACCATAATGTTCCAGGACCGCGTCTCCCCACAGGAACTGACCCAGACTCTGCGTTTCTCATCGGAAGCCCTTCTTCATGGTAGCAACACAAGAACAGGGCTTTTTCTGCAGTGGCTCCCCGTTTGTGGAATGCTCTTCTTATGAAGTTTTTAATGTGTTCGGAGAGGGGATTCTATTAGTAGTAGTAGCAGTGGCCAGAGGATTAGAGAAGACCCGTCTACATCCCAATCCCAAAGAAGGGCAGTGCCAAAGAATGCTCCAACTACTGCACAATTGCATTCATTTCACGCGCTAGCAAGGTTATGCTTCAAATTCTACAAGGCAGGCTCAAGCAGTATGTGGACCGAGAACTCCCAGAAGTGCAAGCTGGATTTAGAAGAGGCAGAGGAACCAGAGACCAAATTGCAAACATGCGCTGGATTATGGGGAAAGCTAGAGAGTTCCAGAAAGACATCTACTTCTGCTTCATTGACTATGCAAAAGCCTTTGACTGTGTCGACCACAGCAAACTATGGCAAGTTCTTAAAGAAATGGGAGGGCCTGAACACCTCATCTGTCTCCTGAGAAATCTCTATGTGGGACAAGAAGCTACAGTTAGAACTGGATATGAAACAACTGATTGGTTCAAAATTGGGAAAGGAGTATGACAAGGCTGTATATTGTCTCCCTGCTTATTTAACATATGCAGAATTCATCATGTGAAAGGCTGGGCTGGATGAATTCCAAGCCGGAATTAAGATTGCCAGAAGAAATATCAACAACCTCAGATATGCAGATGACACAACCTTGATGGCAGAAAGTGAGGAGGAATTAAAGAACCTTTTAATGAGGGTGAAAGAGGAGAGCGCAAAATATGGTCTGAAGCTCAACATCAAAAAAACGAAGATCATGGCCACTGGTCCCATCACCTCCTGGCAAATAGAAGGGGAAGAAATGGAGGCAGTGAGAGATTTTACTTTCTTGGGCTCCATGATCACTGCAGATGGTGACAACAGTCATGAAATTAAAAGACGCCTGCTCCTTGGGAGAAAGGCGATGGCAAACCTAGACAGCATCTTAAAAAGCAGAGACATCACCTTGCCAACAAAGGTCCGTATAGTTAAAGCCATGGTTTTCCCGGTAGTAATGTATGGAAGCGAGAGCTGGACCATAAAGAAGGCTGATCGCTGAAGAATAGATGCTTTTGAATTATGGTGCTGGAGGAGACTCTTGAGAGTCCCATGGACTGCAAGAAGATCCAACCTCTCCATTCTGAAGGAAATCAGCCCTGAGTGCTCACTGGAAGGACAGATCCTGAAGCTGAGGCTCCAATACTTTGGCCCCCTCATGAGAAGAGAAGACTCCTGGAAAAGACCCTGATGTTGGGAAAGATGGAGGGCACAAGGAGAAGGGGACGACAGAGGACGAGGTGGTGGGACAGTGTTCTCGAAGCTACCAGCATGAGTTTGACCAAACTGCGGGAGGCAGTGGAAGACAGGAGTGCCTGGCGTGCCCTGGTCCATGGGGTCACGAAGAGGCGGAGACGACTAAACGACTAAACAACAACAAAGTAGTGGCATATAAACTGAATAAACAATAACAGTAATGTTTATAACAATGCACACACACCTATATTTTTAGCTGTTCTTATTTTATTTGTAAGCCGCCTTGAGTCCCTATCAGTGAAAAAAAAAGGTGGGCTATAAATGTTGAGGTTTATTTTCCTCTTCCCTCCTTGTCCCTTTTTCTTTGTGTGTTCTATTTATCAGATGTCAAGGAAATCAACAACTATCTGACTTTTAGAAGACATCTGAAGGCAGCCCTCTTTAGGGAAGCTTTTAATGTTTAATAGACTATTGTATTTTGATATTCTGTTGGGAGCCGCCCAGAGTGGCTGGGGAAACCCAACCAGATGGGTGGAGTATAAATAATACCTTTATTTTTTATGTATGTAGGGAGGGAGGGGGGCCTGCAGGTAGGGGGCATATTGTTTTGAATTCAAGTAAGCCACTCTGGGAGATTTCTTTTTGGGCTGAATAGCGGGTACAAATGTGAATAAAATAAAGAAACGCAAGCAGGACACCCCCCCCACCCCTCCATTGGTGCAGTCCGAGCGGAGCTTTGCCACTTGAAGCTGCAAGGAGGCTGCGCTTTCCCCTTTTCGCCGCCGCTAGAGGCCGCTGCCGGGCAAGCCGCGCGCCGGGCTGCCATCCGCGGCGCTCTATTGGCTGCCGGCGGGGCCTCGTAGCCCCGCCTCCTCCTGCGAGAGGAGCGCCGAGGCCGCCGGAACGACGAGGAAGAGACCAATAAGAAGGGCAGGAAAGGGGGGGGGGCGCGGCGAGCGCGTTCGTGGGAGATACCACTTGGGGACGCGGGAAGAGAGCGTGAGTGAGTGAGGAGCGCAGGCGCGCGCGCGGCAGGAGGGGAAAGAGACAGTTCGTGGGAGAGTCCATTGCAGCGCCGGCGGCGGGGGGCGGCGTGCTGAGGAGAGACCAATTCGGGGACGGGGGGGGAAAGAAGCGAGGGCCGGCCGCCCCAGTGCCCTGTGCCTGAGAGAGGAGAGCAGCCCTCGTGGGGCTATTTGGGAGCCCAGGAAGGCCCTTGGGGGGCGGAAGGGGTGTGTGAGGGGGTCAGGGTGGGTGTGTGAGGGGGGGTCAGCTTGTGGGGGGGCATATTTTTTGAGGGGGGGCGTTGTGTGGGGGAGGGGCCTGCACCTGAGGAGAAGAAGAGGAAGACCCACCCGTGTGGGGGGGGACATTGTGTGTGGGGGGGAGTGGGCGTCAGCCAGGAGCTCTTACCTGAGGCTGCTGCACCTGTGGGCAGGTGAGGCCTCCCTCCTCCGCTCCCTGCTTCCCTCCCTCCTGGCCCAGCAAGGAGAAGCTCCTCCTGCTCTGGAAGAAGGAAGCCAGCCAGATCCTGGGACTGTCATCAGGCTCCTCGTCGTGTGGAAGGCGCCCCAGGGACCCGCTTCTCGGCGGGGTGGGGGGCTTTCTTCTGGCCTGACGGAGGTCCCTCCTGCGGAAAAGCCACCAGGTGCCTTGAGAAGATCCGTGGCCGGACTTGCTGGGTCGCCTTCCCCGAGAGCTTAGCAGGATTTTAAAAAAACCCCCAAAAAACAGACACGCAGAATCTTTCGACCTGACGAAGCTTTTTATTTCTTGCTTTATTTTCAGCGTTTGACACACAGCCTGGCCTGGGGGAGACTCTTCTGGACAGCTGGGTAGAAGGGAAGGAAGTGGCCCAGGATAGTCTGAAAAGGGATAAAAGGGATTTCAGGGAGTGATTTTGTGGAGCAGAGAGAGAGAGAGAAAAACAAACAGACAGACAGACAGAAATATCGCTTTGAAAGTTGCGCAGAAGCCAAAGTTTAAATGGATTAAATGGTTTGGCGGCCTTCGGTTGGCGGAGTGAAATACAGGGGACGCCAAGCCGGGAAGGTCTGATCTAGGTGGTCGCAAGGCTGCTGTTTCTTGCCCCTGAAAAGAGCGCAGGAGTCTGATGAGAGCGGGTAGCTGGTCTTCAGACGTTTTCCTTTCCTTTGGTTCTGAGGAAGTTTTCTTTTTGATAGGACAAAAGGGGGCAACTTGTGCAACAGGACCCCCATTTCCTTAATCTTTTATCTGGCTGACATGTTCCTCTTCCACGTTTTCTACATGCTGCGTGGTGGTGTTGCTCTGAATTCACCTGCATGTGCCTCTTTGCAGAGAGATTTCCTCGGTTCCGTTAAAAGTAAATGCTTGCTAGGCTTTTAGCAGTCAGACTGAGACTCCTGCGGTGTGAAGACTGAAAATCTAGCTTGGCAAATAATGTGTGTGTGTGTTTAGAATCTGTTACAGTTCTATTATACCGGGCATAATCTGGTCTCCTCTAGTTCTGAATCCGCTAAACTGTTCTAAACCTGCTGGCAGTTTTGGGGATGTGCTTGGATTACTACTTCATTGGTTGGGTTGCTTCAGCAGCCTAGTACATAATTTGCGAAAGAAAGCAGCCAAGCCCAGAGAATATTTTTACTAATTTCCCAGTTATGTTGCATGTTGAAAACGGATGCTTTTAAGCGTTTAGGATTTGTATGACACCCCCACTTAGAGGTAAGACGAGCCTTTCAGCGCCTGTTCTGCGGATATAGAAAAGGTTTTGGGAGGCTGTTGGATCTGGGGCAGAATTTCGAGCTGTGTTCAGCGGCTAGGGGAAAAACTCCTTAAAGCCTTTCCAACCTTTACTTCTGCAGCTTTTGGAAACAACCTGGCTCTACTTCTGGGCTAGTGGACACTTCCTGTACTTTTTTGGAATATAAGAATCCAAGGACAGAAAGAAACAGGACTCGGAGTATCCCTGGGAATCTGGACTTCTTTTTCTGTTGGGAACTGATGCCGAGGAACTCCTGACACACGAGAAACACTGAAGGGTCTCCTTTGCCAGACACAACATGGATGTATGGTCCAGAATAGCCATATGGATCCTTTGCGGCTTCCTTCTGCACCATGGACAGGGAGAGAGGCCCCCAGGCACCTACCTAGACGATGCCACAATAGCAGGTAAGGAAAAAGTTGTGGGTAAGGAGCCGGTTTTGCCTTTTCTTAATCCTTTGGGGTATAAAATAATGTTCTTTCAGGCTGCTGGCAGTGGGCTCTTTTCATCCCTGGGACTCTGCTTTGAAGTTGAAGTTGTGAATTGTTCTTCCCTTCTTGGAGGTTCGGAAAAGAAACTTGTAAAGTATTTTGAAGCTCCCTTCTCGCCAACCTGCGTTCTGGTGTCTGCTTAAATCCTAGCTATTTTTGGTGGTCTTATACTGGTGTTTTTTCCTAGCGTGCCTGAGAGTTTCCCCTCCCCAACTCTGCAATGGTTCTTTCTGTAGGCAATTTCAGGCTAGGAAACAAAAAACACTACGCATCTTGAAATAGCCTCCCAGAAAGGCAGCTAGCTTGAAGTAAAAGTGGTTATTTCCTGCTTTACATAGAGGAGAGAGAAAAAGAGCAGCTTTTTTGTGGAAGAAGTGTGCTTTCTATCTGAAACCTGCTGATTTTTTTCAGAAGAAAGATTTGACTGTTTCAGGCTTGAGGTTTAGCTGTTGAGTGTCAACTGTCCTCTTTCCGTTGAGTTAAAGAATGTGACTGTAGGTGCAAACAGTGCACTCTTATCAGGCATTGGGTAAAACAGAAAAGTATTTAGAACACATCTACTGTATCATATCTGAGCTCCAGAATATAGTAAAGGAGAATCCACTGTTCCCTGCTTGTTTGTGGTGTCAGAGAATTCCTGAAGATCTAGGGAAGCCCCATGCAGGAGATTGATTTGCGAAGTGATGACCAGGATGCACCATTGCCAGTTTCTCATGTTGAAACTTCCCATAACTGCATCGCAGGTCTTTAAAATAGCTGCATGTCAGCATAACCTTAACTAACGTAGGTTTATCAAGTGGCTTGGCAGAGGGAGAGAAAGGGGGGGAGAGGGGGGAGGTTGTAAGAGTGTCAGAGTTGGAATCTTTGCACACCAGTTTCTAAGTGGTTTTTCTTGTTGGAATTCCCAAGAGGAGTGGGGAATGTCCTTGTTGACCTCTGATTGAGGGGACCCTGAGTTTCTCTCTCCTCAGTTGACAATAGCACAAATAAGTGTTGAGGAAGAGGCAGCCTGTTGCCATTTCCTGAGCACTGGACTGTGGAATTCACTGCCACAAGGAATAGATACTGTTTATGGAGAGGAGGGTGACAGTTCTAGCATCCACTGTTAGACTTCATATAAAAGAGGAATGAAAACTAGATGCTGGCAAACAAATGACAGGTTGAGATTATCGCGTTAGTAGTAACCTACATGTGAGCGCATGATCCAGTGTGGCAGTTCTTATGGTGCATTACACATGTTGCCAGTACTGAACCTCACTTGCATCCTGTATTACTGCCACAGAGAGGTGAGCAGTTATTTTTACATAACGTGACTTCCACTGGGTGTGGGCAAATATTAGCGAACCAGCAGCAGTAATTTCCTTGGCATTTCTAAGGCTTCCCAGCGGCAACCACATTTCTGGAAACACTAGTTTTCCAATATGAAAACCCTTAGCGGCTGGTTCTTCTAGTAGTGTCTGCGGGCCTTACTGGCAAACCGAAACTCCTTTATCTCAGGTGCCAGAACTTTGAACGAGCTGGAAGGCCAAAGCCTTCAGCCACAGCCACATAAAAAACTTGTTAGTCCTATTCTGTGCAGAACATGCCTAGCTTAATTTGGTTTCAAAGTTTTCCTGCTTGCCAAATTTGGACTTTTGCAGGCGTTTGCTTGTTGAAAGTGACAGCTGTTGTTTGGAGAAGCAGATGTGGAGAGGTGCTGGAGGGCTTCTGTAGGAAGGATGTTCTCTCTTGATCAATGGATATCTCAAGCAACTTCCTTCTTGGGGTGCTAAACACTCAGCAGAAATACAATTTGTTTCAGATGATTTTTCTGTGAGGACTAGAGAGCTAACTAGCATGTGTAGTTTTTAGAGCAGAGCTTTCCAAACTGTGTGTCACAGCACGTTAGTGTGTCATCGTGCGAACACTCCCCACACTCCTCCCAGGGCTGGAAAGGGGTTAGCTTAACCTCTGGTTTGCTAGTAAAACTGAATTGCTGTGTCACGAAATGATGCATGTAATAATAATTTATTATTTATTCCCCACCCATCTGGCTGGGCCTCCCCAGCCACTCTGGGCGGCTTCCAAGAAATATTAAAATACTGTAATATATCAAACATTAAAAGCCTCCCTAAACAGGGCTGCCTTCAGATGTCTTCTAAAAGTCAGGTAGTTCTTGTTCTCTTTGACATCTGGTGGGAGGGCGTTCCACAGGGAGGGCGCTACTACCGAGAAGGCCCTCTGCCTGGTTCTCAAAAGTGTCTCACAAGTGTGTCACCAGCATGAAAAGTTTGGTAAGCTCTGGGTTAGAGTGTTTGGACCAAAACCTGAGAGATCAGGGCTCAAATCCCCCACTCAGCCATGAAGCTCACTGGGTGTGGGTGACCTGGGGCCAGCCACTGCCTCTCAGCCTAGCCTACCTCACAGGATTGTTGTGGGGATTCAGGGAGAACCATGTACACCACCTTGAGCGCCTTGGAGAAAAATGTGGGCTATAATACCGTGCGGGTTTGCAGCGATCAGCCTGCCAGTTGATGTGCGATAAATGCTGACTTCCTTTCCTAACCATGTGCAGATCTGGTCATGTGCCCTTCCCCTTCCAAGTCTTGTTGAGTCTCACTTAGCTCATCTCTCGTGTCGGAAAAGGACCTGCAGGAGCAGTGATGAATTTCAGCTCTACGGGATAATCGCTTTTTTACAGCTGGCCATAAACCTGTTGCTTGGGCTTCTGATACTTAGCATGACAGCCAGTTACCACACCTGCTTCTTTACCCTGCCCCAGATCAAATGTTTATCCAGCATGTTTTAAAATAATTACAATTGTCAGGACTGTGGCCTCGCTTGGCAACTTGTAACGTTCAGGCTGTCAAAAGTACTCAATGTCCCCATTGCCCCCTCATTGTCAATACCTGCTGCGAGAGGCCAGCAGGAAGGAGGTTGTGGTCAGGTGTTGCCCTTTTCAAGTGCATAAAGAGCTGCCATTCTGGTTACCCGTGCCTCCTCTAAGCTGAAAACACCTATTTTTTTCTTCTCCTTCTCCTTCTCCTTCTGTTGTTTTCTATCCTCTTCGTCTTGTGTGGATTTCCTTGGGCTTTTCAATATTGCAAGTAAATTCTGAAGCCCGGAAGTTAACGCAAGTTGGGCAGACTCCAGGGCAGAAGCAGAATACGCAGAATAGGCCTGTTAGGTGCTTCCTAGTGGGGTTGCACTTGCTTGAACAAACTGTCATGGACATGCGTCTATATCTGCTCAGCGTTTAGGACCACAAGAAGTATGCATACTGCCTGGAGTATCCATTGCTCGAGGGAGGCCTTCAGTGGACATTGCAGGGACACTGCATGTGGAGACGTGGTAAGAGTTCCTGAAGAAGCTGTTCCTCAAAAAGTGCCGTGCTACCCGTGCTTGGTCTTTTGAGGGTAGAAAAACTTTTTGTGGCAAGATGCAGCTTCATTATATATCTCCAGAGGGTTGCATAACATTTAACCAGTTTTTTACCTTGTGCAAAGCCTCCCCCCCCTTATTCAGTTGGTGAATAAAAATACTGTAGGCCTTACTGCTTTTGTGAAAATCTCTTTGACTAATTCTGTGCCACCTTCAGGTTGCAGGAGAGTCTAAAAGAGTGCACTATGGCATAATAAATATTTCCATACCACATTGAAGACATCTAAGCAGCTAAATTTGGCAGATTTGTCAATGCTTTCAAAAGGCCTTCCTGTAGCTGCACTTGTGCCTGCTGGCTTACTCTGAGTCATGTTTTGGGGCTTGTGACGCAACAGGTGGGCTCTGCATGAGGAAGTGGTGAGAGTATCTTGATGCTGGCACTGAAGGACCCGGACTTCCCTCCATCCTGTGCAGGGCTGTTTCCTTGGAAGTTGATGCTGGGTTTTAAAAGCATGATGCCCTGAAGTCGGAAGTATACTGTCCCAGCCTTTAGCCATGGCAGGCAGGAAAGCTGCAGTGAACAGGAAGAGTCCAGACTCTCTGGCTTGCTCAGCTTTTCGCAGGGACTACAGACTCTCAACCCCGTTCCTGCTGTGATGCTCCTTTGAACAGAAGCTGCAGCAGCAGTTGCTGGAGGTCAAAAGAGTCATGCTTCCCGCTCATCTTCTTAAGCTCAGCAGCATCAGCTCAGAAAGTGATTTTGAGTTAACTTCTCACTGCCCCCACTCAGCCCCAGAAATCATCATCAGGCCATACTGAAAGTCATCTATTGCTTCTGGAGAAGAGAAGATTCATTCTCTTTGTGCCCTGAGGGGATAACTCCTGTGAGTTATCCTGAAAAGGGCTGCAACAGCTCTGTGGAAGTCGTAGACATTGAAGTAGCAGTGATACTACTGTTCTTTTTACTTTATAAGAACTACATCTTGAACTCTAGGCAGAGCTTTAAAAGACCTGAAGGTTTTCTAGTTCGTCCCCTAACTTGAGTAGGATTCTTTGAATCTTAGACTGCTAACAGCTCAGTTCTTTAAAATGTAGAAGAAAGGTCAGGTCGGCACCTTGAATTGAGCCTGGAAGCAAATTGGCAGCAAGTATAGCTGCATCGAATTGGAAGCAATGTGGTCTCTTCTCTGTGCTCTAGTTGAAAGAAGAGTTGCTGCTTTCTGTGATAGTGAAAGTTTCCGAGCCGTCTTCAAGGGCGGTTCAATGTAGAACACATGTCTGTTGTGTGCATGATGGAAAGGAAGTCTCATTCAGTGAGGAAGGGCTGCAGAAACCCAGCACAAGGATTTGCAGCAGGGCTAGGGAGCAACCAAGGCTGCCAAGCCACTCTTTCAGGGAGAGCTGGACCCAACAAGTGGTTGCCGTAACTCCACACATTTGTAGCTGTGATTCCTGCGTTGCAGGGACAGGTGTAAGGACCCTCTGGGTCCCTTCCAGCTCTACAGCTCTATAATTCTGTGATCTCTTGATCAGCTCTCAGATCAGAGGATACTGGAAAATAAAGTAAGGTGGCACCAGCATATTGATGACCTTGTTCTTTCACACAGGGCTGCTTAATTGTGGCAGGTCCGTAGTTCAGATCAGCAGGATTCAGGGAGGACTTTTCAGAACGGCTCAGACCGCAGCCTCCTTCAATGGTAGCATCATTTCACCCAGCTGCAGAGTTTTGTTTATGGCTGCTGGTCCATGTGGCCCTCACCAGCCACAAAGGTCAAGGGTCAAGAAAGCAAGTGGGTGGACACAAGTCCCCAAAGACTTTGCCCATGTCCTCAGGAACCAATAAATGGAATGGATTCAATTGTTACTATTAAATTTATTCCCTGCCCTTCATCAACAGGTCCCATTGGGGGTTACAACAATTTAAAATTCAGAGTTAAAAACAGTTAAAACATTGCTGCCTCCAGCTGTGGAGGCAGAACATGGCCATATTGGCTAATCAGCCTTTGATAGCACTCTCCTCCAATTATTTGCCTATGCCTCTCTTAAAGCCATCCAAGATGCTGGCCACGACAGCCTCCTGTGGGAGGGAGTTCCATAGTTTAACTGTGCACTGCATGAAGCTGTATTTTCTTTTATCTGTCCCAAATCTTCCAACATTCAGCTTGGTTGGATATCCATGAGTTCTGGTGTTATATGACAGAGGAAGAAACACTTCTCTATCCACTCACTCCATGCTAAGCATTGTTTTATCAACATTGTTTTACTCTCCTTTTCTCTAAACTGAGAGTACTTTCTGGCACGATTCCACCAGAAGCAAACAAATTAAATGCTGCCCTGTAGAATAAGGATGTTCACACAGTTGTAGTTTGCTAAGAGGCGTAACCTCAGCCTCGAGGTGAACTTTGCATTCCTTTAAGTTCTCTTCTTGCAGTTAAACTTGGTTTGTGGCCGTCACTCATTCCCCGGATCTAGTGCAGAAGTTTCCTGCTTGCCGCTAACAAACCCCGAAAAACAATTCAGAGGCTCTGGAACTGCAGCCTGTGTTTGTTGGTGCTGAGAACCACGACTGAATTCTTTTCATTAATCAGCTTTGCTGCAGAAATAAAGCTTGATGCTGGATAAATTAATTCACGCACACTAAAGACCAAGCTCATTCTGCTTCAAATGAGGTTATTCTGGTGAAGGAGTCCCAGGATGACCTTCTGACATGATGGGCCAGATTACTGCGCTTTCTTGATTTAATTAGCCTCCCCCAAAGTAGTTCATTTAGGCTGGCTAGGAAGATCAAAGAAAGTTAAATGGCTTGCGTGACTCTGCATCAAACACATCCACCCTTGTGGTGACAACGAAGTGCAGAGCCCAGGCGTTGAAAACACGTTCTGAACTTTGTATATTTAAAGCTGTAAATCATGCAGTTGGCTATATTCTGCTCTACCTGAATCTTGTTTATGAGGCCTGGATTTGGTGGAACATTTTGCTGGGCTGGTGTGTACCTCCTGGCACTTCTGGGGAGCCTTGCTCTGATCATTAGCGATCTGCCTTGTTCCAGTTGAGGTTTACATGTCCATCTAGCCGGCCCACTGCTATGCGTTAAGGACATAAGAAGAGCTGGACCAGCACAGTGGCCGACCAGATACCCCAAAGGCAAGGCCAAAACCAGGATTTGAGTACAGTGGTACCTCGGGTTAAGAACTTAATTTGTTCTGGAGGTCCGTTCTTCACCTGAAACTGTTCTTAACCTCAGGTACCACTTTAGCTAATGGGGCCTGCCGCTGCTGCCATGCTGCTGGCGAGCAATTTCTGTTCTCATCCTGAAGCAAAGTTCTTAACCCGATGTACTATTTCTGGGTTAGCAGAGTCTGTAACCTGAAGTGTCTGTAACCCGAGGTACCACTGTACAAGAGTAACTCTCTCCTCCTGCGGCTTCCAGCAACTGGTATTCAGAAGCATTGCTTCCCCGACTGTGCTGGCAGAGCCCTCTACTCCACTGATTTGCCAGTGTGGTGTAGTGGTTAAGAGCGGTAGTCTCCTAATCTGGTGAACTGGGTTCGATTCCCCGCTCCTCCACCTGCAGCTGCTGGGTGACCTTGGGCCAGTCACACTTCTCTGAAGTCTCTCAGCCTCACTCACCTCTCAGAGTGTTTGTTGTGGGGGAGGAAGGGAAAGGAGAATGTTAGCCGCTTTGAGACTCCTGAAGGGGAGTGAAAGGCGGGATATCAAATCCAAACTCTTCTTCTTCTTCTTCTCTTCTAAAGCCATCTGGATTGGCAGCTGTCACTGTCTCCTGTGGGAGCGAGTTCCATAGTTTACCTAAGCACTGCATGAAGAAGGACTTTCTTCAGATTGGCACCAGCTCTCCAGCTTCTAAGGTTGAGGAAAGCCTCTCCTGTCAACTGTTACTTGACAGGGATTGAACCGGAGACATTCTCAATGAAAAGAGCTGTGCCCAGCTTGAAAAATCTCCTGGGTTTTTTTGTAAATGAACTGTGGGCAGCACGCTTCATTCTTTCCAATACAGTGGTACCTCGGGTTACAGACGCTTCAGGTTACAGACTCCACTAACCCAGAAATAGTACCTCGGGTTAAGAACTTTGCTTCAGGATGAGAACAGAAATCGTGTTCCAGCGGTAGCGGGAGGCCCCATTAGCTAAAGTGGTACCTCAGGCTAAGAACAGTTTCAGGTTAAGAACGGACCTCCATAACGAATTAAGTTCTTAACCCGAGGTACCACTGTAGCTGCTCTTGAGTCTTTCTTCTACATGGATTTTCAGTTTCCATGTCATGTTTTCCCATAGCTATATGTCTCATTCACAGGAATCATTCCAAAACTACTACTATGGAACGTCTGCAGAATTTGCAGAGGTGTTTTTGTTTGTGCTTTTCTAAATAATTTTTTTTAAAAGACATTTTAAACATGATCTGAGCCAGAAAGGCTGGCTAAATTCACAGTTTACTTCTGAGTCATCATACATTAAAATCGTAGCTCTAATGCACGTAGCACAAATAAAAACATCAAATCCCAAAACTTGTGCTATAAATTATTATTATTTTTTTTAAAAGATTGTTCATTATTACAGTATTGCAAAATTTGGGTAGGATGGGATACAGGAACACGGAGGTAAAAGCAGGTTAATAGCTAAGAGGAGAGTAGCAATGGATGAGGATGAGTGATGGATCTGACTGAAACTGCAGGCGCAGAGCAATTCACACATTCCATCAGAGCATGCATTGAAAAAAGGTGAAGGAGAGATGCTTGGAGCCCTTACTAGGGGGAGTTGAATGAACATATGAGTTGGGCAGTTGGTCCATTAAGCAGCAGCCCCCGCCCCCCCAGCAGCAGCTCTTTCCAATCCCCCCCATTAGAAAAAGGAGGGAAGAGCACTGCTGTGCTTGAATCCCACTTGTGGGTTTCCCGCAGACATCTTTTCTGCTCCTGAGAGAACAGGTTGTTGGACTAGATGGGCCATTGGCCTGATCCTAAAGGCTCTTCTTAGCTTCTTATGCAACATTCTCTCATCTTTGCTGTCTGAGATCCTTAGAAGTAGAGGGGTTGGGGGCTGGATCTGCGACCTGCAGAGTATAGACCCCCCCTCCCTCAGGACTGCAGGGCTGAGGTAGGTTTGTAATACAGATTTTGCACCAAATGGAAATAAGTTGTTTAAATTCTTCTAATCTCCGAATGATCTGGGCTCTTTTCAAGCATTCTCTGCCCAGTGTGGATGAGTACACAGGAGGGCATGTAATGTTAGAACGGTAAAGGAGCTACTTTCTTGATGAGTTTGCTTGTGTTTGTCCTGCACAATGGGAGGAAGTTTTTTTCTGACATGGACAATGGACACGGTTAGGTCTGCCATCTTCTCCCTTGGAATTGTGACTTGGCAAAACGTCCTGCATTCCCTTCTGTTGGGATGGGAGGGGAAGAGGCAGGATGTGATGGGTTTTGCTGGTCTGCTAAATGGTAGGTGTGTAGTTGAAATCTGCCAATCCTGCTGTGCCATTTTTGCAGTTCAAACAGGGCATTTGCAAATTGAGAAGTGTTTGTGGGAAACCTGCAAAGATAATTGAGCTGTTTTGAAGGTAAATCATGAAATCTGATTACTTCTGGTGAAGAGGAGAATTACATGTTGATATAACAACAACTTTCAAATATTGTAAGAGGAAAAGGAACACAAAAATGCATACCACTGGGCAGATGACCGGAAGCATTAGGTTTAAAAGAGAAACTGCAGGGAAGCTGAAGTCAGTTGTCAGGAAAGCCTTCCTACCTTTTGCCCAATTCCGCAATGACAGAAACCGGTAAAAAAATACTGTGAAATTTTCTGGACAAATTTGACTGGTCTGGGTGGATATTTCAAAAATATTAGAGAAGTGAACTCTGGGAAACCTGCATGTGACATATGTATGTGTGAGAGAGGCATGGAGGCATAAATGTGCATAAGTTTTGTTTGTGAACAGGAGTGAAATGAGGCACTCCACTTCTCAGTGATGCCAGAAGAGAGAGATGCCTGATGCTTTTATCCCGTGGCCTTTAGATGATGCTCTCCAACCCACCTATAGCTTGTGGTTGCCCAGTGTTCCCTACTCCATTATAGTGAAGTGGTCCCATTTGGTCCCCCCCCCCCACCTCGGGTCAATTTCTGGTCCATCGGCCAAGCAAAGTGACATGGCTGGGATGTCTGGTGTTCTCTGGGACTCTGCTAGAAAGGACCACAGCTGATAGGAGAGCCAATTGCATGAGCAGCTTGTTATTTATTTAGCCTATTTTTAACCTAATTTAAACGCAGGCAATTAAATCCACAGGCAAAGCAGCAGGATTTGGTACTGCTCTTTGACACTTTCTTTTGGAATTGTTTTCCAGCGCAACAGATTGTCATGTCATTGTCACTTTTTGTCCTTGTGCGCTTTGCTAGGTTTATGCTTCCGTTTCAAGGAAGTTGTGTTGTGCAAACCCTTTCAGCGAAATTTGAGGCTCATGTTGTGGTGTGAGAGGGTGCAAATCCTCGTCAGGACACCCTCTAAGATTGCTGAGAACCCAACCGTGAGCAAGCATTGTGATTGGCAGCACTGTGCGGAATGGGATTCATGCGTGTCAGAGGCACGTTCTGGGTATTATTTGGGACTGCTTTTTAAGTGATGAGAGACACAAGTCCTCACGGTGGGCTCTTCTTCCCCTTCCTCTTTTGGGGAAGAGATGTGTCTCAGTAGTAGAGTGCATGCTTTGCATTCGAAAGGTCCCAGGTTCAGTCTGAAACCCTGGAAAGCCACTGCTGACAACACTGAGCCAGATGAGCCAATGCATTGTAAGGCAGTTTCCTGTGTTCCTGTTGGGCCTCAAACCTGAGGCCTCTTCAGATGAGGGGCACAGGGACCTGGACTCGGCAGCAAATCTCCAAACTGCTCAAGGATCCCGAGGAGCCATCAGACGTGGGCATTCCTGCCCCGAGACTGGCAGTCTCTCAGACCATTTGGGGCAACAGCCCTGTGTTTTGGGTGTTTAATTCTATCCAGAGACTGGCAAGAAAGAAGCCTTAGCATCTAGGCAAAAAGGGGTCCCTCTTTACATAGCACATAGTTAAACTATGGAATTCACTCCCACAAGCTGCAGTGATGACCACCAACTTGGAGGGCTTTAAAAGGGGATTAGACCAATTCATGGAGAATAGGATTGTCAGTGGCTACTAGTCTTGATGGCTCTGTTCTCCCTCTACAGCTGGAGGCGTTATGCCTGAGAATGCCAGTTGCTGGGGGAGAGTGCTGCTGTCCTCTGACTTTGCTTCTGGACTTCCCAGTACAGACATCTGGTTGGCCACTGTGAGAACAGGATGCTGCTGGGCCCCTTTGGTCTGATCCAGCAGCCAGGCTTTTCTTACGGATTTGGCCCACAACCTGCATTTCTTCGCTGTCGGTGTCGGAAGTTGGCTGCCTTTCCATGGTATATGTCAGCAGAGCCGAAAACCAGGAGAGTTGAGCTTCGCATGCCAGACTACTAAATAAATACCTGCTTCTCTGCTTGGGCACAGAAGTTGGTTGTCCTGGATATAGGAAGCAAAGCCACAGTGAGTGGCTGGCATTTGCATCCAATTTCAACTTCCTGTTTATTTCAGGTTTTAAACGCTGGTACCTCCAAAACAAGAGCTCATAAAAAGGTTTCCCCCTTTCTACTCTTATGCCCTGTGCAGTGTTAGAAACTAGGACAGAAAAGCTAGGAGCCAAATGGCTCCTGGGACCTGGGCTGTGGGTGCCAAAACAGAATGTCTACTCGCCATGGGGGTGTCAGCAGCACCTTTTATTTATTATTTTGGAAACCATGAACTAATACACAGTTCACATAAGTGACACATTGTTAATAGCAAATTTTTAACAGAAATTGTTAATACATTTTATTGGTGTTTACAATAAAAATATTGGTACCATATTTCAGTTTTCAAAACACTCTACTCTTTATTGTTAAACTCCTTAACGTATTATCTATCTTTAACATATACTTCGAGGCTTCAAAGCACATACATTTTAGTAATCCTTGAGTGTCAGACAGGTGCAAAAAATGTCACTCAGACTTTTTGAGGCGCTCACAAATGGAGAATCTTAAGGTGCAAAATGCACCTGGCGCCCTGCTAATTTCGAACTCTGGCCCTGCATCCTTCAGCATAGACCTCACCCACAATGACTACACCCCTGAGCAGTTGCTTGCTGTGTGCAATTAAGGAGGCCTATATTTTCCATGTCTACATCTGCTTGCCTGGTTGCTAGAGCGGTTGAGAACAGGAAGTGATGGTGTAAATTCTATCCTATACTTAAATAGTCCAGCCCAACATATATAAGAACATAAGAAGAGCCTGCTGCATCAGGTCGATGGCTCACCTAGCATCCTATTCTCACAGTGACCAACCAAATGTGTGTGTGAGAAACCCACAAGCAGGATCCAGGCAGAAGCGCCCTCTTGCCTCACTTGGCTTCTAGCAACTGGCATTCAGAAGCATTGCAGCCTCTGACTGTGGAGGCAGAGCATAGCCATCACGGCTAGTAGCCATTGGTAGCCCTCTCCTCGTTCATGAATTTGTCTAATCCTCCTTTAAAGCCACCCAAGCTGGTGGCCATCACTGCCTCCTGCAGGAGGGAGTTCCACAGTTTAACAATGTGTTGAACTATATTAGAAGGCTGCTTCCCTTCGTGCTCTGTCTTGGCGTGGAGGTTGAGGGACAGGCCTTCAGGTTGTCTTCAAAATCCTTCACTGATAGGACTGTGTATCCTACATGGATTGCATGTTTTGCTAGAACAGCCAGCGGTCAGCTGATTCTTCATGTTAATAATCAGAAGTCGAGAGAAGCTTTGTGTGAAGGGACATAACTGTGCTTAATTAACAGAGATGATCATGGTATGTTTGGGGTGGTGACCCATGCTCTGTGGATCAGGAAAAGGTGGTGACAATAAGGAAAACCTCCCCTTCCCTTCTAATATTTTATTCTGTGCATTTTGTGAGGAGCAGAGATCACTGGAAAAGGATGCCTTGGGAATGCTGCACTCCTGTGAAGTTAAAGAATGTGTGCTTTGTTGTTTACATTTATGTCCCACATTTCCTTTAAGAGACTCGTGTGGTATGCAAGGCACTTCTCCACCCCCCACCCCAGTATCCCCACAGCAACCTTGTATGGTAGGTTAGGCTGAGATGCAAGGTCAACAAGTGAGCTTGGTGTCTGAGTGGGGATTTGAACGCAGATCTCCCCAGTCCTGACCTAGAATCATAGAATTGTAGAGTTCAGCTGGAGTGCACAATCTGCTTTCATGGGCCATCATTCTGATATGAAAATTCTTGACTCTTACTTAAGCCTCTGAGAGGTGCTTTGGACTTTATGTGGCAATAAACCCAAGCGAGTCTGGGTGGCAGAAACGTTCTCCTTAAATGAGCAGTGGGCACGTGTTGGGGAGCACAGCCATTCGGCCAACTGGGACTCCCTGGAGACTGTTCCCAGCTGTGCTGGAATGCCTGCCTGCTCTTCACTGTTTACAAATGTTATGCAGAGAACTCTAGCTTAGCTCTGCCAAACCCAGCAGCTATATAATAAGAGTTGCTTTGGCTTGGTTAGGCAATTTCTAGCATTGCACCCTCCTAAAAATCACAAAAGCAGGTCCTTCCCACATGCTTGCTCTCTTAAAACAGCCAGGTACGAGGCCCAAGCAGAAGAGTTCATAATTTCATAGGCCACCTCCCATTCGCTGGCCTGTAAACCGTAGCAGGATGGGTACCTGGCAAAGTGGGATCTAATCCATACAAAAACCTGATAACGAAAGCATACTTACTGTGCTATCACAGAAATGAAGGTGGGTCACTTCTGGAACAGAAGCAGACCTTTGTGGACTTGGTTCAAAGTCTGCTGTGCAAATAATTGTTTTGTTTACCTTTAACGGGGTCATTCCATACAGACCCATTTTTCATTTTCATGTGTAGTTAACGTGTTCTATATCATTTTAAAGACAATTTTCCAAAGTCCTTTATCTGTTTTCCAAAGTCAATTTTCCATTATCCGGCAACGGTTTTTCAAAATGGCATTTTGCACGTGAGTAAAACAGCCAGAAGCATGATGTGCAAATGACTCAGAAGTGCTCTCATCTTTTTCTGAAGTTCGTTTAACGACCTCTCCAAGAAGACAGACAAGCAGCTTCAGTGCTTCAGAGCACATTGCTCTCCCCACAATTGATACACAGCTATATCTTACCATGCCACCCTCTTCCAGAGCAGCTGTGTTAGGATATCTCTGAAGTTCTTCCCATTTTGTTTTTCTAGAAAGTGGTTCCCTCTCTGGTGTACAGACCCCCTCCCCCATGTGAGTTGAATGAATGCTAATCTGACACCATTCACAAGACCAACCAGCCAAAAAAATAGTTGGGGTGCTTAGTGCGGCCTGTTCCTCCTGACAGTCACTTATATCCAGCGATCCCAAACTTCTTTGGACCACTGCCCCCTTAGTTCCGTAAACTCATCCCCAATGCCCACTATCCTACCTTATAAAAAACATTACTCAGAATAGAATACAGTCATACCTCATGTTACGTTTGCTTCCAGTTGAACGTTTTCAGGTTGTGTCCTACGGCAACCTGGAAGTACTGGAAAGGGTTACTTCTGGGTTTCGCCGCATGCACAGACGCGCAAAATGACGTTACGCGCATGCGCAGAAGTCGCGAATCGCAACCCGCGGACGTGCAGACGAGGGTTGCGTTCTGCTCATGTTGCGAACGGGCCTCCGGAACAGATCCCGTTCGTAACCAGTGGTACCACTGTATCTTTAATAAAAACAATTTTAAAAAACAGCAGTTTGCACGACCCACTAAGGAAGATAATACAACAAAATTCAAAGAAGTAACAATGATTTGCACATTTGTTCAAAATCCATTTAAAGGTAAAGGTACCCCTGCTCGTACGGGCCAGTCTTGACAGACTCTAGGGTTGTGCGCTCATCTCACTCTATAGGCCGGGAGCCAGCGCTGTCCGCAGACACTTCCGGGTCACGTGGCCATCGTGACAAGCTGTATCTGGCGAGCCAGCGCAGCACACGGAACGCCGTTTACCTTCCCGCTGGTAAGCGGTCCCTATTTATCTACTTGCACCCAGGGGTGCTTTCGAACTGCTAGGTTGGCAGTTTAATTAATTCGACAAAACAGATGGGCTTGATCGAGTGATACCAGCTTTTCAGAGTCTGATAGCCATTTACACCTCCTGGGTCTCCCCTCTTGCTTCTTTGCGCCCCTCTAGGCACTCCCACTGCCCCCAGGGTGTTGGCCTCACCCCCTTTGGGAACCGCTGCTCATATCCAGCCACAACAGTCCATTACTACCACCTCTTGTAGAAATGCTTTTCTCACTGGCGGAGAAAAAGCAAATCGCAGTGTGAATGGGATGAAAAGCTTCAAGGCGATTCCTGTGGTTTGTCTCCATTAACACACTTCGTGCGCCTGACCTTTGCCTGAGTGGCACTTGCCTTTTCTCTTGACTTCCCCCTGAACTGTAGCTCCTCTTTTGCTTGGTGGCAACGCAGGGCATTTTGGTGCGATTTCTCTGCAATGCCCTAGTAAGGAAAATGTTTTTGCTTTTTAATTATGAGTCGTGGAAGTGGGTGGCGGGGGAGAGGAGGAGGGAGTGGGAAGAGGAATTTAGTTTCCCTTCAGGAATCCCTTATCGTTCCTATCTGCAGCTCTGCTGGGGATCTGGATTCTTCTGCGCACTCGGTTCTCCGGGACCAAATCGACACCAACCGGCCCCCACCAGAATCAAGCCGCAGGGCTGATTCCTTGAATGCTGGCAGCTGCGTTCCAAGGATTTATACCCTGCGGGTTGCATTCCTCAGTCTGGACATGCAGGCTGTGGGCTGGTTGTGGAGAAGGAGTTAAGATGAGCCCTTCTGGATCAGGCCGAAGTCTCTCTCCTGCCTGGCATCCTGCTTCTCAAGCTGCCAAGCCAGATGCCTCTGGGCAGCCCAAAAGCACGGCAAGTAAGAAGGCAGAGACACTCTGGTTCCTTTTAGCCATTGCAAGATAGGAAAGGGATCTTGGAGGCCGCACAGTCCAATGCTAGCTGATAGTAGTAGTAGTAGTAGTAGTAGTAGTAGTAGTAGTAAATAATTACTTACTTACTTACTTACTTACTTATTTATTTATTAATACCCTGCCTGTCCGGCTGGGTTTCCCCAGCCACTCTGGGCGGCTCCCAACAGAATATTAATAACTCAATAAAGCATCAAACATTAAAAATTTCCCTAAACAAGGCTGCCTTCGGATGCCTTCTAAAAGTCAGATAGTTGTTTACTTCCTTGACATCTGATGGGAGGGCGTCCCACAGGGCAGGCACCACGACCAAGAAGGCCCTCTGCCTGGTTCCCTGCAACCTCACTTCTTGCAGGGAGGGAACCAGCAGAAGGCCCTCATAGTTAGACCTCAGTGTCCGGGCTGAACGATGGGGGTGGAGACACTCCTTCAGGTATACTGTTAGGGCCTGTTAATAGTCCTCTCCACCTCCTCAGATTTGTCTCATCTCCTGTTAACATGTTTTGTGTTGCAACTCGCTTTGATAATGGACTCCGTAAATTAAGAGTTCTCCATAATCATCAGAAGCACGTTGGTGGCTCAATCCTCAAAGCCGATCACACGAGCGAGATCACTGGCATGTACACGGAGCGAGTGGATGAATGTCAAATCTAAATAAACTCTTTTACAAATTCTGGTTCAAGCCCTTGCCCAGCCAGGAGAGTTCTTGTGGCTTTGACCAAGAAACCCTCTCTCTCTCTCTCTGGCGTTGTAGGTGAAATACGAACACTGTTGAACTGAGGACACACACACCTGATTAATCTTGAAGGCTTTGAATGAGACAGGAAAGAAATATTTCTCCAAATGCTGCAGACTGTAGTTAGGCCTATATGGAGACCAGAAAAGGGCTTGAGTCCAGGGGGGCTTCCCCCTTTTACAATGTTCTCGTTCTTCTGGATTCCAGCAGCAGCTTGTTCTGCAAAGGCCTTTTGGCAGGGACTGATGGTCTTCTTGATAGTTGCCCTGGCGCCAAATTGCAGAGGCAGTTCAGCCAGCAGGAAGGCAGCCCATCCCCCTCTGGGCATTTTTAAAGGGTGTAGAAAGAGATGTAGGGACGTGGGTGGTGCTGTGGTCTAAACCACTGAGCCTAGGGCTTGCCGATTGGAAGGTTGGCGGTTTGAATCCCTGCGATGGGGTGAGCTCCTGTTGCTTGGCCCCTGCTCCTCCCAACCTAGCAGTTCAAAAGCACGTCAAAGTGCAAGTAGATAAATAGATACCGCTCCAACGGGAAGGTAATGGCGTTTCCGTGCGCTGCTCTGGTTTTGCCAGAAGTGGCTTAGTCATGCTGGCCACATGACCTGTCTGCAGACAAACGTCGGCTCCCTCGGCCAGTAAAGTGAGATGAGCGCCGCAACCCCAGAGTCGTTCGTGACTGGACTTAACTGTCAGGGGTCCCTTTACCTTTAAAATGAGATGTGGGTCTTGTCCCTAATATTTCATTTCATCTGTTTATTTCATAAAATTTATACACTGCTTGATTAACAAAAAAACCCTCGGAGTGGTTTGCAAAGAGAATAAAACACTAAAATTGGTAGTAAAAACAGCTCTTTAATGCAGTCAAAAGATAAAATCAGCCATAAACTAAAAACAAATTGAAACATACTCCAACCTTCTACATGTCTGGGTAGGCTTGTCTAAGCAAGAATGTTTTCAGGGTACAGAGAAGGCACCCACCCGATGTCAAGAGGCAGAGAGTTGCAGAGTGCGATTGCTGCCACCTTAAAAAAAGATTTCATACACATGCATAATGGGTATTGTGTGGCACCCGTAGCAATGCCAGTGATGCAGATAAAAGCACTGGAGTGGGCGCATATGGGGTCAGGCCATCTTGCAGGTATATTCTCCCAAAGGGAGAAGGTTTGAGGCTGCTGGAAGTACAGTACCTCATTGCAGTGGTGATTTGCTGAGAGGATGGAGGCATTTCCATGCCCCTGCCTACGGGAATGAGTCTGATCATGTGGAGTGTCTTCATATCAGCCCTGAACCTTCTGAGTTGGCACTGAATTAGTGCCTCTCCATGTGGTTGGGCTGATACTCCTGACAAGCAAGCAAACAAGCATTTATTTATCTCCTAGGTTTCTTTCCTGCCCTTCACCACAATGTTCCAACAATAAAATACGCAACTATAGAAGAAACGGTTGCAGTCACAAAACAAGAAAGCCTAAAAACAGTTAAGATCAGCCCCACATATAAATACAATACAAACGCTTAAAAGCAACTCCATATATAAACACAGTTTTCAAAGGTCCCAGTAGCGATGCGGGAGTGAGATAAATTCCTCCAGGCGTTGCAGCCGCTGTGAATTATTCTCAAGAAGAAGCATTTCCAGCAGCTTCCCATCTGGGGGCTGCAACAGGAGGTGTGGTTAAAAATAAATAGTTGAGCACACTCCCAGAGTTGATGGGAGCTGATCCTGAATGAGAATGAATGAATGAATGAATGGCCTAGCCTGCGTCCCTTGGATTCAGATCCCCCCTCAGTAGATGAGATTTGCAGTCCAGTTATCTCCGGAGGGCAACAGGCCCTGCCGCAGCAGATGCCATTGTGGCTACCAGGCAACCTCTTTCTTCGCTGGCATCAGAGCCGCGTGTTTTTGCCCAGTGGCTTTGCATCACACCTCAGTGGCCTGGGCCGATTCTTCCAAGAAGTCAGGAAGCCCAGTCCATGTGAAATGTACACAGAGATCGGAGGCTTGAGTTGTCTTGCTTGTTCTGAAAATGGCCACGTTGCTTTGATTTGCTTTCCGTGTCTCATTCTGGGAAATATCAGAGGGCACGCAGAGCTCCCTGAGTTTTATCGGTGCTGAAAGGCTCCCCGTGAAAACAAAGAGCCTTTTGTTCTTTTAACCGCTTGAAACTTGTCTGTGGATCAAAACAATTGTTCTCACTTGGCACACTTGTCTGGCTAAGTTGATTTTTTAAAAGAAATAAACAAAAAGCTTTTACACCTTGAAGGGATATGTAGAGATGATCTTTCCAGATAAAATACAGTCTTTGATCGCACTGTAGTGCACATATTGTTCATAATAGAATGATGCAATGGAAAACCTACACCTGGATCCATAATTGTCTAACGGTGGACCATCATAATGGCATTTTTTAATCTGTGTTTTCCGGAAACGGTGGAATACATGTTTGCTTTTACAAAATTTTCCAGCTGTACAAAAAGATCTCTGCCTTAGATGTGCTATTTGTAAACCTGTGACCAGTGGTTTTTTGCTGTTTTTAAGGATATGACTGTAAATTGCATTGGGACATAGAATCAAAGAATTGTAGAGCTGGAAGTAATCTAAAGGGTCACGTAGTCTAACCCCCTGCAATGCTGGAATATGTGTGGAAGGCAACTAATTAATTACTGTAACTGTAATACAGTCATACCTCTAGTTGCGTTTGCTTCATGTCGTGGATTTTTGGGTTGTAAATGCAGCAAACCCAGAAGTGTATGCTACCGTGGTTTGCTGCGTGCGCATGAGCGCAGAAGCATTCTGCACGCTTCGCACATGCACAGAAGCACTCTATTGCACTCTGTGCTTGTGCAGAAGCGCTGCTTTAGTTGCGGACTTTTTGGGGTGCGAACGGCACCCCGGAACGGATCGTGTCCGCAACTAGAGGTACCACTGTACACCCTGCTCCCCTGTGGAAAACTAAGGCAGCATGCCACCCAGGGCTGACCAGAGGTGTGGGCTCCCTCTGAATTTCCAAAGCATCTGCCACAATAAATCTGTCTAAGATGCCCTCTATCAAAAAAATGTTCATTTAATAATAATAATAATAATAATTAATAATAATATTTTATTATTTATACCCCGCCCATCTGGCTGGGTTTCCCCAGCCACTCTGGGCGGCTTCCAACAAAATATTAAAATACAATAGTCTGTTAAACTTTAAAAGCTTCCCTAAACAGGGCTGCCTTCAGATGTCTTCTAAAAGTCTGGTAGTTGTTTTTCTCTTTGACATCCAGAAGGCCCTCGGCACTGGACCTCAGTGTCCGAGCAGAACGATGGGGGTGAAGACGCTCCTTCAGGTATACTGGACCGAGGTATAATAATAATATTTATACCCCGCCCATCTGGGCGACTTGCAGCGTATCTAAAAACATAATAAAATTTCAAACATTAAAAACCTCCCAATACAGGGCTGGCTTCAGATGTCTTCTAAAAGTCAGATAGTTGTTTATTTCCTTGACATCTGATGGGAGGGCATTTCGCAGTGCAGGCGCCACCACTGAGAAGGCCCTCTGCCTGGTTCCCTGTAACCTCATTTATCGCAGGGAGGGAACAGCCAGAAGGCCCTCAGAGGGCTAGATGAGCTTGTTCCCTTACCTGTTGGTATTCTACTTTGGGGCTTTATTTTATTATAAAAAAGAATCACACACTTTTAACTGAGCTGAATATTGTAAGGAAGACAACAACAACAACAGAGAAGTAAAAAGCTGGCATTCTGTGTCCAAAGTTTAGTAATTTATGTTTTGTTTGAAAATGAGAGTAAGCGTTTTGGAAATGTTGGGCTTCTGCAGATGAAGTGCCACTTCCAACTGGCAACGTTTAAAAGCAGAATTTTGCTCCAGATGTTTTTATATGACTCGCCAGAGAGATAAAAAAAAGGGGGGGCAAAGCAGTTCCTTGGCTATAAATGTGACGGGGTCTGCTGAACAGACAGGTGAAGAGATGAAAGTATGTGCTTGTTAGCTGTGCTCTGACAGAACTGAAGGCCTGATGTGTGGGGCAGAGACCCATGGAGGGTTTGCACAATGATGCTTCGAAATCAAACATAATTTGGGCTTGGACTGCGGAACCCTTTCCACTTCAGTGGGGACGGGTGACGTCTCTTGAATACCTCCCTCCTTAGAGCTTTTAACAGACGTGATCGCCTCCTCTTTCTCCTCCCCTCCATGCCAAACAAAGACCCACCTGGCCCAGCAGCATCCCTCTCCTTCTTCCCAGTGGGAAACCCTTTCGTTCTTGCGCTGCTTCCTTTCTGCCTTCTTGGACAGACCCCAGTGTACTTCTGAAGCACTGCAGGAAAAGAGAACATGCACTTTGTATTAGGGTGCCTTTGAAACCTAGACACGTAGAAATTGTACAAATGAAGCCATGATAAACCGGACAAACGAGTTGAAGGGAAGAGTGTTGTTGTTGTTTAGTCGTTTAGTCATGTCCAACTCTTCGTGACCCCCTGGACCAGAGCACGCCAGGCACTCCTGTCTTCCACTGCCTCCCGCAGTTTGGTCAGACTCATGCTGGTAGCTTCGAGAACACTGTCCCACCATCTCGTCCTCTGTCGTCCCCTTCTCCTTGTGCCCTCCATCTTTCCCAACATCAGGGTCTTTTCCAGGGAGTCTTCTCTTCTCATGAGGTGGCCAAAGTATTGGAGCCTCAGCTTCAGGATCTGTCCTTCCAGTGAGCACTCAGGGCTAATTTCCTTCAGAATGGACGTTTGATCTTCTTGCAGTCCATGGGACTCTCAAGAGTCTCCTCCAGCACCATAATTCAAAAGCATCAATTCTTCGGCGATCAGCCTTCTTTATGGTCCAGCTCTCACTTCCATACATCACTACTGGGAAAACCATAGCTTTAACAGTGATCCATGAAGGGGGGAAGAGTGTTAAATGGTCTAAAACCTACCTCTCTAAAAAAAAAAGAGTATAAATTTCACCACCACCCCTCCTTTCTCCCCACTTCTTCCTGACATTATACTGTACTCAACCCAAATGTCTCATAACAAATGTAACTGATCTGTGTAAAAAACTTTACAACTCTACTAGGGCCTGGAGATCCAGGGGGGTCCCACCCAAACTTCAACCACGTTACCATTGGGGGGAGGAATTTGTCAAATTTGCAGATCATTTCTGAGCATATTTAAGGGAACTTATTATTTCCCTGTATGCATTAGTGTGGTGCCATTTTTTCCGTAACTTTTTACAACATTTGAGAAAAGAAATGGCATTAAGGAATTTTCAAAGTGACAGGGTATAAAGCACATTGCAAACTGTGAAACTCTCCTACGAGAAGCCGTGGTGGCCACCAACCAGGGAGGCTTGAAGAAAGGACTAAGCAGATTCATGGCTACGTTTTGCCTCCGCTGTCAGAGGCCAGATTCCTCTGAGTTCTGGTTGCTTGGAATCACAGTTGAGTGGGGCATTAAGTAATCACTTGTAGGCTTGCAAGAGCCAAGGGGGAGGAGAAGGGCATGTGAGTCCTGGAGATGCACAAAGTCTTTATAAACTAATCAGTGTTCTTGTAAACTGTTCGGAGATCAGATGACAGATGTCAGAGAAATGCCAGGGTGCGCTGAAATCTGATTAAAGGCATACTTTTCTGCGTTCCAGAGTCGGTTTTTCTTTTAAAATGTACATTCACTCTGCGTGTACATCTGATGTTAATTCTTTTCTGGCCTTCTATGATAGCGAATATTTTTCTTTTTATGTAGTGCCTGTAATCGGCAAAGATTCCCCAAATGCTTTGACAGTTGTATAATCGTGTTGTCGTGCTGTTGTGGGCAGCTAGCCCTGTACGCGAGGGGAAAGATATCTTAGTTTGGAAAGCTCTAAGCTCTCCACCAGAGAGAATCCTAAGTTGTTAAGAGGGAGGTGAGCCATTGACCATGGCTTTAAACTACAGCTGCCTCTGCCATCTTTGGGCGTAGATGTCTTAATCCAGGAGGGTTGGATTCCAGGTGCTTTTGTGTGCAGATGTGTTTCATACTTTCAGTTCCTTGCACAAAGGATCCTGGTCACTGCAGGTGGGGCTACCATAGCACCGTGAATCTTTTGATTGCCATTTGGGATAAAATCCTAGTTGGTGTGCTTGTTTTTATGCTCAGTTCAGCGCAGGGGGACCAGGTCACAACCAAGTGGAAAGAGCAGGTCAGAGAGTAAATGAATTGAGCTGGGGAAAGTAGCTCCAATGAAGTGAGGCAGGTGGGACTTACTGCTGCTGGCAACCCAGGCAGCTTCTGGGAGTGGTAAACTCCTGGAGCTTCCCTCTGACCCACCCCTCATTTGTGCTAATGCAGCACAACTAACGCAGGAGCATCACAGGCTGAGGCCCATCTCATGTGCCTCTTAGCTGGGGATGCAGCGGCCTGGACTCTCCCCATCTTTGCATGCAAACAGACCCTGTTTTGTGCATGTAGTCTCTTTGGCGATCACTTGTAGCTGAGTAAGATTGTCTTCCATAAACACAGTTTTGAGTCCATAAGTGACAGTGGAGCCAATTCTGGGGACATAGGTTTCTGGGTGAGAGTTGCTCACGGTGAGGGTTTTCCAAGCATGCCTTCCTCTTAGCACGTTTCTCCCTTTCATCCTGAGTTTGAACTCTGAACTTAAACTGCATGTAATAAGGTCCAGGTATCCAGTCCAGGTATCCTTGCAGGCAGCCTGCAAGCCAGCTCTTAATTCAAACTTTCTGACGGTAAGAGCTACTCAGCAGTGGAGGTGGTGGACTTTTCTTCCTTAGAGGTTTTTAAGCAGAGGATGGATGCTGTGGTTGCTTTCGTTGAGATCCCTGCATTGCAGGGGGTTGGACTAGATGACCCTCGGGGTCCCTTTCAACTCTGTGATTCTATGAAATGACAAGAAAAGAGATTCCAACTGAAACATTGGGAGGAACTTTTTGAGGGTAAGAGCTGTTTGACAGACTCCCACTGGAAGGTGGTGAGCTCTCCTTCACTGGAGGTTTTAAAACAGAGATTGGGGGCCCATTTGCCAGGGTTTCTTTTGTTGAGATTCCTGCCTTGCAGAGAGTTGGACCAGAGGACCAACTCTACAGTTCTGTGATTCTTTTTGTTGTTGTTAAATAATTTTTATTCATTTTCAGTTACAAAAGTCCAATATAAGCCATATTATATCAATACCAAATTACAATGCCAATTCAAATACAGATCAATCACATAGCCAAATATAAAATTTAAGTGGCCCTACAGTTCTATGATTCTTATTGGGGTGGGGCTGGAAAGGTAGACTTTTCACAGAGCAAATAATCACTGCCTGGGTGTTGCTGCCCTGCTGATCTGCTTGCTTTCCTGGGGGCCTGGGTCTCTCTCCTCCTCCTGCCCCTTAGCAAGGCAACCTCTTCTCTTAACAGGGGCTGTGGCAAGACCATGGCCCGTTCCTTTGCACCTGCACTGTCTTGTCATGCCCTCCTTGGATTTTGCCCTCCTTCCATTGCTTTCATTCTAAGCTAAAGATCAGAGCCACACAGGATATTTTTAGTTTCATTACTCTATTTATAGGCTGCCTTTCATCCACAGCCACACCCAAGATAGTTTGCAATGAAAACAAAAGCCTAGTTCTTGCTTTGTGTGGGCAGACACGCCTCCTGGCCGTCCTCATTCAAAATGTCCCTCTTCCCATTCCTCAAAGTTCAAGGTGATCACCTCACGGCTTCTTCATAATTCAGCCGTCTTCCAGCTCAGGGTTTGGAGGTTGGCATATCGCACTTATTTTACAGATGTGTATGGAAATTTTATTGGTCTTCAGACCCTTGCCCCAAGGCACCTTGAATGGTGAAGTCTGGCAGGAGTTTCACCCGCAGAGTTTATTAGTGGCTTTCAGCAAAAGTGTGTCTTGTTTAAATAGCATCCAGTTGGCTTCCGCGGTTCGTCTTTGCCTCTCTTCACGTTAAAGGCATGGGCTATGTGCCATATGCTAAGGCCATCCGAAGAAACTGCAAAATGTGGTGCATCTCAAAAGGTGCTGGCAAACTAGAAAACTGGCTGCACCCAGTGCACATTGATTCCAACATCTGCCAACCTAGCATTTCGAAAGCATACCAGTTCAAGTAGGAAGGTACCACTGTGGTGGGAAGGTAGGCAGCATTTCCGTGCGCTCTGGCTTCTGTCACAGTGTCCTGTTGCGCCAGAAGCGGTTTAGTCATGCCGACCACATGACCTGGAAAGCTGTCTGTGGACAAACGCCGGCTCCCTTGGCCTGAAAGCGAGAGGAGCGCCGCAACCCCATAGTCCTCTTTGTCTAAACTGCCCAGGGGTCCTTTTCATTTACCTTACCTATATTGATTGCTGCAATACTCTCTTCTTGAGAGACAATTACTTTCTTCTATGATTCCCAGGCTGTGCCATTCAAGCAGCTGACTTAGTAAGAGCTGGAAGTTGTGGGGCTTGAGGAGCTGACCCCCTGGCAAGTCAAAGGGGGCCACAAGCCCTCTTTGATGGATTTCACTGCCTCATGAGTTCATCTAGCAAGAGAGGGACTACACAGAAAGTGGTGCCTTTCCTCCTGAGGAAATTTACATCTGAAGAAAGGTTGCAGCGTTCGGGACCTTATTAGAGAAAAGACGAGTAAAGAGGTGGAATAATAAAAGTTTATAAAAATGAGAGGCAGGACTGAGATTTGGATACGTTTCGAGGTTCAGACTGTGGGAAGCTGTAAAATCAAAATTACAATTCAGAAGACAATTTGATCTTTTTTTTATTTTAGTTTGTTATTTTCATTGGATAATTATTTGATATGTTAATTGGATGTTTTTTATTGGAAAATTAATAAATGCTCTAACAAAAAATAATAATAAAAGTTTATAAAATTATGTGTTGCATGGCAGAAGCAGGTAGAGAAAAGTTTTAGTTCTCTTATAACACTAGAGCTTGTGGACATCCTATGAAGCTGAATGTTGGAAGATTCAGGAAAAATAAAAGGAAGTCCTTCTTCATGCAGCACGTAGATAAACTATGGAACTCACTCCCACAGGAGGCAGTGACAGCTACTTGGGTGGCTTTAAAAGAGGATTACATGAATGCATGGAGGAGGAGAGGGCTATTGATCACTACTAGCCATGGCACCAAGCTCTGCCTCCAGAGTTGGAGACAGCAATGCCTCTGAATCCTGGTTGCCAGAAACCACAGGAGGCGAGATCCTACTTGGATCCTGCTTGCGGATTTCCCTTTGGGGCAGCTGGGCAGCCTTTGTGAGAACAGGATACTGGACTAGATGGGCCATTGGCCTGATCCGGCAAGCCCTTCTTATGTTCTTATTGTGCTGCTTGGCAAGAAGGGTTTGTACCGTTGAGAAATACTTGGTGACCAGCCCATTGGGCACAGTCATGACTGCTCACAGGGGGTTTTTTGGCCTCTATTTTGTTCAGATCCACCAGGCCCAATGGATGACCCAACAAGGCACCCCACCATCCATGAACTGTGACCTGAGCCCTCCTATTTTGCAGCCCCCAGACAAGCAGCGACAGCACCAGGTCTGCGAAGCTGCAGGGGGTTCCACCATGTACGATGCTAGCTGTATTTCTCTTGGCGTGTTGCAAGTTGCACAGTCTGGTTTTGTGGGTTGTGGTGCTTTGTTTGAGACCTCTAGAAGGAACAAGGCAAGCACCCAAAAGACATGCAGAGGAGGGGGAATAGGAGAGGGCTGTCTGATGCCCTCAGCTGGGGAGTCCTCAGATGTTATATTTTTATATGCTTGCAAAGAGAGAGAGAGAGAGAGAGAGAGAGACTTTCTGCCTCTGCTGAACCAGAGCAGGAGGGACTGCATAGTTTTTGTGTTGGGCTATGAATAGATCTATATAAATCTTGCCATAAATGTAGAACTATAAATACTATAAAAAGAGAGTTTCCGGCCAGTCCGCCTGTGAGGAAATGGCTCTGTTGGTGTGGCCAGAAAGTGTTTGGCCAACAATACTCATCTCCAGGAATGTGTGCTTGGCCACCCTCCTTTCGTAGCTGGGCTCTGCCGGGCAGGCTAGCGTGCTCTTTCGAGGTGGGACGTCCAAAGGGTTCGAGCCTTGGGTGCGATTCCTAAGAAGAGCAAAGGAACGACGGCTGCCACAAGCAAGAATGGATTCATACCTGTCGTTCTGTTTCTCGGTTGAAAGTGATCCCTTACAGCCCTTGCGTTTGTTCTGTTTTGAGAAAGCTGAAACCCTTTGTCCACCTCTAAACGCTTTTGAGCCCCGGCTCCTGCTGTTTTTAGCTAGATTATATTAACTGGAGCATGAGAACCAGGAAGCGAAACGGGTAGCACAAAGTGGGCAAAATTGAGATAAGTTGCCTGACTCAATTAGATTAATTTGTCAATTAGATTCCCGCCCCCTCCAAGGTCCAATGAGTTAGGCTCAGAGTACACAGCCAAGCAAGACAATTCTTTTAATAAATGCAAATTGTATTCTGACAAACCAAGGTGAGATACCCCGAAATGCATGAACAAGATTAGGAACACTCCCCAGCCCAGCGCTCTAGTAATCAGTTCGCAAACAAAACTGTTTATTAGCAAGGTGAAATTGTGGCCCCCACATGTACTTAAATGAACCAGTTTTGCATTGCTCTTTGCACTATTCTTGCTGATTTGCTACCGGTCCAGGTTCAAGGTGTTGCTAGTAGCATGCAAAGCCCTTAACAACTTGGGATAGGTTTAGCTGCAAGATCCCCTTACCCTCATGTATGCCCACTTGACCGCTTTAGTCTTTGGAACTGGCACTGTTGTTACAAGTGCCACATAATACTCATTCCACATTTGTAAGAATTCAATGTTTTAGTGTGGCAGCTCCTGCACTTTGGAACTCCCTGCCTGTTGATGTCAGGCAGGCGCTATCACTGTACTCTCTTCAGTGCCTGCTAAAAGCATTCTTGTTTAGGCAAGGCTACTAGATATTTAGAAAGTTGATGCAAGTTCAGTCTGTTTTTAGGCTATTGCTGTCTTAACTTTTTGAAAGTCATAAATTATTGTTTATTGTTATTAATGATAATTTTATTTTACTTTTTTGCACATTGCATTATTATTTTTTTTTACAATCAAGCAGAGTATAAATTTCATGAAAATAATAATTGCAAGGGGTTGGGCTAGGTTACTGCTTGGGTCCCTTCCAACTCTGCTATTCTATTAATCTATTAAATAAATAAATCTATTAATTAAATAAATTAATACTTGCCAGGGAGCTGTAGGTGGGGCACAAGTCCCCCCCTCCTCTTTTAATCCCCATAGCAGCCCTGTGTTGTGGCTGAGAGACAGTGACTTGCTCAAGGTTTATGTGGGGGGGGGGATTTGGGGGGGACGTGTGTTGGGATCCACAGTGTGAAAGAAATGCCCTTCTTCCAGGGGCCTGACACTTTCTCACCCTTGCATTGGCAGCTGCTCTTTAGCAAGTTTGGCAACTGGTTCATTCAGCTCAGTATTGTCAACTCTGACTGGCAGGGCTCTTTCCCAGCCCTATGTGAGATGCCAGCAGGGAGACTTTCCGCATGCAGCTGAGCCGCAGCCCCCCCTCCCCCCCGCTAACACTTTTCTAAGCAGCTACCATTGTTTTGGCCGGTGGGCAGATTACCCTGCAGAAAAGGTGAAAATATTTTGAACACTCCAAGGAATGTATATGGGCAAGCCTGTGGGCTGGGCTTTGTTGACCTTAGGGCTCCGCTCCTCTCGCTGCTCTTGCCAAAGCACAAAGCAGACGCTGGCCTGTTTTTCCTAGGTTAAGTCTGCATTGCGCTCAGCAGCCATTGCTGAGAAGCACTCTTCAGGTGGAACTCTGCATGTGCCCCATAACTGTTTGTCGGTTTCGGCTTTGCTCTGATCAGTGGTGCCATTGCAGACAATTAGAGAATGCCTCACTAGTCAGCGCAAGGTATTTTCACACACTGGCAGCTGTGCATAGAATTGAATGTTCATATGGAATCCTATGAAGCAGTTCAAGGGGTCCACAGAAAACAATTTAGTAATGGCAGACAAGTGTCCAGAATGTGTGGTTTCCTTGGGGCTGAAGCCTTGGGATGTGCATGCACTGCTCTGGCCATTGTCCTAGAAGCCCCCCTCCCCTTCTTTCCACCCCTCACAGTGCTTTCCACATGCCTGGCATGGAGAACGTGGATGGAGAGAGGTTTATCTCCCTATCTCATGACACTAGAAGCTGAATGTTGGAAGATTCAGGGGAAAAGAAAGAACTTCTTCATGCAGCACATTGTTAAAATTAGGAAACTCTCTCCCACAGGACGCAGTGATTGCCACCAACCTGGATGGCTTTAAAAGAGGATTAGACAAATTCATGGAGGAGTTGAGGGCTACTGATGGCTCCTAGCCCTGATGCCTATGCTCTTCCTCCCTGGTCAGAAACTGCAACGCTCCTGAATGTCACTTGCTGGAAACCATAGGAGGGAAGAGGGCTCTTGTGCTCAGATCCTGCTTGTTGGTTTCTCACAGGCCTCTGGCTGGCCACCGTGAGAATAGGATGCTGGATGTAGAAGGCATTGACACAAATTTCGAGAATCCTTTTGGTCCACAGTTGCACAGTTTTGGCATACAGTCGTACCTCGTTTTGCAGCTGGGATCCGTTCCGGAGCCCCGGCTGCTAGCCGAAAAGGATGCAGGGCAAAGAGCTGTGTCTGCGTACGCGCGGGGGAGCGGTTTGCGCTTCTGCGCATGTGCGAGTGGCAAACCCGGAAGTAACCCATTCTGGTACTTCCAGGTTTGCTGCGGATGTTCGCCGGAATGGATGCTAGACGAGGCGGACGTATTACTGTACTGTGGAAGCTAAGATTAATCTTTATTTTGCATTGAAGCTTGTTTTTAAGACCTAGTGACACTCACACAAACATCCCAGAAAGGTCCTCTAATTCTGGGGTTCATGCTAGACTTTCTGGGTTGATCAAAATTTTAAAAAGCAGAAATTTGAAGTGGATGCTACACTCAAGTTCTTGTAGTGCCTTCTGTCTGAGATCGCAAGACAGGAGGGTGACAGATATTGCACCCCTTCAGAAAGGCAGAATATATGAACTGTGTTACTTCCCTCTGAGGAATGAAATGTGCTGGCCTTGTGTGATATATATGGGTGGAATGAGTTTCCTTTTAAGTTCTTCTAAATCCTCTTCAGACATTAGGTAAAGCTGCAAGGAGCTTGCTTTAATGGAGTCAGGTCAGTGGTCAGTCTAGCGGCATAAGACTTCACCAGGTCTAAGCCTCCGCTGCTTTCATGGGAGGTTTGGCTGCTTACAGCTGAAACTGTGCAGATTAAAACCTTGCGCTCTCACACTTTTGCCTTGACCCAAGGCCCTAAAACCCCCTGCAGTTCCGCAGGAGGGCAAGTTTGAGCTTCAGCCAAGATCCAGAGGCAAAACCGCATTTGCTTTTGCAAGTTTCTCCTGAGTGATTCATCAGATGCTGTTATGTGGTTCCTTGGCTTTCTTCACTTTTCCTTCTTCTCGTTACCTTTTCAAATGATTATTAGCTCCTCATGGCTTTGGCTTTTTACGTGGGCTGTGGCTGACAGGAGCTGCTGACTCACTAAAGGCTGCTGAAGTCTCTCCCCCTGCCACCGGTTTCCACCCACCTCTGGCTTTCCATCTCTGACATTCAGGTGTAAAAGTGTTTATACAACATTTCCCTGCAGATTGAGCAAGAACCGGTCCATTTGCCCCAGTCCTTGTTTCTGGGTTCTGGCTATGGGATATGTCAGGAGGTCCCAGCTTCTTTCCACTGTGTGGTCTTGGGCAACCCAGTCAGATGGGCGGCATTTAAATGATAAAATAATAATAACAATAAACAATGCCACTTATTGATAGCTTTTCCAGTAGTGCAAAGTCACCAACAACAAATCATGCAGGAGGTTGGACTTGATTATTACCCTTGGAATCTCCTCCAGCTTTGGGATTGTATGAAAAACACTAGACAACAGTTTCTCCATTCCATGCATAATTTTACAAACTTCTATCATGTCACTTCTCACTTGCCTTTTCTCTAAACTAAAAAGCGCTAAACGCTACAACCTTTGGGGAGAGGGGAGTGTCGCTCCAGCCCCTTGACCATTTGGGTGGCCCTTTCTTGAACCCTTTCCAGCGCTGAATCGTGCCCCTGCTGGCCTGCTCCCTGCTTCCCTGTTTGCAGGGGAACTCACAAGACTCCATTTAACATGGAGCAGCTCAGGCCGAAAATATTTTAGAAATGAAATCGGATCCCTGGATGACAGGAGGAAAGGCTTGGTGCAGAAGCCTGCGGGGCACATTCCTGGTTCTGTGACCAGGCCCTGTCTTCCCAGGCTTGCGTTGTGGTGGAATTGCAGGAGTCGGAGCTTGCCAGGTGATTGAAACAGAAAGGTTATGTGAGTCAGAAGAAAGCAGCCAGAGGAGGGGCTGCAAGAGACGTGGGTTTATAATGGCACTCTGAGACATGGTCTGGTATGGGGAGGTTTCAGGCGTGGCTGTTCTTGTTTGGACAGGAGACGGCATTAGAAGTTGCCTCTGGGCAGCAAAACTGGGGCTCTGTCATTCTAGAGAAGATGGCCTGGTTTAAGGCTGCCAAGAGACCCAAATTATTCCCTCCACTATAACGCCGCTGAATACATCCCACCTTTGACAGGGAAGTGCAGATCTTTGTGACACCTCTTTGCCGGTTGTTCTTCTGTTTTTTATATATTTTAAGTGGCTCTTGTTACCTAACATCTCCCTTCAGAGAGCTCAGGGTGGCTTAAGTATAGTGCTTGGGTGGTCTTTTATCTTTAGCTAGACTTTCAGCAATAAGAACATAAGAATTTGTCCTATCCTCTTATAAAGTCATCTTGGGCACTGGTCATCATTACTTCCTGTGGGAGCAAGTTCCACAGTTTAACTATGTGGTGTGGAACGATGCGTAGAAATTCGTCATGTGTCCACAAGTCATCCTGAAAGGCCATCTCCTCGCCTAACAGTTCTAGTGGCCGAAACAAACATTCCTGGACGTTCCTGGGTTGCAACTCTTTGAAAGAGCTGGAGGAAGGTGTTTGGTGAGAGATGGGGAGGAAATCTGGCGGGGTGCCGGGCTTTGTATATACATAGCATTCTGCTTTTGTGTGGCTGTGTACTTAAAAACCACATGCGCAAACAAAGCCCTTCTCCAGTCCAGCGTACAGGAGGTCCTGCGCATGAAGTTCTGCCGCTTGGGGGGTGGAGATCCTAGCGTGTTTGTTCTTTCTGGCTATACAAATTGTACCGCTGGGGGCGGGAGAAGAAGGGGAGGAAATGGCTGGGTGATTCAAGGAAAGCATAACTCTGCTCTTAAACCTGCCTGCACGGCTTCCCTTCCATCCCTTTTCTTTCTTGGCTTTTGCACCAGAGAAAGGCTCCCCTGCAGCGCCGATCTGCTTTGCCAGGCTCAGAGCTCAGGGAGCTTTTGACGGAAGTGGATTGTGCTTGAGCTGGAGCAAAGTGGCACTTGCCGATAACGCGGCGAAAACCCTTGGACGGGCTCCAGTTGTTCCTGTGTCAGCACAGCGTGCTCTGGGCGAGGCTGGCATTTTCTGTTTCCTCTGCAGAAGATGACGGCGAGGCGGTTTGTTCCTGCTTTCCCTGCCCAGTTGTCACATGGGGGGGGTGTTCTTTGGAGCTTCGTGGGTGGGAACCAAAAGGCACACAGCCGTTAAAACAGTGAGGATGCATGCAGAAGGACCCAGGGTTTAGTCCCTGGCAACTCCAAGTGATGAGGTCTGAGACTTTGGGCAGCTGCTGATGCCAGTCAGCATAGACCGTTCTGGGAGAGATGGGATGGTGGTCAAGCGCAGTGTGTGTCAGCATTGTAGGTTTTGGGGTACATGATTCGATTCTGTAGCTTAGAATAATAGAATCGCAGAATTGTAGAGCTGGAAGGGTACCCAAGGGGCATCTAGTCGCAGCTCCCTGAAAGGCAGACATCACAGCTCAAGAATCCGTGACTGGTGGCCACCCCAACCTCTGCTTAAAAGCCTGCAAGCAGGGAGAGTCCACCACCTTCTGAGGATGTTAAGCAGCTCTTGTCTTTGGGGTCACGAAGAGTTAGACACGACTAATCGACTAAACAGCAACAACCACCAGAAAGTTCCTCCTAATGTTTAGTCAGGACCTCCTTTCTTGTAAGTTGAATCCATTGGTTTGGGTCCTCCCTCCTGGAGCAGCAGAAAACCAGCTTGCATCCTTTAAATTGGTGACCCTCAGTTGTTTCTGTGTTTACCCTCTGGAGGCTGTACACCCACGTCAGTGTTAGAAATTCAGATATGAAAGCTAGGAGCTAAATGGCACCTTCAACCTAGGTTATGGGCGCAGCAACGGAATGTCTAGGCGCATCTTTTTACAACAAGAACACAAAGCTGAAAATAAATGAACTGCAGCTAAAATATTATGTTCATTTCCCCTGCCCACCCCCCTAATATTCTTAAGAGGGTCTCTTCTCCAGTCTTCAGAGAGTAACTGGAAGTGGGGAGGCAGAAAAAGGTCCTCTTTTCCTTCCACTCTGCAGTTTTACTCTGAAATCTTAGGCGCTGTATTGCACCCAGAGCTCAGAAACTGCTCGCACTGATGAAATTCCCTGTCACAAAATGCGCCTAGAGCAATGAGAGTTTCGAACTCTGGCCTATGTGGAATATGTGACTGCACTGAGTGAGACAGTGACCCTGGTTGCTCAGTCCCTAAAGAGTCCCAAACATAGGTGGGACCTAGAAACTCTTGGGTGTTGCCTGCAAAGGAGCATTGCTCTTGTGCTTGCCTTGGCCTTTCCCCTGCTTTGCTGCCAAGGAGCCTTCGTGTCTCCAATCACTCTCTGTGCAGCCTGGTGCTCTCTGGCTCTTACCTGCTTAATTTAGAATGGCTTCCAGCCAGTTCCTTGGGCCCTTTTGCAGCAGAAATAGCCAAATGGACTACTTTGTCATGAAATATGCCCAACCTTCATGCTTCCAGATGTATCAAGGATTTCTTCCCCTGCGTGTAAATGAGTGGCACTTGTGCAAGAGCAGATGGAGGCCGTGTGGGACTTGAGCCGGAAATCCCTAGTTGGGGAAGGGGCTGTAGCTCCTGGGAGAGCAATTGCTTTGCATGCAGGAGGTCCCTTGTTCAATTCTTGACATCTTCAGGTAGAATCGTAGAGTTGGAAGGGACCCCAGAGGCATCTAGTTCAACCTTGTGCAATGCAGGAATCTCAACCATTATTATTATTATTTATTGAATTTGTATATTGCCCTATACCCAGAGGTCTCTAAACTAAAGCATCAATAACAGATGACCATTCCAACCTCTGCTTAAAAACCTCCAAGCAAGGAGAGCCCACCACCTTCCGAGGGAGTCCATTCCTCTGTCAAATAGCTCTTACTGTCAGAAAGTTCTTTCTAATGGTTATTCAGAATCTCCTTTCTTGTCATTTGAATCAACTAGTTTGGGTCTTGCCATCTGGACCAGCGGAAAACAAGCTTGCTCCCTCTTGCATGTGACAGCCCCCTTGATATGTGAAGATGGCTATCATATCTCCTCTCAGTCTCGGTCTCGGTCTCTTTTCCAGGCTAAACATACCCAGCTCCTTCAACAGTTTCTCTTAAGGCTCGGTTTCCAGACCCTTAGTCATTTTGGTCGCCCTCCTCTGCACACCTTCCAGCTTGTCAACACCCTTCTTCAATTTTGGTGCCCAGAACTGGACACAGTATTCCAGGTGTGATCTGACCAAGGCAGAAGTGAGTGGTACTATGACTTCCCTTGATCTGGACCCTATACTTCTGTTGACGCAGCCTAGAATAGCATTAGCCTCTTTTGCGGCTGCATCACATTGTCAGCTTGTGTTCAGCTTGTGGTCTTCTAAGACCCCTGGATTTTTTCCGCAAGTCAGGTGTCCCTCATCTTATATTTGTGCATCTGGTTCTTCCTGCCTGAGTGCAGAACCTTACATTTGTCCCTATTGAAATTCACTTCAGATATTCAGCAGGTGCCTTTTGTGCCAACTTCTAAATGCCTACTGAAAACTTTGCTATTCTACCAGACCTATGCAGGCAATTAAGAACACACAATGCTAAAGTGATGTCTGTTTTTAACTCTCTTTATGGCTTTTAGCGTATGGTTTTATTGCTGTAAACTGCTTTGGTGTATTTTTTTATGGCACAGTGGTATGCAGATTTTTAAAAATATATAAATAAGGAGTGGGTGGCACATGCCTTGAGAGCTGCTTGGGGTTGCAACAGCTCTCAAGTCACGCCTAGAGAATTTGGGGTGCAGATTTTTAATTCCCATGAATCCACAGCTGTGTTTGCACGGGTGCTCTTAGCTGTGGTTCTATGATTTAGTTCTGTGATTCTACCTCCAGGAGATTCTGCCTTAATACACAGATGCACATTAGAGCTCAGATAAATTGAAGACTCCATCCCCCAAAAAAAGCTTAGCATTTTTGTGTGCCCTTCTTGGAATTTTTTTTTTTTTAATGTTTGGTTTTGCTCTCTCCCCACCCCCTTCTACCTCACTTTGTTTTTCTGGGATTCTATAACAAGTTTTAACTTTTTGAGATAAGTTTCCCTCTTGGCCGCCTTTCCAGAATGAATAAACCAAGACACCAAGGGTGGTGCTTCAGCCCAAGCTTCGCTGCTTCCTCCCGGCCTCCTTTTATTATTCTGAAGTACCTCTTGGGGTAGCTGGCTGTGAAGGATTTAAGGCAGCCCTTTTCGAGTGCTGATAAAGATAATATCAAAGGGAATTAAGACTGCCTGCAATCTGAGACACTGAGGACAAAATCCATCTGAAACCAGTAAGCCAGAAAGGAAACGCTAGGCGTTGTGCAACCGTGGATTGTGCCCCAGCTAAGGAGAAGAAATTTGAATAATGGGCACATAATGTTTTGATGGCATTGATAGTTGCCATGTGAGCTGTGCGACAACAGTATGGTGCCTGGCTGCCCTGGGGTGCTACGGAATGGGTGGGGGCCCCCCAGAGACTTGGTCCACTTCCATGGGGGGTCACTTAACCGTTGCTCAGCCCTTTCTTAAAACCGTTGCTCATTCTGCCTCTTTGCTGACAGTCAGGATGGTTAAAAAGCCATTGAAAGATGGATTGGTTTCAGCCTTTCACGGCATGCACTCGTGTCTGTTGGATTTCTAGTCTGCCTGAGCGGTGTGTCTCAAGCTCCTGGTTTTGTAACTGTACAGATGTGACCGCAATAGCAAGGCAGCACGCCCCCAGATAGAAGGATCCCACGCTGCTTTTGAATAATTCCTGCGCGGAGGTTCCTCAAGTGCAAGGCAGCCACTGGAAATGATCTCTGCTCTCAGCTGGTCTTCCCCTCTTATTTATTTGTTTTAAACCACAGTGGCCCACCACACAGCCAAACCATAAATTAAATTTTTTAACAACACAGTTTACAAAAAAAACAATCAATCACCAAAACAGCAGTAGGAAAAGCAGCAGCAATTCTCCAGCTGCAACTCCGGTCAAAGGGAGAGAGTAAGAAAGAGAGACAATGAAAGCAGCCAGCACAATAAAACTCCCACCTGCACACAATAAGCCACACTGAAAAGAAAAGGCTTTACAGCATGGAAGGTGGGGCAAGCTTGTTTTCTGCTGCTCCAGAGCGGAGGACCTGAACCAGTGGATCCAAATGACAAGAAAGGGGATTTCAGCTAAACACGAGAAAGAACTTGACCGAGGAACGGACTCCCTCAGAAGGTGGTAGAGGATTTCAAACAGGGTTAGATGCCCAACTGTCGAGGATTATTGAGCTGTGATTCCTGCATTGCAGGAAGTTGGACTAGATGACCCTTGGGATCCCTTCCAGCGCTACAGTTCTGTGATTCTATGAACAGTAACATTACAACCATACAAACAGAAGGTAAAAAACCAAAGAAATGGGTCCCCAAATGCTTTTACTGTATGATTTTGGTTTTATTGCTGTAAACCGATTTGATATATTTTTATCATACAGTGCTGTGCATTTTTTAAAACAAATAAAATAATGGATACCCGCCAGCTTTGCCCCCCACCCATTTCTTTCCCATTGCACCTGCTTCCTCTATGGTTGCCACCCCCTTCCCCACCTACCAAATAATTACCGCCCAGTCAGTCTGACATCAATACCAGGGAAGATTCTGGAGCAGATCATTAAGCAAACAGTCTGTGAGCACCTAGAAAGGAATGCTGTGATCACCAATAGTCAGCATGGATTTCTGAAAAATAAGTCATGTCAGACTAACCTGATCTCGTTTTTGACAGAATTACAAGCCTGGTAGATGAAGGGAACGCAGTGGATGTAGCCTACCTTGACTTCAGCAAGGCATTTGACAAGGTGCCCCATGATATTCTTGTAAAGAAGCTGGTAAAATGTGGTCTTGACTATGCTACCACTCAGTGGATTTGTAACTGGCTGACTGACCGAACCCAAAGGGTGCTCATCAATGGTTCCTCTTCATCCTGGAGAAGAGTGACTAGTGGGGTGCCACAGGGTTCTGTCTTGGGCCCGGTCTTATTCAACATCTTTATCAACGACTTGGATGATGGACTCAAGGGCATCCTGATCAATTTTGCAGATGACACCAAACTGGGAGGGGTGGCTAACACCCCAGAGGACAGGGAGAAATGTAAAGTATTGCACTTGGGCAAAAAAAATGAGAGGCACAAATACAAGATGGGTGACACCTGGCTTGAGAGCAGTACATGTGAAAAGGATCTAGGAGTCTTGGTTGACCACAAACTTGACATGAGCCAACAGTGTGACGCGGCAGCTAAAAAGCCAATGCAATTCTGGGCTGCATCAATAGGAGTATAGCATCTAGATCAAGGGAAGTAATAGTGCCACTGTATTCTGCTCTGGTCAGACCTCACCTGGAGTACTGTGTCCAGTTCTGGGCACCACAGTTCAAGAAGGACACTGACAAACTGGAACGTGTCCAGAGGAGGGCAACCAAAATGGTCAAAGGCCTGGAAACGATGCCTTATGAGGAACGGCTAAGGGAGCTGGGCATGTTTAGCCTGGAGAAGAGGAGGTTAAGGGGTGATATGATAGCCATGTTCAAATATATAAAAGGATGTCACATAGAGGAGGGAGAAAGGTTGTTTTCTGCTGCTCCAGAGAAGCGGACACGGAGCAATGGATCCAAACTACAAGAAAGAAGATTCCACCTAAACATTAGGAAGAACTTCCTGACAGTAAGAGCTGTTTGACAGTGGAATTTGCTGCCAAGGAGTGTGGTGGAGTCTCCTTCTTTGGAGGTCTTTAAGCAGAGGCTTGACAACCATATGTCAGGAGTGCTCTGATGGTGTTTCCTGCTTGGCAGGGGGTTGGACTCGATGGCCCTTGTGGTCTCTTCCAACTCTATGATTCTATGATTCTACTTGGGATTCTCGTGCCTTTGATAATGGCGTGACAGATAGGGCTGGGCAATATCTGGTTTCCAGCATTGGGATGTATCACCAGCTAAACATCACAATATACCAATATATCACAATGTCTGAAATGAGGATGGAGCTACAGGTATGTAGAGGCATTGGCTGGCTGCACAGTTTTCCCCGCACCGTGATTTTTGCAGGGCCGGCTCTTGTGATTTTCTGCCCGCTGCATGAAGCAGGAGAGAGCTGGGCCTGCAGAGTTAGCAGGGGCTGCGGGACTCAAAAGAAGCATTGGCTGGCTTCATGGTTCCCCCCACATTGTGGTTTTTGCATAGCACACAAACACATTCATGATTTGTGATATATTGCCAGGTCAAAAATTACGAAACTGATATCACGATAGGGACTTCAAACTGGTTTTGGACAATATATCACCTAGCCCTCGCGACAGGCAGACCTGCTGCCTTGCTCACTCCTGGCAGCCATGGTAGGGAAAGGGAGGAACAGATGAGTTTCCTGGCTAAGGATGCTCCAAATTCCTCGTGCCTGATGGGACTTGCAGGGGTGTTGCACTTGGGTACAAGTACAGAAAGCAGAACGACTTGCCCATAGGGTGCTACAGTTGGGCTTGTCTCGCCGTTTTTAAAGGCACGAGAATCTAGGTTAACAAGATAAACAAGATGCCTTCATCACATAACTCCCCTATGAGGGCAGACTGCCATGATGGGTAGCGGTGAAGAGAATGCCGGGCTATAGGGTAGGTCTGTCCTAGACTGCATTCGAAGCGTGAAACTGGAGCAACAAGCACAACTCTCAGTCCAAACTCATGACTCTGGGCTCATGTGTCTTGAAAGTCATCCGAGTGTCTCTGGTCCCACTTGGGGGGGGGGGGTTGGAGCTGGCCTAATTCTCCTTGCGGGAAGCCGGCTGAATGAATTGGGGGGGGGGGGAGCGTCTCAGGAGTTGCAGGGAACTGGGATTGCATCTTGCTCCCTTGGGGACAGCAGGGAATAGAACTCTAGCAGTGGCTGGAGGGCTGGGAGAGTCATCGAATCATAGGAGTGTAGAGTTAAAAACCTCCAGCAAAGGAAAGCCCACCACTTTCCATGGTCGATCAGCTTTTACAATCAGAAAGTTTTTAAATGTTTAGTTGGACTCTCCTTTCTTGTCCTTTGAATCCATTGGTTTGGGCCCTCTCCTCTGGAGCAGCAGAAACCAAGCTTGCTCTGCTGTTTTCTCGACAGTGCACCCAACTCCCCCCCTCCCCCTTCCTGGCTCCCCACCCACCCACTGCTTTTATATAGACACCTGCAATTCCAGGCAAAGCATGAGCAAATCCTCCAGGGCTGTGCTGTGTGTGTGTCAGCCGGCTGAGCCTGTCCTCAGCAGACACCTGCGCTTGCAGAAAGTTGCCGCTCTCTGCAGTCCTCTGACTCATCAGGCCTCCTTTAGCTTTTGAAACTTGCTCCATATCGCAGCCTGCCGGTTTCCCCTTCTTCGTGTTTCCTTTGCTCCTGGCTTGCCACCCAACAGCACATATTCAGCGGCACATATTTAAGCGATGCACGGAGGGAGCAGGGCAGGAGAAGTCCATGTCTGAAACCTGAGAAGAGCTCCCTTGTTTAGATCTGCAGTGATTAGACACCTTGATATTGGATTTGGGGGTGGGGGGGAGGTCTGGGAATTCCAGAAATACACAGTCCTCTGTTGTTGGTGCTGTCAAGAGGCTTAGCGTCATTGTTCACCTTTCGCTTAAGGGCTCTTCCCTTTGCCTTGATCCCATTTTTGAGCTCTTGACAGGTCCTTTACATTCTTGTCTGTCTGCACAAGGTGTGTGATGTCCCTATAATGAGGGCAAGGCTTTTCCGGCCCAGCTTTTCCGGCCTTCGAGCAGGCAGTCCGAAGGTTTCTGTGGCTGCCGTCTGGTGCAAAACTGGGCACCGAAATGTGTTCTCTTGCTTGCATTACAGCCACTGGAGGTTTTCCCTAATCTGTGTACTGTTTGACTTGCTTCAAACTCAATGGCGCTGAAATCACTGGATCAAGCTCATCAGCTTTGTTGAATTAATTAAACTAAATAGTTTTAATTGGATTCTGGATAACTGTGCAATTAATGGTCATTGCTTTGAATTTTATTGTGCTGTTATCTTCCCTAGTGGGTTGTGCAAACCACCCTTCTGAACAATGCTTTTTATAGGGGAGGGGCAGTGGGGATGAGTTTGTGGAACCAAGCTGGGGGAGACCCCAAAATGTCTGGGAACCACTGCTCTGGTGCATCCCAGCAGCCCCTATGCCTTCCCCTCCTAGGTGTAAGGGGCACCAACATTTATGAATTTTTGATGCCACCTAAAAATGTGGTTATTCATCCAAGGATTTTAGCAAAGTGCTGTCTTTTCTTGTTTGGTTTTAAGTTGTATTTAAACGAAATATTGTTTTATTGCGTTTTAATGTTGTTCCCTGTTCTGGGATTGTGAGGACAATGAAGAGCAGCTTGTACAAAATCATTTGAATGAACCAATGAAAAGATCTGTATTTAAAGCAATATCCTTCCTACCTTCTGGAGTCAAAAAGGATTCCCTCAACCCCTCCATTCCCAGCCTCTTTGGTTAGGAACACTTGTCTTTTGCAGGAATGCAGGAAACTGCTGCTCCAAAGTGAGATCATGTAGCATTTCAGGAGCCAGGCGCAGTCTTGAAAGTTGCATAGTAGCACCTCTGAGCATGTGTGGAGTGCCTTCCACCCCAAGCCGTGAGGCTTTATTGATTGATTTATAGAACAAGGGCTCCCAGAGCGGCTTATATATAGCAAGACCGTCCCTATCCCTATCCCCATCCCTATCCGCAGACTTACAGCCTGAAAAAACAACGAAACACAAGGGAAAGGGGACAGGGAGGGAAGAGGAAAATCAGAACTCGGGCACCAATTTCTGTTGTTCCAATAATGACCATCTGGCCCTGTTTGGGGGCTGGAGGTGTCTGGTGAAGAGGGGCCTCCAACACAGCTTGATGGAGGAAGCTTTCTTCTTCCTGTTTCTCCCACCGATGGAATGGCTGTGTCCCAAGTGACTGTCAAGTGGAGATTAGGCCTCATGCACTGGATTAGAGGTTAGCTCTTGGGGTGTCGCATGTCCCGGCTAGATTGACTCACCACTCTTCCTCCAAAAACGAAGCCCAATTGTTCTCAGTTGTCTCCAGAGGCCAATATCGTTTCCCCTCCCACCTGTCTGGAGAAGCGGCAAGGCAAAATGCCACATGTTGGGGCGTGACTTAACCCTTTTTGCTTTTATCTTCCCTCCCCACAGAATTCTGCCGTATCGACCAGGCCTTGTGCCACAACGAAGACGAGCAGCTCAGCTTTGAGGCTGTCCTCAACATCCACAAGCAGATGGACGACGATGCCAATGGCGATGTTGACGTGGAGGAGAGCGATGAGGTGAGGGCACAGCAGAGGGCACCCCACTCTCTCGGTCTCCAGTCCCTCTCCTGACCTTCCCACTCCACTTAGTGTACATATGTTTCGGGGGACCCGGCACCCTCTCCCCACAGCACAGAGATTCTAAAATCTTACGTTGTAAACAGCCCTGTGGTCTCTGGATGAAGGGCTGTATGCAAATTTAATAAATCAAGAAAGAGGTGACACAGTCAGCTTGGGTAGGAGGTGTCTTGGACTACAACTCCCATCAGCCCCAGCTAGCCTGGCCATCTGGAGGGCACCAGGTTGGGGAAGCTAAAGTTAGGCTGAAGCTCTTGGCCACCTCCACCTGCACCACAGGAAGCAGTGCTGGCCAGCAACCTAGGTGGCTTTAAAAGAGGACTAGGCAAATTAAGGGAGGAGGAGAGGGCTATAAATGGGTACCTCCCAGGGTGGCTGTGCTCTGTCTCCATAGCTTGAGGCAGCCATGCTTCTGAATCCCAGTTGAAATCGCAGGAGGGAAAAGGGCTCTGGTGCTCAGGTCCTGCTTGTGGATTTCTCTTTGGAGCATCAGGTTGGCTGCAAGAGAACAGGATGCTGGACTAGATGAGCCATTGGCCTGATCCAGCAGGCTGCACTTATGAACCATACAAAGATTATGTTCAGCAAAACCTCCGTCAGTCCAGGACCCAATGCATTGTAGGGGGTTGGACTAGATGAACCTGAGGGGTCCTTCCCAACTCCATCATTTTATGAGTTCTCTGAGTCTCCCCAGAGGACATCTGCCACCACCCAGCCTCCCCCATCTGGCTGCTATACTCTCCCCCCGCCAAGAAGTTAGCCAAGAAGTTCCTAGCAAAAAAGGGGGAGATGATTGCTTGGTTTAAAACCAGCACAGGGCAACAACCTCCTCTCCCTTCCTGCCACTCTCATAACAATTTCATACGCTTAGAGATGAATGAGACACAGAAATAGGGGAGGTTTTCCGTTGTGCCGCTCTCTGCTTGTCTTTTGGAGCAAAAAGAAGATGGGAAATGCCAGACCGCCCTTCAGCTCTTGAACTTTCTTATTGAATCCTTCCACCTGCTCCCTCCAGCTTTAGGGCAGTCGTAGTCCAGCTACTCTTGAGAGGCGGCATTTGTCCTCCTGTACTTCTGCTGCACATCTTGAAAATGGAGAGCATGAGGAGGCCCTATGTGTGTGTAGAAGCTGAGCCCGAGAGCCACTGCACACTCCTGCCTCCTGCGGCACTGGGACTTCTGGGACTTCCCTTAACCTTCCTTCTCTTAAGCTTTCTTCTGAAACTATGCTGCTTTCCTTCAACATTGTCAAAGCAGGCGTGGGAAAGGAGCTGCAAAATGGCTGCAGGTGGTCTTCCATTTAATGTGCAATAAATAGGATGAAAAGCTTAGAGGAGCAAAGGAGGCCTTTGCACGGTGTTGAGAAAATAGATGGAGGGCTAAAAAGATTTTCTCAATACTCCAAGGTTAGTAACCCTGGTGTCCCAGGTCCTAGTTCAATACTCTATTTTTTTAAAAAAATGATATTTATTGAAATTTCAGAAAGAGGAATTACATAAAAAAGGAGGAAAAAAAACAAAAACAATAAACAGAAGTAAAAATACAGGAAAAATACAAAATACAGAATAAAAGAATGAAAAACACTTAAAAGAAAAAATACATCAATCTTTCCATACCTTACATTCATATCCTTGTTTCCCTGACCTCCTCATACCTCCCTTTTTTGTATTCCAGTTCAGTTAGTTAATTCAGCAATTTCTTTCCCTCTTTATTTTCTCTTAATCCTTTAACTTAAATATACTATAGCTTTGAATTTTCACCTGTTATCAATCCATTTTTTCATACACCTTTATAGCATTACTGCTTAAACCACCTAACTTCATTCTAACATCATTCTAACATTCATTAATTTTGCAATATTTCTGTAAATAGTCTTTAAATTTCTTCCAATCTTCTTCCACCGACTCTTCTCCCTGGTCTCGGATTCTGCCAGTCATTTCCGCCAATTCCATGTAGTCCATCACCTTCATCTGCCATTCTTCCAAAGTGGGTAGGTGTTGTGTCTTCCAATACTTTGCAATAAGTATTCTTGCTGCTGTTGTGGCATACATAAAGAAAGTTCTATCCTTCTTTAACACCAATTGGCCAACTATGCCCAGGAGAAAGGCCTCTGGTTTCTTCAGAAAGGTATATTTAAATACCTTTTTCATTTCATTATATTCTGTATCTATTTTTAAGCACACCACCAGGTTCACCAAAATTGTTATGAGCTGGTAAGGCCCTAGCCAAGTTAACAGAATGAAAAGCGACTATCTAAAGGGTGTCTTTTTCTTTTCCAAACTATGTTTGGAGGATTTCTCATGAGCAGAGCTGCTTAGAAAGGAATCCTCCCTAGAGCTCTTAAAGAAAACAAGCTACATCTCTGAAGTTCAGATTAAGAACCTTCCTTCCCCCTGTTTTCCCTTAAGGCCTGAACTACTGCAGTTGCTTTCTGATGCTCTTTTAACAGATATAGACAGGGCTCTTTTTCAGCCGGAACTTGCTGGAACTCAGTTCCGGCACCTGCCAGATGGGTGCCATTGCCATTCTAAGAGGTGTTCATGGTGAGTTCCGGCACCTCTTTTTCAGAAATAGGTATTTGTGTGTGGGGGGGACCCATTAATTTTAATCTCGAGCTGCAGAAAGGGCCAAGGACTCTGCTTTCAAGGCACGCAGTGAAAGCTGAGTCCTTTTCTTTGTAGCTGAGCAAGAGCTGGGGATCTCAACTGTTGTCTTTGGAAGCAAGGCATTTCCCGCATCTGAGCAACCTGCCCTGCCCACAGCCTACATCTAGGTGTAGCATCTTCTCAAGGGAGATGCACCTTTTGAGTCTTCTTCTCCCCCTCCCAGTGCATTTAGGACTTTCTCATCCCTCCTTTCGCTGCCTGAAGGGCAGTTTCCCAGGGGAAACGTCTTGGCTTGGACATGCTTAAACATGTAAGCCTGATTGCTCTTGGCTCTGACATCTGATTCCGCTAAGCTGAAGTGCTTTCTTTCATTAGGCAAAAGTGATGCTGTCAGGTTGCGTTCTGTGCAGAACGGGAAAGCTGTGTTTTTCCAGTAATCTCTTTCCTGTGGAGCTGAGGCTGTGTGAGTCAAGGCTGAATCAGAGCATGTTCACATACACACAAGCAGGTCCTGCTAGCCAAACGCTATGTGTTCTCAGAAAACGTTCCTTCGGCGAGCCTTCGCATAGCAAGTCAACGATCTTCATTGAGTCCTATGGGGAAGTTTCTAATGCGTTCCCAACCATGGAATTTTGACCTCAAAGTGACAAAAAACCCAGGAAAACCCACTGAAATCTTGCAAAAGGAGAACAAGGAGGGGGAAAATGCTCTCTTCTCTGTCCTATCTCACCCCCTCCCTCCTTCCCACCATGGTTTCTGGCAAAGCAGCTGCCACAGACCAGCAAAACACAAAATAGCTTGCATATCTGAATCTGCGACGTGTATAGCGAGATTTGGGTACGAATTACTCATATTTGGATAATTGATTTTCATATAACAAGCATTTGGATAGCGGGACCTGCATATATATATATATATGATCTCTTCCGCTTATCATTTGTGCAGCATTTGTCATTTGCAAGGTACCTGCCTGATACTTGGATTGCCAAAGATTGTTGCAGTTCTGTCACTATCCTTCTCACATCCCGGGGTGACATCTTAATATTTGGATTTCAAGAATAAAGGAAACCAGCTTTTGATCACAGCTAAGTGGTGGAGAGGGAGATGGATTCCCAGCTGAAACTCTGGTCAATGGCTGCCAGTAATTGTTGACAATATTGAGGTTGATGGACTAGTGGTCTGGTGGTGTAGTGGTTAGAGTGTTGAGCTAGGACCTGGGAGAGGCCAGGCCTCGAATCTCCACTTCAGCCATGAAACACACTGGTGACCTTGGGCCAGTTACTCGCTCTCAGCCTAACCTACTCACAGGGTTGTTGTGAGGATAAAATGGGAAGGAGAAGTATGTACGGCTTCTTGAGCTTCTTGGAGGAAAGAGGGGATATAAATGCAGTAATAAATGAACAGACCTTCCTAACCAGTCCTTAATTCTGGGGTATTTGGTGCCCCCAGCCCTCAGTTTCTTGTTTTAAAGGGAGTCTAGAGATACAGGCAAAACCTGGGATTACACTCATGGAATCTGCTATAACTTGTCGGTACCATTCCTCTGTTCCTGCTTAAGCTCTTTCAGAGCACAAATCCCAACACCAGTTTAGAGTTTTGAAGAGGCATTAGGCAAAACCTAAGCAAACACGCAGCTTAAAACATCAGATACTCTAAACTCGGTTTATATTTATTGAGGAATTGACTGTCGGACATAGAATTAGGCATAAGAGCAAAAGGAAGTTGAATGAAGTTTTACTTGGCCTTTGACATGAAATGCAAAGCCTGTGAGCACGGGACGTAGCTGTATTTATCACTGTCATTATTATATTTATAATATAATAATGAAGACTGAACGCGGCTTACACAAATTAAGACAAGACAGATAAAATACAAAAAGCCAAATATATAAGTAACCACTAATAAATTCAAGCAACATAGAAACAAATCTGTAAACATACAGATAATAAAATTGGCACACCTTTGTTAAAATTCCTTAAAAAAACAGTTAGTCCCTTAAGGCCTGTTGGAATAAACCTGCCAGGGGAAGGACAGGAAGGAGGGAGCCAGCCTAGCTCTTTTTCGGAAGGGAGTCTTTATTCTCTGTTTTCTGCAAGTCCCTATTCAAGCCAGGGGCAGGAATCTTAGAAGTGCACCTTCCTTCCTGACTCCAGTCTTGAGAGCACTAGATACTTGGCGGTGGAGGAGAGACAGAACCCGGCTTCAGACGTCTGCCTTCCTTACCATTTATATCACACTCATCTTTTTGCTCATTAGCTCTCTGCATATTTGCTCCCGTTATTATTTTTTTGCTCAGCAGCTCTCTTGTTTTGCTAAGCTGCGCTGCTCAAAACCTTTGCCCATCCGCAGCCTGGGAGTGCTTCTCTTCACATTTCTTGACGCTCCCCTCTGGGGAGAGGAGTTTGCTGTGTGTTCGGAGGTGGCTGCAGGGACCGCAATTAAAAGGAGCGCCCCTGAACCCCAAGGGGAATCCCTTCCGATTGGCGGCCTATTTCTGGTCTTCGCACAGAGGCAGGCGTAGCTCTCGAGGTGCCCGGTGACTTAATTGAACCGATTTCTCTCTCCTCCAGCATTTTTGCCAAGGGAATTGGCAGCTCTGGGTTTGCAACTGAGGAAAGATGCCTGCCTGCAGACTGTAACATTAGCAGCAGCTTTGTCCTCTGAATCACGGGGTGAGCACCCCAGAATTCATTTCTGAAACTGCAGGTGCTTAGGGTCCACTGAAAGCCCTGTACCTCCCTAGCCCAAGGCTACCTTGGAAGTTGCTAGCAGCACCCTTTGCCAAACCTGTTTGTCGGCCAAGATGCAGCAAAGAATGATGACACATTCCAAATCAGCCGTTTTATGACTTATTTCCCCAGCGGGGCAACAAGACATCACACGTATTTGATTTATTTTGAAAGATTTATATATCCTGCTTTTCCATCTTGCACCCAGGATACCCAGTGCACCTAGCGTCGGCAGATATTTTATTTAATAAAACTCAGTTACAATAGGTAGAAACTGGCCCAAGGCTTCCCAGCGAGATTCATGGCTGAGGCGGGATTCGAACTTGGGTCTCCACAGTTCTGCCCGATTATGCCACAGCGGCTCCAAGTAATCAGGGGAGAATTATGATTATGATTATTAATTATGATTACCTTTATTTGTAATCACTTTATTTTTTTATCTTTGCCCTGCTCCCCAAATGACCACCAAACAGTAAAAACAATAATAGTCTTCCTTCCATCAAATAACCAAAATGTTTTAATTAATTAAAGGTTGCTAATTAAGTGTTTATTTGTTAGGACCTACCAAAATTGCAAAGTGTGTGCTGCTGCTTGAAAGCTTGCTTTCCTCTTCGCTCCCCATTGCACTTTCCTTTTGTATTGCTTCTGTTGGGCCCTGCCTGCCTTACCTCTTGATGTGTGTGCAGTGCTGTCCCTGAATTTTTTTTTTTTAAGTATATAAATTAGTTTACTCACATTCTGTTCACAGAAGGATCCCAGAAGGCAGACTTAGGTTACAAAATATATACACGTGGAATCTATCCCATAAGGAGATACCGTAGTTTCTTTGTCCTTTCTTGGCTGAGCATCTCAGGCTAAGGAGATGTTGCTATTTCAAGGAATGGAGTCAGAGAGAGAGATGGCTGCCTCCCCTGTGCTATTTTGTTACCTGCACAGGTGAGGTCACACCCACCTCTGGTCCTGTCCCTGAATTTTGAGAAGAGGCCGCGCACTGTGCTTCTCAGCCCATTCTCCAGAAAGAGCCAGTTACCTCACCATTGAAACATGGCCAGCTGCCTGCTTTTTCTGCTGCTGGGATTACTCGGCCGCACGTGCCGTGGGCCTTTGTATCTGCTTGTGGAGGTGTGCCTTCACCTCCACAGCCTGGGGAGGGAGACAGAATCCCAGGTGCCTGGCTTCCTCAGGGCTTAAAACTTGTGGCTAAAAGGAGTTATTTTCCAGCCCTGCTGGGCATGTAGATAGGCAGGCCTACATGAACGTTCTGTCCTTTAGTGTTGCCATACTCCAGTGATCTCAGCCGTTAATTGTAATTCCTGAGTTGCAGAGGGTTGGGCTGGATGACCCTTGAGGGTCCCTTCCAACTCTACAATTCTAATTCTAATTCTAATTCTAATAATTTATTTGTACCCCGCCCATCTGGCTGGGTTTCCCCAGCTACTCTGGGCGGCTTCCAACAAAGATTATAATACATAAAATGTCACACATTAAAAACTTCCCTGAACAGGGCTGCCTTCAGATGTCTTCTAAATGTCAGGTAGTTGTTTTCCTCTTTGACATCTGGTGGGAGGGTGTTCCGCAGGGTGGGCGCCACTACCGAGAAGGCCCTCTGCCTGGTTCCCTGTAACTCGGCTTCTCACAGCGAGGCCCTCGGCACTGGACCTCAGTGTCCGGGCTGAACGATTGGGGTGGAGACGCTGCTTCAGGTCTACTGGGCCAAGGCCATTTAGGGCTTTCAAGGTCAGCACCAACACTTTGAATTGTGCTTGGAAACGTACTGGGAGCCAGTGTAGGTCTTTCAAGACCAGTGTTATGTGGTCTCGGCGACCGCTCCCAGTCCCCAGTCTAACTGCCGCATTCTGGATTAGTTGCAGTTTCCGGGTCACCTTCAAAGGTAGCCCCACGTAGAGCGCATTGCAGTAGTCCAAGTGGGAGATAACCAGAACATGCATCACTCTGGCGAGACAGTCCACGGGCAGGTGGGGTCTCAGCCCTATGAATGCATTTTGGCTTAGCTCATGCTCCGTATCTCCTGGCAATGTAGAGGACCCACCACCTCCTGCGCTTGAGTTACAGGACACCGGCTCCTTCCTGGAGAACTGCTCCAGCCTCACCTGATAGGTGACCTGATAGCCGCCTCCAAATATCTCAAGGGCTGCCCCATGGAAGATGCAGCAAGCTTGTTTTCGGCTGCTCCAGAGGGTGCGACCTGAACCAGTGGATCCAAATGGCAAGAAAGGAGATTCCGACTAAACGTTCGGAAGACAGGAAGAGCTGTTTGGCAGTGGAACAGACTCCCACCAGAGGTGCTGGGCTCTCCTTCTTTGGAGGTTTTTAAGCAGAGGTTATATGTCCCTCTGCCAGGGATTCTTTAGCTGTGGTTCTTGGCTTGTAGGGGATTGGACTAGATGACCCCTGGGGTCTCTTCCATCACTACAGTTCTACGATTCTATGACCGTGTCCTCTTCCAAGAGACCTTGGAAGCCTGTTTTCACCGGGGCTGTGCTGAAGGAGGGCCGACCGGGAGATCACTTTTCCTTCCTGAGCTAAATATACTGAGCAACAGCTGGTTCCCCTGCCTACATCCCTAGGGGAGATCACGGCTGCTCTGAGCTGTGCACATTGGCCACTCTAGATGACATTGCCATGTTCCCCGTGGAGGTCACAGGCTGTGGGGCGGGGGCGGGGGCAGGAGGGGATATCTCTATCTTTGCATTCCTGCCTGGTTTGGCTGCACCCAGTGGCTTATAATCTCCAGAGATCTTGGAACATCCTGGGAAGGTTCACCCTGCCCTCCTCACCACCACCCTCCTTTATTTCATTTCGTTTTCAAATCATGAGCTTGGCTCACTGAGAATGTCACAGGACTGCACAGATTTTCTTAATCCCTCTTTTCAGGCGGTGCAGCTTCAAAACTCTGCTCAGTCAGGGGCCTCTTGGCCAGCCTGCCAGAGAGAGAGAGGCATTCCAGAAAAAGGATCCACTGGGCACTTCTAGAGTCCTGCAGTTGCAGCTTCAGCGCTTTCTGGCTCCAGGAAGGCTTTCCTTCCTCTCCTTTGCAATTAGCTGCTCTTCCGTCTTCTTCGGCCGGCCTTTTCCACTGTCTTCCTTGCTCCCTCTGTTACTCATCTTGCGGCATCTGCACCATGCATGGGTTTGTGGCTCAGCTGGGAAAGGGATTGGCCCCCATTAGATGTTTTACTAAGCCTCTTGATCACCGGAATTTGCTTAATGCGGTGTAGTGGAGAGTCACACCGATACTGAGCTGGATTCTGAATTCATTTGTGTTCTGCTTTCTGCCGTGCCACATCTCTCTATAAAATGGTGCTTTGCTTTGCTTTGCTTTGCTTGCCCTTTGGTATTTGATATTTCACACACACACACACACACAGAGAGAGAGAGAGAGAGAGAGAGAGAGAGAGAGTTGTGTTAGCAGTACGAAAGTGACTTCCCGAGGGTGCAAGCCTGGGCTGTGTGTATGGAGGTCCTGAGCTACCAGATGACAAGACCCCCCTCTCAGGTGTGGTGATATGGTCCAAAGGAAAGGAAAGCAAGACGTTTGGCACCATCTTGGCCGCAGGAGTTGATGGTAGGAGGCGTGCAAGATGTCATCCAATTGCCTTAGGAACCCAACTCTGGAGTTGCAGAGGGTTTACTCCTGTGGCTTTTTTCCTCCCAAAGATGTCCTGCAAGGCAGCAGAGGTTTAGGAGTTTTCCTTCTCCTATATGGGCTCCCTTCCCAGGTGAATAAGCCCTATCTGAATATATCCTCTCTGTAGTCATAAAATCATAGAGCTCTGTAGGGTCATCTCATCCATGTGTCCAACGTAGGGATCACGTCTCAAGAATCCCTGACCAGATGGCCGGCCAACCTCCGCTTAAAAACCTCCACAAAAGGAGAGCTCACCACCTTCCAAGGGAGTCCACTCCACTGACCCTAAGGCAGGGTTTGTTTATTTATATACCTCCTCAGTTAGGTAGCTCCTTCATGCATCTGATGAATAGAATGGTGGCCCACAAAAGCTTCTGCCACCTTAGTTGGCATTGACTTGGAACGCCTTCAGACCATCAGGGCCCAGGAGACTCCCAAGGACTGTGTCTCCCCATACAGCTGACTCTCTTTCAAAAGATACTCTTTCCAGGTGTTGCTCTGGGTGCCCTCACTGTTTTGAGGAATACTTCGTAAGAGGCTCTCTCAAAAGTGACACTGAGCCTTTGGACACTCCCTCTAATCACCCCCCTCAAGCTCATCCCATGCCATTGCTAGGTGAAAGCTGTTTGTCCCCCACCAGAGGGCATTTTTTAAGGGGGACTTGCAGTTGGAAGGGGGGTGTTTGGCTGGGCTCATTGTCAACACCCCCTTTTGTTTTCTGAATATCTTGTAAATATGGAAGTGACTGAGGCCTTTTGCTGAAAGTGTGAAGTGTGCTTAAAAGCTTATGCTCTGCTATATATTTATAGCTGAAATCCAGGGTTAGGGTTAAGCCCTTTGCATATTAAAAGAGATATATTTATGGATGCTTGTAACAAGGAACAGTGATTTCACTGATGGAAAACGCTAGCAACGAAAACTGATCAGGAGTGGAAAGGTTTCCATCCTTTGGAACCTTTCAGGTTAATTATCTTGAATTATTTAATGAATTATGGTGTGGTCTGGGTGAGGGTAGAAATAGATTTTATAGAATTGGCGACTATTAACAACTCGGAAGTCAGTGGTTGTAAAATGTATGTAGCTTTCCAAAAACAGTTGTGGTTTTCATTCAAAACAACAGCATGATGTGACGGGGGATTAATGTAATGCCTTTAGAATTGGTCTAAAAATATATCATCTGTGTAAACTGAAGAGGAAGTTTCTTTGAATTTTAGATACTACAGGTATCTGACTTTGCAGACAGAGAGGGAAAAGATATAAATCATGACAAGGATGAGTGAATGGAAGCAGGGTGTGTGTGTGTGTGTGTGTGTGTGTGTGTGTGTGTTCCACTTTTTGCCAATATCCCTCCTGAATCCAAAGTCCCTGGGCGTCAGTTGATTCAGGAAGTGAAGGGTATGACTAGCCAGGAAGACATTCCATCTGCTGACCTTTCTGGACCTCTAAGCAGAGAAATGCAAATGCCGCTCTTCTGTCGACTGCCTGTTGAAGGGGGTCTGTGGTGATTAACCTTGAGAGGGCTCAGGTGTGGCTTTGCAAAGAGACACTTGAGAGCCCTGATCTCGCGGCTGAGTTTCGGAAGCCACCTTTGCTTGCCCTTGCACACGTCTCCGAAGCTGTGAGTTTCAGAATAGCCTTTTAATAGGCAGGTGCTAAGAACTTTGGAGGAAAAAAGAGATGCAGCCTATTCAGCTTGTCCTGGACGCGGCTTAGGAACGTGATGCTGCAGTTTATTCTTAGCCTCCCGGCAGCAAAGATGAATTTGCAGTTTGCGCACGGCGAATGGATTTCCTCTTCTTGGCAGACTTACCTTTGCTTTTCTTCAGAGGGTCAGAGTCGCCTGCCTTGCTCGCTTGTTGAGCAGATCCGCTAGGTGTGCTTTTGCACGCTTGTGCCTCCACGTGGACAGCTGCTTTTCATCTCCCATGGGAGCAGCTGGAAAGGCCACCTCTCCTTTTTCTAGCTTCTCTGCAAAGCACTGTAGCAGAGTAAGGCGTTTGTGATGGGGGGACAGGACAGGACTAGTGAGCAAAGCTGCATTTCTGCCAGTGGCCTCATTAAGGAACTGCAAATGGGGACAACCCATTCAGGTGAACAGCTGTGCTTCAGTAAAGGTTTGCATAGCAACAGTGAGAGCAGAGACAGCAGTAAAAGCATGCAAAAAGAGGCCATTGGTTCAGTGTGCGCGTGTCGGTGTGTTTTAAAAAACCCTTCTTAAAGGCTTCCAGGAAAGGTTAGCAGCCCGGGATGAGGAACTGGTGGTCTTGCGGACTGATGGGAAGCCAAAAGGAGAAACAAGCTGCTGATTTTTTTTTTTACAAGGAGCGGGGTGAATAGGACACATCAGGACAGACAAAAGGAAGTCCTTCATCACTCAGCGTGCAGTCAGACTGTGGAACTCTCTCCCACAGTAGAGCCACCAACCCAGATGGCTTTGAAAAAGGGTTAGACAGATTTATGGAGGCGAGGGCTAACAATGGCGACTAGCCAGGACGGCTAGGCTCTGCCTCCATAATTGGGAGACAGCAATGCAGTGGCTGGAAGGCACAAGAGGTGTAAGTGCTGCTCTTGTGCTCAGATCCGCTTGCAGGTTTCCCACAGGCCTCTGGTCGACCACTGTGAGAACAGGATGCTGGACTAGTTGGACCATTGGTCTGATCCAGGCAGACTCTTACTGTGTTCCAAGTGATGCTTCCCCCGTTCCTTGGGGACTTGCAGTTTAATATCTTACACAAAACCATGCTCTTGCGTGTTAATTCTTTCTGCAGCCCTGTGAAGTAGCTCAGCCCCCAGACCAGTTCCTTTGTTGTTTCTGAACCTAGGTCTGCCCTGTCCACACCCAACAAACTTTTAGTAGCCCTTACAGTCACTGTTAAAATGAAAACATCCCTAATAATAATTATGATGATGATGATGAGGAGGATGATAATTTATTTATACCCCGCCCATCTGGCTGGGTTTCCCCAGCCACTCTGGGCAGCTTCCAACAGAACACTAAAATACAATAACCTATTAAACATTAAAAGCTTCCCTAAACAGGGCTGCCTTCAGATGTCTTCTAAAAGTCTGGTAGTTGTTTATCTCTTTGACATCTTAAGGGAGGGCATTCCACAGGCGGGTGCCACTACCGAGAAGGCCCTCTGCCTGGTTCCCTGTAACTTGGCTTCTTGCAACGAGGGACCTGCCAGAAGGCCCTCAGCACTGGACCTCAGCGTCCGGACAGAACGATGGGGGTCAAGACGCTCCTTCAGTTATACTGGACCGAGGCTGTTTAGGGCTTTAAAGGTCAGCACCAACACTTTGAATTGTGCTCGGAAACATACTGGGAGCCAGTGTAGTTCTTTCAAGACTGGTGTTATATGGTCTTGGCGGCTGCTCCCAGTCCCCAGTCTAGCTGCCACATTCTGGATTAGTTGTAGTTCCCAGGTCACCATCAAAGGTAGCCCCACATAGAGCGCATTGCAGTAGTCCAAGAGGGAGCTAACCAGAGCATTCACCACTGGCGAGGCAGTCTGTGGGCAGGGAGGGTCTCAGCCTGCGTACCAGATGGAGCTGATAAACACGGGACTTTGTGCAACTGGTTGACTTGGGGCTGTGTTTTTCCCCCTCCAGTTCCTGAGGGAAGACTTGAATTACCATGACCCAACGGTCAAACACAGCACCTTCCACGGGGAGGATAAGCACATCAGCGTGGAAGATCTTTGGAAGGCCTGGAAGTCGTCCGAAGGTAAGGCTGGCGTCCAGCTCTGGCTGCCTCACCTCAAAAAAGGAGACTGCAGAGTTGGGAAAGGTTCAGAAAAGGGAAGCCCAAATGATCATGGGGGTGGAGCAACTCCCCTTCGAAGAAAGACTGCAGCGTTGGGGGCTTTTGAGTTTAGAGAAAAGGCGAGTAAGAGGCTGCATGATAAATTTTTATACAATTATCCGTGGCACGGAGAAAGTAGATAGAGGGAAAAGCCTGCCTCCCTCCCTCATAGCATTCAAACTCGTGGGCGTCCAATGGAGCTGAATGTTGGAAGATTCAGGGCAGAGGGAAGAAAGTCCTTCTCACAGTGCAGAGTTAAACTGTGGAACTCCAGCAGGCTCTTAAGTCCTCAATATTCAAAATCTGCCTCTCTGCTCCTCCCTCCCTCTCCTGCTCTCTCTAGCAACCTCTTGCGCCTTAGCCAAGCCACTTCCTTCTCCTTCAGCAAAGCCCCTCTTGCCGCTGGCCTGTGGCTTCCTCCAGTGCAGCCCTTGACCGGTTTCGACTTTTGCATTTTTTAAAACCGAGTTTGCATTTGCAACTCCTCCGCTACAGTAGAACAGGAAGCAGGGTGAAAATAATATGCAAATAAAAAAAATATAATAAATGGGGGAATTATCTCTTTGCCTCTCTCCCCTCCCCACACTGCCCTCCTTTCCTGTGGCGATAAAGAATGAGCAAGGTTCAGTAGTGAGTCACAGGAGGCACTGGGCGTGAGTGGGAAGGGCTGCGGCGCGTCTGAGACTATTTTGGAATATTAGGAGCCTGCATTAAATACTAGTGTGTTTAATCCTGTATGTTTAATCTTGTTTTCCACAATTTTTTTTTAATTTTTACCAACAACCAAAGCACAAACTGTGAAACTCCCAGGCAGCTGGTACATTGGGTATACATAATCAATAATAACATATTCAAATCAACCATATGTACAATTCTATATACATTAACACTCCTCCCTCCACAAGGTTTAACTTTTAACGTTTTAATTGCCCCAAATTGGTCAAACCTACCCAAATAATTCAATATCTTCTAATCCTCCTCCTTCTCACTGACCTTAAACCCTTTCATTTTATGTATCTTCACAGTTAGATATTCTAAAATTATAATATTTTTCAGTTTTTTCCTCCATTGGTTCACCCCTAGCTCTTTCCAATTACTCGCTATAACCTGTCTGGCCGCAATTACCATCAATTTTACCCATTTATATTCCTCTTTGGTTTCTAACTCGGTGCTACTCAGGCTAATAAGAACCATTAATTTAGATATTTCCACCTTCCTACCCACAATTCCCGATATTTCTATACCAATCTGTTTCCAGAATTCATTAACTAACGGACAGCCCCACCACAGATGTTCAGTTGCAAGGCATGGGGAATGTAAATGGTTAAGGCATTTCAGGAGACACGCAGGGGTCACACTCCTGTTCCACTGCCCTGCTGAGAGGCGCAGGATGCTTCAAGGAAGCTGAGTGTTGGAAGACCCATGGCAGATAAAATAAAGTCCTCCTTCACACAGCAACTGGTCAGACTGTGGAACTCCCTCCCACATGAGGCAGGGATGGCCACTGACTTGGATGGTCATAAAAGAGGATCGGGCAAATTCTGTCAGGAGTTCAGCCTTCACTCGAGTAGGACCTTGGCAGAGACACATGCCCGACTGGCATGTTCCCTCCCTTCTGGTCGAGATCGTTCAGGAGCTTCATAAGCTTTCTTCAGCCCGAACATCGCAGCGACCGATGCCAACAGACACCGGCACACTTAGGGATCCGCAGAGTCTTCGCAGCTTGCGCGACAGACCTCAGCAACTCAGCATTTTGGCTAATCTACTTTATTTACATATAAAGACACACGGAGTACTTCAACATGGCTCCCTCTCTCTCTAGCATCAGCTAGCAAAGAGAAAAAGAGCAAAGGACAATAGTCCCACTTCACGGAACCCAGTAACACAAACATCCGACTCTGTGGAGTCAAAACATACACCATCGTGTGATAACTGCAATCACGGAGCAGGAATTCTCACAAATTCATGGGGGAGCAGAGGGCCTTTGATGGCTGCTAGCCAGGTTGGCTATGCTCTGCCTCCACAATCAGAGGCAGAAATACTTCTGAATACCAGTTGCCAGAAACTGCAGGAGGAGAGAGGGCTCTTGTGCTCAAATCCTGCTTGTGGGTTTCGCACAGGCATCTGGTTGGCCGCTGTGAGAGCAGGATGCTGGCCTAGATGGGCTACTGGGCTGATCCTGCAGGTGCCTCTTGCGTTCTTCAGAGTCCTATCCGCTCTCCAGCACCAAAGCATCCTAGGCAAGGCGGCAGTGAGAGCAGAAGACTTGCAGTGCTCTTTGCTCTCCCGAAGTGCCGCAGTCGTGCAGAGGGTGTTGAGTGCCTCCAGATAAGGCCGCAGCTCCTTTGCCTGCCACACTCAGCAAACACTTCCCCGATGCTGATACTTCTTGCTGCCTTTATGGCCTTGTTAATCTCCCCTGGCTGCTACCCATTCTAATCTTCATGTACTTGTCAGGTTTTTCCCCCAGCAGAAAAGTTCGGCTTGCAGTCGGAGAGCTTTGCTGCCAGATCCTGTGTCCTCGTTGTGAAGCTGGCTAGATCCTCCGCTGCAAGTCAGAGCGGAGGCATTATTTTATTATTATTATTATTTGTTCAACTTATTCACCGCCCTATACCCGGAGGTCTCAGGGCGGTCCACAACAAAACCACAACATATAAAATCAAACCAAAAGCAATTACCAATACCCCCCCTCCAAAAGCCATATTTTAAAAGGGTGTTGGATGTCAATAAGATCAGCCAAAGGCCTGGTTAAAAAGGAACGTTTTTGCCTGGCGCCTAAAGGTATATAATGAAGGCGCCAGGTGAACTTCCCAGGGGAGAGCATTCCACAGAAGGGGAGCCATTGCAAAGAAGGCCCATCCTCATGTTGCCACCCTCTGAACCTCTTGAGGAGGAGGCACACGAAGGAGGGCCTCAGAAGATGATCTCGGGGACTGGGTAGGTTCATATGGGAAAAGGCGGTCCTTGAGGTATTGCGGTCCTGAGCCGTTTAAGGCATCTTCTCGGAAGGGAGGCAGAGTCCAACAGCACAGTCGCTGGAGCTGCTGTGCTGTGCTGTCTGAGGGCAGGGTATGCTCTTATCTCCTCACCTGTAACCATTGGTAGTAAAGGTAAAGGTACCCCTGACCGTTAGGTCCAGTCACGGACGACTCTGGGGTTGCGCGCTCATCTCACTTTAGTAGCGGAGGGAGCGAGTGTTTGTCTGCAGACAGTTTTTCCAGGTCATGTGGCCAGCGTGACTAAGCCGCTTCTGGCAAACCAGAGCAGCGCATGGAAATGCCGTTTACCTTCCCGCTGGAGTGGTGCCTATTTATCTACAGTGGTACCTCGGGTTAAATACTTAATTCGTTCCGGAGGTCCACTCTTAACCTGAAACTTTTCTTAACCTGAAGCACCACTTTAGCTAACGGGGCCTCCTGCTGCTGCCGCGCCTCCGGAGCATGATTTCTGTTCTCATCGAAGCAAAGTTCTTAACCCGAGGTACTATTTCTGGGTTAGCGGAGTGTGTAACCTGAAGCATCTGTAACCTGAAGCGTATGTAACCCGAGGTACCACTGTACTTGCACTTTGACGTGCTTTCGAACTGCTAGGTTGGCAGGAGTTGGGACCGAGCAACGGGAGCTCACCCCGTCATGGGGATTCGAACCGCTGACCTTCCGATTGGCAAGCCCTAGGCTCAGTGCTTTAGACCACAGCGCCACCCACGTCCCTAAAACCATTGGTAGAAAAGCAGTCAATATTTATCAGCACGAAGCAAGCTAGTTTTCTGCTGCTTCAGAGGGTAGGACCCAAACCTATAGATTCAAATTGCAAGGAAGGAGATGAGGAAGAACTTCCTGAGAGTAAGAGCTGTTTGGCAGTGGAGCGGACTCCCTTGGGAGATGGTGGACTCTCCTTCCTTGGAGATTTTTAAGCAGAGGTTAGATGGCCATCTGTCACGGATGCTTTAGCTGTGATTCCTGCCTTGTAGGGGGTTGGACTTTGTTAGTGCCTGAAGGGGCAATGGCCTGGGAGGTGTCTCTATTGCCACTCGTTTCCAAAGCGCACTCCAGGAAATCCTAGTCATGGTGTCAACCTGCAGAGATGGCCCCTTTGCTCCTTCTCAGGATCCCCAGTGGGGGGTCCTGCCCCTCTCAGCATCCCAGGCAAGTTGACTAGACTCCTCCCAGGGTTGGACAACTCTAGACTAGGCCTACTCAGAAGTTGTTTAGGGCGTTCCAACATCATGGGGTGCTCAGCATTTAAGCAAGCAAAGGTCCACTGTGTTTGAGAAAGAGCAGTTGTCCACCGCTTGGTCCTGCATTTCAAAAAGGTCCAGCCCACCGTTAGTTTTATCTGAACAAAGATTCATTGGGTGAAAAGTCCCTGCACTTGGTGGGGGGTGTGGACCAGACGACCCTCGTGGTCCCGTCCAAATCTACAATTCTATGATTCTATGAAAGTAAGGAAAGAAAGAAAAGGAAAAAGGACACAATAAAACGTTTTTGAAAGCAGAGGAATACAACAATAACAAAATAACAATAAAATACAATTACGCTTACGGAAGTATGTAGATGCACAGGGACAAGCTTGTCTCTCGCACGGATAGGTCATCTTCCTCCTTGAAGGAAAGTTCATCCACCCCTTCTCAGCATTTTAAACCGCCTCTTCTGGCCAGAGGAGACTGGCGTTCACATGCTCCCTGCTACGCCCTGTCTCTCTGCATGTACTCTGAGGTGCAAGCCTTATTCAGCTGAGGGCAGTTTCCCCATAGCAGTTATTTTGCCTTATTAAAGCCGCTCCTATCATGTTGCACAACACGCCCACCCCCGGCTGGATTTAAATTTCTGTGGCAGCCCCCTCCCCAGGCTAAGCTAGCAAGCAAGAAGCGACCAGCCATCCCCAGCCACCCAGCCAAGCCCTTCCACCCCATGCTGCTGCCAGGCTCTGGCTGTTTGCCAGGCTCTTCCTTGCCCGCCCACCTGCGTCTGCCTCCAAAATTGTCTGAACAAACAAAGGGGAGGCTTGGCTGCAGTGCCTCTGCCCACATGCCGGCTGCAGGCTTCTTCTCTCCTCCGAGGAGCTTGGTGGAGTGAGCGCTCTGGAGTCCTGTAGGGCTGAATGGAGCAGAGGAACAGAAGGAGGAGAGCCTTTGGAGCAAGCCGATGGTCCATCTAGTCCAGCATCCTTTTCAAAAATAAAAATAAATTTTCATTTTTCATTTTCGTTCATTACATACATCTTAAATTCTTAACGTTTACTATACATTCCTCCCTCCCTCCTCTCCACGACTTCCCCCAACTTGCGTTTCTGGTTTGTTTCTATTTTCACCCGCTTTGCTATCTCTCAACAGGAAAAGTTATTAATAACATAACATCAAACCTTAAAAACATAAAAATAAATTTAAATACATCATCTTATTTCACTATCTTCCAAACATTTTCTGATGCTAATAATGTGGATGTTTATTTAAATCCTGCCATCAAGTCTATTGCCTAGCCCAGCATCTAGTCCAGCATCGTCTTCTCACAGGGGCCAACCAGATGCCTGTGGAACCTGCAAGCAGGACTGGAGCGCAAGAGCACTTCCTCCCCTCCTGTGGTTTCCAGCAACTGGTATTCAGAAGTATTTTTTCTTCCAGCTGTGGAGGCAGAGCAGAGCCAGCCTGGCTAGGAGCCACCGATAGCCCTCTCCTCCACGAATCTGTCCCATTAAGCCATCCAAGTTGGTGGCCATCGCTGCTTCCTGTGGGAGGGAGTTCCACAGTCTAACTCTGCTGCATGAGGAAGGGCTTCTTCCCAGCATTCAGCTTCATTGGATGCCCACAAGTTCTATGAGAGAGAGAGAGAAAGGCTTTTCTCTATGTACTTTCTGTGCATAATGGTGCAAACTTCAAGCATGTCGCCTCTTCCTTGCCTTTTCTGCAGAGTCCCAGACCTTTCCTCAGAGGGGAATTGCTCCACTGCCAGCATATAGAACTGAGCATTTGTGAAAGGGCAGTGAATGATGTTGCACTGAAAGGGAGGCTCTGCGTGTGCCAGTAGCAGTTTGCACAACCCTCTGCGGAAGATAATATCAGAATCAGATTCAGAACAGTACAATGAATTGCAAATGCATTCAAACCCAATTAAAACTGTTTAGTTCAATTCATTCAACAACTGTTGATGAGCTTGATCCCAGGATCCCAGCATGTTTCAAAGTCATTTTCCAGTTCCCCACACTTAGGGAACCACTTTTTTTACACTGAAATGCCACACATCTGTCGGATTCAGGCTCTTAAGGGTTTTTCTGCACTTCGGACTTCCTAATGAACCTCCTCCAAAGAAGTGAGAACCACTGTGGCAGCCTTGCTTTTGACTTGAGGCAATATTTTTTTAAAATAAGCCGTTCTCTACAAATACACGGTACAGTTATGGGCGCCTGCATGGCTCTGTCTTGCACACGCGCACCCCAATTTATATGTGGACAGACTTGAACAAGCCATCCGTCAAGAGTGCCCCCTGCCACCCACTTACCAGGTTTCATTTTGTTGACGATTGAGACCTTAATATAGCTGTATTTTATCTTTCCATGCTGTACCTGTGACCCCTCAGTGGTTGTTTTTGGATGAAGTTCTCAAGAGAGCCAGCGTGGCTGTGTTAGAGAGTGTTGGACTAGGAAGACCTGGGAGAGACCAGGGTTCAAATGGTGGCTTAGCCATGAAGCTCCCTGGATGACCTTAGGCCAACCACCCCCTCTCAGCCTGGCCTACCTCACAGGGTTGTCCTGAGGATAAAACGGAAAGGACAACTGTGTACACCACCTTAAGCTCTTTTGGGGGAAGGAGGAATATAAAACATGATGGTGATAGTAGTTCTGTAGTCCTGACCTGTAGCTCACATTTGTAAGAGCTTGATCGTTTAGTGTGGCAGCCCTTACACTTTGGAACTCCCTGCCTATTGATATCACTGTTTTTATTTAAACAAGCCCAGCCAGATGCTCAGAAAGTTGAGGCGGATTTTTAATCTATTTTCATATTTTAACTTCCATACTGTCAGGGAACTGCCATAAGTGCCGGAGGGAGAGAGCAAAAGCCAGAGGGATTCCAGAGAGCGTCCAGGGATCGGGAGGAGCAGCCCATCTTCTGGGGAAGAGAATCAGCGTAGCACCAGTGGAGAAGGGGGGCAGATGGGGGAAGCGGCGAGGCGGTCCCATGACTCCTTGCCTGGGACCAGCGGGGAGAGTAGGGGTCCTCCGCTGCCCACGCCCTCCTTGCGCAGAAGGCTTTCGCGCAGAGAGAGTAGGAGGAGACTAGGCGTCAAAGAGCTTCTTTGCTGGAAGAAGTTTAAGAAACGCCCACTGACAGATTCTGCCAGCGATTGAGTCAGCCACGGGTGAGTGGCTGTCCGGACAGAAAAGGTTCACTTAGGCAAGCCAGCCAGGTGTTTGCACCCAGCCGGGGAGATAAGCACCGGCTTACGCACGAGCAACCCCTAGAACCATTACACATACGTTGCAAATGTTTATTGATTTTATTGCTTTATCTTCTTGTAAACCGCTTTGAGGCTTACTACAACCAAGCAGCGTGTAAATTTTCCAGATATGAGTAAATAAAAGCACAGTTTGCACAGAGGTCCTGACGCCTTCTCTACTGTTGGTGAGAGCAGGTCCCAGAGTCCCATGGCTTCAGGCAGAGATCCCATATTCCCTTTCGGGGGGGGGGGGGGCGTTGTCAGATGCTTAGCTGCTGCATCCTAAGTTTCTTTATCCGCCCACACTGCCTTTCTCTCTGTCTCTCTCTGCCACCACCCTCCTGCTCCTTCCCAGTTCACAGCAGCTTTTTAAGAACTGATTTCCACATCTGCTTCTCTTGGGTGTCTTGACACTCCTGAGCTGTCAGGGGCAGGAGGAGAGGAGCAGTCTGTTTTTTGTCATGTTGAGTCTTTCCTCCTCCTTGTCTCCTCCTTGAAGGAGGAATAAGGGCTTCTTCTAATTTTGCCCAAATAAGTGGACCAATGACATTGCCATACTAAAAAACAAAATGGGAAAAGCCTGTTTATTGGTTCAGCTGTTCTCTGCAGACATACAGATGACTGCATGGTTTGGTGTGAGACTGAACTTTATCGTCAAGTTAGCCAATTGCCCGCGATTATGGCTGAGCAGGGATTTGAGCCCTGGTCTCTCAGGCCCGGATCCAACACTCTTCCCACTCTGCTACATTGCCCTGCCTTGGTCTGACATCCTTCTGTACATTCTCTGACCTTTCCCCCCCTGTCCCCGTCCCTTTAGCCCCTTCTATTAGGATTTACTGTAGAGCCTGCAATTGGCCCAGCCTTTGCCAGCATTTTCTGAAATTATGTTCCTCTCTGCATCTTCCTGTTGGTTCAGAGTGGTTTGGGGGCATCCCGTGGCACCAGAAACACAATAAAGCTAGATGGATGAGCCAGACAGTGACAGGAGAGAGGTGGGAGGCCTGGAGACGTGAGCTGAGATGGTGGGGCCTGAAGACCGGCTGCTGGTTCGTTCAGCCACTGACTTGCCCTCTCCCACCTTTCTTTCAGTGTACAACTGGACCGTCGATGAGGTGGTGCAGTGGCTTATCACCTACGTGGAGCTGCCACAGTACGAAGAGACCTTCAGGAAGCTGCAGCTCTCTGGGCATGCCATGCCAAGGTCAGTTCCGGGGGTGCAAAAAAGGAAGCTGGGTTTTGGCCTGTGGCTTCCCAGGGTTTTGTGAGAGCGCTGCTTGGAGATCCCCAGTAGCTTGGCAAAGTCAGTTTCAAACCTGCTTTCGGCGTATAGTGTCGGTGGGCCAGCGGTGGAGTAGTTGTTGGAATGTTGGACTATGACCTGGGAGACCAGTGTTCAAATCCCTGCTGAGCCATGAAATTCACTGGGGTGACCTGGGGGGCGGGACATCCACTGCCTCTCAGACTAACCTCTACCCCACAGGTGGGATATAAATGCCACATAAAAAGGTAAAGGTAAAGGGACCCCTGACCATTAGGTCCAGTCATGGCCGACTCTGGGGTTGCGGCGGTAATCTTGCTTTATTGGCCGAGGGAGCCGGCATCCAGCTTCCGGGTCATGTGGCCAGCATGACTAAGCCACTTCTGGAGAAATCAGAGCAGTGCACGGAAACGCTGTTTACCTTCCCGCCAGAGCGGTAACTATTTATCTACTTGCACTTTGACGTGCTTTCGAACTGCTAGGTTGGCAGGAGCAGGGACCGAGCAATGGGAGCTCACCCCGTCACAGGGATTTGAACCGCCGACCTTCTGATCGGCAAGTCCTAGGCTCTGTGGTTTAACCCACAATGCCACCCGCATCCCAAAAATGCCACATTATTTATTATTATTTATTATCAGAGATTCACAGGGTGCTTTACAATATCAAAACACAAAAAGGCATAACATAATAAGGGAAGTATTGCAATAAATGCAATAAATAAAATTATAAAAAAATAAAACTTATCTATCTGGCCACTTTCTCCTTCTCACACATTTGTGGGGGCTAACAACCAGCTCCCTGGGTTTAGCGAGAGGTGTTCTCTGCAAAGCAGAGACGATATCCCAGCAAAGGAAGCTTTCCTGCTTTATGAAATGAGAATAGCTGGTGCAAAATATCCTTGTGAACGACCAGGAAGCTGCCTGTTAATCTCCTACCTGCCTGCCGGTCCTCGCAGAGCTTGCCTGAGGGGCTACCTGGCCAAGCTGTGTTTTTTGCTCCAAATGCCCTTCAGATGTGACCACCTCCTCTGCCTCCCTCTTCCCTGCAGGTTGGCAATCACCAACGCCACCATGACAGGAACTGTCCTGAAGATGACCGACAGGAGCCACAGGCAGAAGCTGCAGCTCAAGGCCCTGGACACGGTGCTCTTTGGGCCGCCTCTCTGTGAGTGACGTTCTTGTGGTCACGTGACTGTATGTGGGTGTAGTGTGTCAGCTGACATGTGTAGATGGGGAACACCTCTGGGGTACTTCCGCTAGGCACTCAGGAAGCTGCAAGGACTCCTTGTCTTCTTCGGTGATCCCTTGTAGCAAGATTGTCTTCCATAAACATGGTTTTAACAGTGAGTCCATAAGGCCAATTCTGGATCCACACGTCCTTCCACAGTGGGGACATAGGTTTCTGGGTGGGAGTTGATCACGGTGAGGGTTGCCAAGTGTGCCTTCCTCTTAGCACATTTCTCCCTTTTGTCCTGAGTTTGAGCATCTCCAAAGCCACACCCTTGGTAAAGGCTGTTCTCCAACTGGAGCGCTCGCAGGCCAGTGTTTCCCAGTTGTTGGTGTTTATAGTACTTTTTTTAGATTTGCCTTGAGGGAGACTTTAAACTTCTTTTGTTGACCACCAGCATTACGCTTTCAATTTTTAAGTTTGGAATAGAGTAGTTACTTTGGAAGACGATCATCAGGCATCCGCACAACATGACCAGTCCAACGAAGTTGATGTTGAAGAATCATTACTTTGACACGGGTGATCTTTGCTTCTTCCAATACACTGGCATAAGTTTTTGCTATGAGCCATTCAACAGGGGAAGGGACTTCCTTGGAAGGTGGTGGACTCATCTTCATTGGGGTTTTTTAAAGCAGAGTTTGGATGGCTGTCTGTCAGGGATGCTTTAGCTGAGATTCCTGCAGTGCAGGGGGTTGGAATAGACTCTACAATTCTATACACTAGTTCTAGTTTTCTTCTTTTTCGGACTTGATGCCTGGATGGAATGGAGGAGAGAGTTTGCAGGCTGCCTGTAGTTGAGAAGAAATCCCCCTTTCCTGAAAATTTGCCAGAGTGATTTGGAAGTTGGGTTTTGACACTTGGACTGCCTTTAGGTAATTTGTGGCATAGAATTTACTTTGTCGGTTTGGCATTTAAGTGGTTGTGGCCCAGCCTTGCCTCTGTGTGGTGTAGTGGTTAAGAGTGGTGGACTTGTAAGCTGGTGAACCGGGTTCGCTTCCCCGCTCCTCCACATGCAGCTGCTGGGTGACCTTGGGCCAGTCACACTCAGCCCCACTCACCTCACAGAGTGTTTGTTGTGGGGAAGGAAGGGAAAGGAGAATGTTAGCCGCTTTGAGACTCCTTCGGGTAGTGATAAAGTGGGATATCAAATCCAAACTCTTCTTCTCTTCTTCTTGGAACAAGGAAGGGGGAAATCCAAAGAAATGTGGCTTCAGCATCCAAGACAAAACAGAAATCTGTAACCAGAATATTCGGAATCTCTTAGACAGACAGGTAGATTAATTTGCATGCCTGCATTTCCTGGACCTTTTTCCTTTTTGGCTGCCTGAAACCACCCACGCACCCACCTCGGGCCCCCATGCTTGGATTGGCAAGATGAGGAGCTGGGGGACAGTATTGTTAGGCAGCAGCAGAGCAACTTAGGGTTGAGTCGGGACGTTCGTACAGAGAAGTGTTTGTGTTGCTGGTTCTGGACTGCTTCAACTTCTGGTTGAAAAGGGAATAAATCTAAACTGGCCATATAAATGGTGTGGAAACCCTCAGGGCCTGCAAGTACTCTAGGAGAGAGGTGGTTGAAGAGCAAAGTGGATGATTTATTTATCATTCTTAAGTGCTGTTTTTCCCATGTGGGATTCCAAGTGGCTGCAATCGATCTAACCCAGGAGCACGAAGCTGGCGTCTCCTCCTGCTTGGCTCACAGGCTCTGGTGAGTGAGTGGCTCACAGGTTGAACGTCAGGTGTGCCACCAATGCTTCTCTGGGACACCTGATGCTTTGCAGGTTTCTCCCAGGCATCTATCTATTTGGCCTCTGTGAGAAAGGACGCTAGACTAGATGGCCTGATCTTGTTAGGTTCTTTCAAAGGGAGGCCATGCCTCCACAAGCTCTCCATACTGCTGATACCGGCAGCATTTTGGGGAAAGGTGTGACAAGGTGATTTGGTGGTGGGAGGCCATAGTGGTGACTAAAGGCAGAGAGGCATCAAAGCTTCACCATCTTCCTGCTCAGCTTGGGAGCAAAAGGAGAGCTCAACCTATGAAACCGATTCCGGGATAAAATTTTCTGTTTGCAAATAAATGGTTGATTTATTGGGCCAAGGTGGAGGGTGGGAGTTTCCATCACTACCTTTATCTAGCAGCAATGACCGGAGACCTGGATCTTTGCTCTCTGGCCGCTTTAGCTGCGATTCCTGCATTGCAGGGGGTTGGACTTGAGTTCCCGCCAACTCTAAGCTTCTGTGATTCTGTGGCCCTTTCTTCGATCCTTATGTCAGACGGGTCCTTTTGGGAAGAATCTGAATTTAGGCCTTTTATTCTCCCAAGGAACAGAAAGCTTGCTTGAAAGGCACTTTGGCTGTGAAGAAACCCATTTGCTTTGATCAGGAAGAGGCGATTAATCAAAGTATTGCAATTATGGGGCTCAGATATCCTGGCCACTCTAAATATTTACAGTCCAATGCATTGTGTTTAGGTTGCCTTTGCCTGGTAATGAGCTGAGCGGCAGCATCAGCCGAGTCCCATTAGTTAGCAGTTCTTGGAAAGGCCATTTGCCGCCTGCGGGAGACCCACGGCCTTCGTGCAGCTCTGCCGATGCTCCCGATCCCTGCTGCCATGCGCAAGGGCCTTCCTTGTGCATCAGGGCAGCCTCAGTCTGGGGCAGTAACTGAAATAGGGGAGGACAGGTTGCAGGAGGCAAGTGGGGATTCTTCCCAGTGGGGGCTGGGACTTTTAGAAGACATCTGAAGACAGCCCTTTATAGGGAAGTTTTTAATGTTTGATGTCTCGTTGTGTTTTTTTATATTGTGTTGGAAGCCTCCCAGGGTGGCTAGAGCAACCCAGTCAGATAGATGGGGTACAAATAATAAAATTACTACAGTCATACCTCGGGTTACAGACGCTTCAGTTTACGTTTTTTCGGGTTGTGGACCGCCGAAACCCGGAAGTACTGGAACGGGTTACTTCCGAGTTTCGGTGGTTGTGCATGTGCAGCAGACCAAATTGCAACCCGCGCGTACGCAGACACGCCGCTGCGGGTTGCGAACGTGCATCCCACACGGATCACGTTCATAACACAAGCATCCACTGTATTCTTATTGAGGGGCCTGGCAGCCAGGGGCCACACAAGAACATAAGAAGTGCCTGCTAAATCAGGCCGAAGGCCTGTCTAGTCCAACATCTTGTTCCTACACTGACCAGGCAGATGCCTCTCACAGGAACCTTCGATCAGGATTCGAACGCAACACTCCTGTGGTTTCCAGCAACTGGTATTCAGAAGCATTTCTCCCTCTGACTGTGGAGACAGAGGACAGCCAGCATGGCTAGTAGCTATCGATAGCCCTTTCCTCCTCCTGAATGGGAGGGACTTCCACAGTTTAACTGTGCCCTTCGCACATTAGTATTTAACTTCTTGCCTTGCTGTGCTGCATGTACAGAAACTGGCCAAGGCTGTGGAGTGAGCCAGGAACTGAGGAGGGTGCAGCAGCGTCCTTTGGGCCTCCTCCTCCTGGCATCGTGTGATTCCTGAGCCCTGTGACAGGAGCTAGGAAGTGAAAGTGCCTCATTGGCCTGGCGGCAGAAGGGAAGCTGGAGCAGGAGGATCAGTCTCCCTCTTCCGACGACCCACCCCACGGGAGGGTCACCTCAGGTGCACCGTCGGTCTGTGTGAGCGCTAGGATAAGCACAGGCCTTGGCTGGAGATCTGTGGGAAGGGGCCAGATCCGCCGAGAGGCGCTGAGGTCACTGTATCCCAGCACGCTTTGGAAAGCGCAGGGAAAATGCAGAAAAACCTCACGTTGAAGGGCAGGAAGTCGAAGTGGGGAGCCCAGGGCAGCCCGCGAGCAGGCCGAGCCCCCCTGCTCTGTGCCTGCTTGCTCCGAAATTCCTTCTGTGCGGCGCTCAGTCTCCAAGGGCACCCCAGTGTTTGTTTACTGCTGGAGTTTGTGTGTGACCCTGTCACCATAGCGCTGGAGCTTTGGTTTCTCCCGGCAAGCACAGCTCCGTGGTGCAAAAGGCAGGTGGCGGGAGGAGGGGGGGCGGAGGCAATTTATTTAACCACGGAGGAGGCTAGCAAAAAAGGGGGCTGCGGCTGCCTCCTCATCACACCTGCCCCTTAGAGGGCAGAGCAGAGCCATCAATAGTCTCCCCCTTCATGATTTTTACAATCCTCTATTTGGGAATCGCTGCTCTAATCCAGCACTGGGGGGGGGGGGGGGAGTTTTACATTCGAAGAATCAGCGCTGATGGTGCCTGCAAATGCAGGAGACCGTCTGTCGAGAATATCTGGTGAGCGTTGCTGCTTCACAGGGGGTCTGTGTGTGGAGGAAGCCACAGGAGGATTCCTTTGCAGCAGCAGCAGCCCCACAGAGATCAGTCTTGCCCTCCTTTGAGGTGAAGGTGAGCAAATGCAAACATTTTAGGAAGGGAGAATTCTTTGTTGTTCCCCAGCACTTAGGAGCAGCACGGTTGCTTCTTGGAGCGTTTGGCTTGCCCCGGCCACCCAGAGATTTGAGGAGAGCATGGACTCGATTCCACGTTTCCTGTGTTCAAACCTGCACCCCTAGAGTGCACACCAGGGGGGTGCAATGATGTAGAAAGGACTTATGCATGCAGGGCAGAGGTAAACTATGGCACTTGCTTCCACAAGAGGCAGTGATGGCCACCAACCTAGATGGATTTAAAAGAGGAGTAGGCAATTTATGGAGATGTCTTCTGGCAGCAATGGCTCTGATCTGCCTCCACAGTCAGAGACTGCAATGCTCCTGAATACCAGTTGCTGGAAACCACAGGAGGGAAGAGGGGTCTTGTGTTCGAATCCTGCTTGTAGTTCTCCCTTTGGGGCATCTGATTTTCCACTGTGAGAACAGGATTCTGGGCTAGATGAGCCATTGGCCTGATCCAGCAGCAGGCTCTCCTTATAAGAGGTTATTACAGTCTATCGGCGGTAGTTGTGCATGAGCTTGATTCACTGCTAATAAAAACATTTGAGAGGTCTAGAAAGCAAAACTCCATCTTCCGAGGCACCGTGATAAGGAGTGACTCTCTTTCTGGTTCCTTTGCCTGTAGCATAAGATGCTGATGACGTCTCTCTCAGTGCAAAACACTTGCAAAATCTTGGCATTGTGAAGCCCTGAGCTGGACACATCCTCCTGGCACCGCGCACAGGAATGTCAGAGCTGAAACTCTGGTGCGCCCAGCTTTTCCCAGGGTCACCGTCCTGCAATTTTGACGATGTCTCTATAAGAACGCGAAGGGGCAGCTATCAGCCCCCTGCATCTCCTAAACACCTCCCGAATTCAATTTGAAGCAGGGTGGCTTTTTCAGACTTCTCAGTAGAAGTGGAGGGGGCGGGGTGTTTCTCCCAGACCTGTTCCTGTGCGGCTGCATTTCTCAAGGAGGACATTTCCATTATGCCTTTGCGAAATTGGATCCAGTCCCCAGGGACTGTATTGCAATACCTTCTGAGGAAAGTGCAGAAGAAGAGGAGGAATTGTTCCTTCTGTGAATGCTCCTTGCTCTCCCCTGGACTGAAAGCTTCCTTATGGATACCCAGGGAGACTCATTAGGGTTTGAGGGATGCTGAGAAGGACAAACAGGGCATCAAGTCAAGGCAGAAGCAAGCCAAGGCCGCTCACTTGCCCCACCGCAGGCTCACTTTCAATAGCTGTGATGGCATTTTTCTCCTGCTGCAGAACTTCTGCCGTTCTGGGCACCCCAGTTGAAGGAGGATATTGACAAGCTGAAGGATTTGTGTAGAGCAGGGTGACTGAGATGATCCAAGGTCTGACAACCAAGCCTTAGGAGGAATGGTTAGAGTAGCTGGGTATGTTTAGCCTAGAGACTGAGAGGATACAAGATAGTCATCTTCAAATATCCAAAGCCCTGCCCCATGGAAGTTGTAGCAAGCTTGGTCTCTCCCACTCTGGAGAAGAAGACCCATGGCTTCAAGTTACATGAAAGGGGATTCTGACTAAACACAAAGAACTTTCTGACTGCCAGAGCTGTTCAACCATGGAGTGGACTCCTTCCGAAGGTGGGGAACTCTCCTTCCTTGGAGGCTTTAAAGCAGAGTTTGGGTAACCATCTATCAGGGATTCTTTACCTGAGATTCCTGCCTCGTAGGGGGTTGGGCTAGATGACCCTCGGGGTCCCTTCCAGCCCGACAGTTCTATGATTCTATGCACTAGTTCTCATTTTTAGGCAGGCCATGGTGTCTGGATTCTTGCGCTACTGCCAGCAAGCAACATCCATCCCCACAATCAGCAGTGCCAGAATAAATACATAGTAGGTGCCAGAGACACCACCAAGATGCAAAGCAGACATCACCACTGTGTCCGGAAAGCAGCATTCAGTGCAAAGCAGTTAAAGGGTTTTTTGGTGCAATCAAGAGGGCTCTGGGAAGGCCATGAGGCTCCAGGGACCTCATCCGTGAGAAAACTGACCCAATACAAATAGAAGTGCTCCATTTCCCTTCAAGGACTGAGCCCTACGCCTTCTTGTTTTCGCTGGACTCAGAGGGAACTCTCTTGAGCAATTATTGGGTGATTACAGAGAGTGAAATAAGATGGGGATAGGAGGGAGGGAGCAGGGAGGTGGCACACAGTCCATTTGGGACCCAGGGCAGAGTCTGTGGGGCTCTTCTATTTTGCCACCCATTCATCTGCCCAGTCCAGATCACTGTGTGGCACAAGAAGAAATGGGGCATTGTGCCAGAGATCTGATGGCTCAGACAAGCCTCCCAGCCAAATACTCCAGGAAGCAACACTGGAGGGTCAGAACCAGCAACCCAGAAGAGCCTTGAAGTTCTTCTGCGCTGAGTTCTCAGTGATCCAGCCCTGCCCAGAGCCATCCAAATAAGGACCGGCCTCCCTAAGAGCATGTTGGTTGAAAGGTCCCTCGGATCTCACATAAAAACACCATTCTGAGAGTAAACAAACAGCACTGGTCAGCAAGCCAGCCAAGAGTGTTTCCATTCAGCATGTGAGCAGACAGCAGGCCTCTTCCTTCCCTAACCAGCCTCAAAGTATAAATCTCTTACGGACCGTTACAGCACATAAACCCATTCTTGTTCTTCTGCTGTTACACCCCACACGGTACCCATACAATCTCCATGGTTCCCATCGCTGAAGCAACCGCCATCCATTAGAAAGGAAGCCTGCTTTGCCACCACCAGCAATTTCGCTTGAAATGCAAATATCAGTTTTGGGGGAAATGGTTTTTGTCAGGATTGTGGCAAGGAAAGAGTTAAACTCCCCTTCCCCACCCAAGAGGGACATGTGGCTGCATAGGCTTCCCATCGACTGCTATTTGCCTCACAAAAAAACGACACTTTTTAAGTTAGCAAATGGTAAAAGGAGGGATGGCAGAGATTTACAGCAAAAGGAAGCCATGAGTTTTCCAGGTGCTCTTCCAAGTTTAGCTTGCTTGGAGTACGTGAGCCTGGCCTTCTGTAACAAAGTGGACAGATTCCGGACAGATGAAAGGAAGGACTCTTTAACGCAGCTCATAACTGCCACTCGCAGGAGGCCGTGGTGGCCACCAACCTAGATGGCTTTAAAAGAGGATTAGGCAAATGAATGGATGACTCTTGATGGCTACTAGCTATGGAGGCAGCCGTGCTTCTGAACACCCGTTGCTGGAAACCACAGGAAGGGAGAGCATTGCTCTTGTGCTTGAATCCTGCTTGTGGGTTTCCCAGAAGAGGCACCTGGTTGGCCACTGTGAGAACAGGATGCTGGACTAGATGAACCATTGGCCTGATCCAGTAGGCTCTTCTTAGGTTCTTACGAGTCTCTCTTGAGGCCTCTCCAAGTCTCAGAAGCTCCCTTCCGAGGTGCAGGCTATCATAGCGAAAGCTGGCCATTCTTAGGGATGCTTTGTAACGCGTTTGCTGCCGAGTGAAGTGAACCCAAGGGCTTGAGGATTGCAGCTCCAGTTGTCCAGTCCAACCCAGAGAAAGTGGGAGGCTTCCCCATACACCATAAGGAAACAAAACCCTGGGGTCATTTTTCTAAGGATGGATCTTTCCTTGTTTGCAGTGCCTTCCTGAAACTTTGGCTCCCTGCCACTCTAATCCCCAAATCCAGCCATGGTTTGATTGCTCTGAGCTCTTTGAAGAGTCCTTGTGTTCTCAGGGTGATCTCCTCTTTCTCTCGAGCAGAGGAGTTACATAACTGCCTCCTAGGAATCTTACCATTTTAGGTGAAGTGAGGAGTGCTTTCCAATTACCCGTTCCTGCGATAGGAATTTCCAATTTACTTTGCTGGCTGATTGGAGGCCAAAGGAGACCCCAGGACTTGACCCTGCAGCCCTGTCTCACACCAGGCTCCGCCCCCTGTGATAAAGGCCCACCATGCTAGACTTGGTGTGACTGACAGTAGCCATTATCAGGTGGCCGTGCAACCAGGGTCCGTTTGCGCAGGGTGTAGCTTAATCAGGAAAGGTTGTGTAGACCCTGGATCAGGGCTTCTAATCAGTGGTGGGCTGGACGAGGGCCAAATTCTGAATCCTGGCAGGTTGGTGAGCAGTTTCTGAGTGGATTATTGGCCAGTTTCCTGCTTTGGATGGGGTCTCACTCCCCTGAAGGAGCATGTTTGTAGCTTGGCTGCATCTCTATTGCTAGAGGCTAAGGAGTGCTGGGAAGACAGTTTCTGGACTAGGATGGCTTGGCCACTGTGGTTCCTGCATTGGTAACCTTGATGATTGTAATGCTCTCCGCATGGGGCTGCCCTTGAGGGAGAATGCAGAAGCTCAGCTGCTCACTGAGGCAGGATAGAAGCATAGAATTGTAGAGTTGGAAGGGACCCGGAGAGTCATCGATTCCAACCCTCTGCAAAGCAGGAATGTGCAGCTGTCCCATACGGGGATCAAACCTGCAACCTTGGCGTTCTCAGCGCCATGCTCTAACCAGGAATATTGCTGTCCTGTTGCTCCACTGTTCACAGAACTGCACTGGCCACCAAATAGCTACTAGATAAAGTTAAAGGTGCCGGTACTGGTGTACAAAGGCCTATGCAGCTTGGAGCCGGGGTACCTGGAAGATTGGCCGGCCCCTTCTATACCCAGCTGATCACTGTACTCTTCAGGACAGGGCATCCCGCACACACCGTCTTCTCAGGAGATCTGTCCCATAGGAAGTCTGAATTGAGCCTTCAATGCCCTTCTGCTAGATATCACGCAGGCACCTTCTCCAATGAAGACTAGTGGAGTTATTTTATCCTGCTCTGTTTCTGCACTAGATTTGAAACTCTTTCGACTTGCAGTTGTTTTAGATGCGTTTTAATTTGTGCTGTGGAATCGCTTCAAGACGCGTCGTAGGAAGTGATTCATAAATAAAGTAAATAATGCATTGGTGACGGAGCTCATGCTTCAGGCAGGGATGTGTATATTTAGTGCTTTTGCAGGAATGCTCTGTAAGCACATGATCTAAGAATAGCTGGGGAAGAATATGACTTTCTGAGGCTTGGCTGCTGCTGGGCCAGTGGGGAGTCCAAGAAGGCAGGATGATCTGTTGGGCTGGAGCTGTGGGAGGGCCAGCCTTGGGGCAGAGTTGATGGCCAGCCAGTGTCCCCACTGAGAAGTCCATCCAGGGGGTGAGAGTGGGGGAACTGGAACAAGGATGCTGGCAGGCTGGTGGGCAGAAGCAAGGCAACATACCATGGCAGGGGCAACCGCTGCAAAGTCAGGAAGAATCCCCAGGAGTAGTATATTGCTGTTGAAGGATGGGAGAAGGAGAGGTCCCTCCAAGAGGAGCCTCAAGAGCAGGCTTCCTCAAACTCAGCCCTCCAGATGTTTTTGGCCTACAATTCCCATGATCCCTAGCTAGCAGGACCAGTGGTCAGGGATGATGGGAATTGTAGTCCCAAAACATCTGGAGGGCCGAGTTTGAGGAAGCCTGCTCAAGAGAGAGGATGTCTGCATCCCTGTAACTGGTTAATAATAATTGTGCATGCACACTATTTAATTTATCTGCAGCTTCTCTGTACTGCTCAGACACACACACACACACACACACACACACACACACACACACACAAATCTGAGTGGCTCACAAATAAAACTAAAAATGTGAAATATAAATATTTTTATTTAACTGAGTTTCGGGGGATGGAATTGCAGAGATTGCAAATTGTATTATAAACTAATTCACACACAACACGTAAAGGCAGTTTGAAACGCCACAAATAAATATTGCAGAGTGCAACAAGGCAAGCGAATAAAAATCCAAAGAAACAAAACAGGGCCAATGAAACTGTTTGTAATCTAGAACGCCTGGTCCTATCTTTATCTGGCGCCGAAAAGCTTGCTGTGCTGGTGTGAAGTGTGCCTCTCTGGGGAGGACACTTCAGAATCAGGGCACAGACTAACATCACTGTTTTTCTGAAACTAAGGGTGACGCTGTCCTCTACTAGACCGACTTGTGCTGGCGAAAACCCAGGGCCCACTTTTAAGCCAAATCCCTGTCCACCAGTTGATGTCCAGTGTGCTAGTGTACAGGGTTCTGCCTTAGACAAAGAATTATGTGTGGTTCCGAAGTTTGTATGGAAAGTTGGCTACTATGGGCTCTTCCTGCCCCTTGGAGCTTTCCTTGCCAGACCTAAGCGCAGCCACAGGTGTTATATCAAATGCAAAAGAGCAAAGGGAAGGAAGGAAGGAGAGGAGAGGAGGTGGGCTTGTTTCCTTGTCTAAATAGGCCATTGTGTGACTTCTGTTTCCCCAGTGACCCGTCATAACCACTTGAAGGACTTCATGCTGGTGGTGTCCATTGTGATCGGGGTGGGCGGCTGCTGGTTTGCTTACATCCAGAACCGCTACTCGAAAGAGCACATGAAGAAGATGATGAAGGACCTCGAAGGTCTCCACAGAGCTGAGCAGAGTCTGCACGATCTCCAGGAAAGGTGAGTCTTGGAGGCTGCAGGGTGCCATGGGTGGTGCCAGCTGCAGTCCTGGCTCTCTCCCTTCTTCGCTAGCACCTGGCATGCTGATGACGTTTGCTCAGATCTTCCCAAATACTTTGCTATGAGACCTGCTCGCGCTTCTGGTTTGGCACTTATGAACCACAAAGCACTGGATGAAGCCCCCTTGCAAAGCAAGCATGCTGGGCCTGTCCTGACCTCGCTCCTGCCCACCATGTGCCAGTATCACCCTTCCCAACCCAGCAAGGATCAAGGGTGGGCATCTAGTGCTTTGTGTGGACCAGAAGACTGCTGGCTTGAAACACCCAGAAGTTCATGCAGGTTAGTGTTACCTGTCAGATCTTGAAACCTCCCAAGGATGGAGACAGCAGAACCTCAGTGGAGAGTCCAGGTTTCTAGGCAGCTTATTCCAACTGGTCTTACAGCGAGGGGGTTTCTTCTAGCACTTAGTTTAAACCAGGGGTTCCCAAACATTTTGGGGGCTCTGCTCCCCTGGTTCTATGAACTCATCCCCAGCGCTCCTTACCCTGTGAAAACCATCATTCAAAAGGAAGATAATAACACAATAAAACAGTAAAACAGTGAATTGCACAATTATTCAAAATCTGGTTTAAACTATTGAATTAATTCAGCAAAACTGAGGAACTTGATCCAGTGATACCAGCTTCTCAAAATCTGATAGTTGTTTATGCCTCCATCACACACCCCTGCCACCCCCTTACCTCTTAGCACCTTCCAAGGGAACCCCTCCCCACCCCCAGGGATGGTTCAGCTCATTTCAGAACCACTGATTTAACCCTTACTTCCCTGTATTCTGAATTTGTTTCTTCTTGGTCTGCCTTTGGTGGATGGATGGGCTAAACAATGGAGATAATCTCTGTGACCGGAATAATCCCTGCAGATTAACCGATCAAACTGACATCTATTTCCTTATAGCGTAATTGTGAGCAGTTATTGGCATGCGGCGTCCACACGGCTCTGTTAGTCTGTCCTATTTGCAGCAAGCAAAGAACAGTGAGGCTTTTTAGCTTGCAACCCATGACTGTAGTTGGTGAGGCCTGGGATAGAGGGTGATTTGCCCCAAATATTCAGGGTTTGAACCCAGAACCTGCCACAGGCAGGCCTCAAGGCACCTTCTTTCCTCTTTCTCCCTGCCAGCACAAACTGGGGTTCCTGTTTTGTTTCACTAGAGAGAGGCTTCTAAAAGGGGCATGAAATCAGCCTTTTCCTCCCTCTCTCCCTCCTCACATCCTCCAGTTATCTGGCCTGATTCCGGCCAACTGAGAAGAGGCTGAGTCACTTAAATAATGGAAGCCACCCAGGACCCACTGTGGCTTGGAAGCGCCCCCCCCCCCCCCAACTCTGCCTTTGCAGGAGGAGCTGCTTCTGCTGCGGCAAGGCTCGGCTCATCACAGTCTGTTGTTTTGTCTCTGCAGCTCTGTGCATGCATGCAGATCCCTGAGAACCTCCCTGTCCCCGCCACCCTTTTAAAAAATGCCTGAACATGTGCAGGCAAGCAGTGCTCAGGGTGTGGAGCCTTTTGTCTCCCTCCCTCTCGTGTGTTCCTTGGCCTTTAGCACTTCGTGTTCCCCCTCTGGCCATCACTCCCTCCCAGCCACCAACCAGGCGGCAAAAGCTCAGTTACAGGATTCAGAACCCAGCCAGCTCATTTAGCATGTTTTGGCAACACAAAGCAATTACATCGCTCCACATAGTTGCTCTCCGACACAGGCCTGCTGATAAGCAGTTCGGGGGAGGCAAGGCCCTTTTGGGTCTGGACCCTGGAAGAGTCGCTTCCTGGACAGAAAATAATCTTGCAGTCGCCCCCAGAAGGAGTGGAGGGGCCTGTCCTGGGCTAAGGGGCCATGAAGACAGTTCTGTGCAAGGCCGGGGCTTCTGAGGTCCTTCCAAATGATTTTTTTAATCCATAAACAGGGTTATACACACCCCGTTCCCAGTGAAGTACTCCCACATCTGAAGGTTTTAGTGAACTGAAGTAATGGGAAATTAGACAGAACAGTTTTCCTCCCTCTCTAACAAACGCGGACATCCAGTGAACCCGAACATTGGAAGATTCTGAGCCGATAAAAAGAAGGACTTTTTCATGCAGCACATGGTTAAACTGTGGAACTCCCTGCCACAGGAGGCAGTGATGGCCACCAGCCTAGATGATTTTAAGAGAGGATGGGGCAAATTTGTGGAGAGGGATAGCAGCAGCTATTAGCAACGATAGAGGCTGCGGTCTGCCTCCTTGTAAGAGGCAGCAATGCTTCTGAATACCACCAACCGTTGGAGAAGAGAGGCCTCCTGTGCTCAGGTTTTGTTTGTGTGGGAATGTTGTAGATACCAGGAGAGGATATGTTGATTTAATAGTATCTTTCCTCACTCAGCAGCAGCACGACATTCCCCAATATATAGCAGGAAGCTAGTTGGTGGATTTGTTTGAATCTCTTTACTTAAGCAATCCAATCTGGCTTGTCTAGATTGGGTTTGTTCCTGGTAAATCTCCTTTGTTCCATTTTAAAAAGAATAAAGACACAGCAGTCTTCTCTTAAAATGATGATGTTTACTCACATTCAGTTCACAGTTGGTTCCCGGAAGGCAGGCTTTAGCTTAGAGTTACAGAAGAGGGTTTGAGCTCATCCCATATGGGGATAAGCCCATGTGCTGCTGGCTGAGGTCCAGCAGATAGCAAAATACATCGTTATCAAGAGGAAAAAGAGGGAGGTGGCTCCATGACCAGCCCCTTTTATGGGGTCTCCCAGGGTCATGCCCACCTACCTGGTCACACGCAGGGGGAGGAAACTCCAGACCAGGTGTGACAGGAAGTCCTCCTGGCTGTGGAGTAACACCCCCCTGTGTGTCCACTCCGGGCAAACAGGAAGTGCTGTACTTGACTGCTTATGTTACATCCCACAGATTTCCCTTTGGGGCATCTGGTTGGCTGCTGTGAGAAGAAGATGTTGGACTAGACGGGCCTATCTCGTCCTGCATCCTGTTCTCATAGTGGCCAACCAAATGCCCATAATGGGAAACCCGCAAGCAGGATCTGAGCACCAGAGGAACTCTCTGCTACTGAGGTTTCCTGGCATTCAGAAGCATTGCTGCCTCTGAATGTGGAGGTGCAGAGCAGAGCCATTGTGGCTAGTAGCCATCAATAGCCCTCTTCTCCCCCATGAATTTGTCCAATCCTCTTTTGAAGCCACCTGGGTCAGCGGCCATCACTATGTCTGGTGGGAGCAAACTCCACAGTTCAGCTCTGCGCTGCTGCCCGAAGAAGGACTTTTCTTTTGTCTGGTTTCACTTCAGCTCACAGGCTCCTTTCTGCCGGGAGACAGAAATTCCTCGTTAAGCCGCAGCTCCAAACAGGCCCCTGGAGCGCCAGGACCCTGCCGAGAGCACGGGGTTATCTCTGAAACTAGGAACGTCACAAATATTCCTTGTTAATTGGGGAGGGAAACGTTTTTTTCTCTGAGGCAGAAATGTGAGCCGAAAACAAGTTTTGCCTTGCAGAGGAGCCAGCGAAGAGGGTGGCTGAGACGGCTTGTGTGTGGCGGTGGCTTTGAAATTGCCCTGCCTGTGTTCTAGCGGTCCCCAAATTGGGTGGTAGCACCCCGGGGGTAAGTGGGAGAACTGGAGGTATAAATATCAGGCTTTGAAAAGCTGCTGTCCCCAGATAAAGTTCATCAAGCAAATAGTTTTCATTGGATTTTGAATAGTAAAGGTAAAGGGACCCCTGACCATTAGGTCCAGTCGTGGCCGACTCTGGTGTTGCGGCGCTCATCTCGCTTTATTGGCCAAGGGAGCCGATGTACAGCTCCCGGGTCATGTGGCCAGCATGACTAAGCCACTTCTGGCGAACCAGAGCAGCGCACGGAAACGCCATTTACCTTCCCGCCAGAGCGGTACCTATTTATCTACTTTCACTTTGACGTGCTTTCGAACTGCTAGGTTAGCAGGAGCAGGGACTGAGCAACGGGAGCTCATCCCGTCACGGGGATTCAAACCGCTGACCTTCTGATTGGCAAGTCCTAGGCTCTGTGGTTTAACCCACAGCGTCACCTGCGTCCCTGGATTTTGAATAAGTAGGCAATTAATCATTACTGTTTTGACCTTTATTGACTTATCGCCTTCCTTAGTGGGTTGTGCAAACTGCTGTTCTGAATGATGCTTTTCGTAGGGTAGAGTAGGGGGCACTGGGAGGAAACCAAGAGGGCGGTCGCCCCAAAAAGTTTGGGAACCACTGCTGTGTTCTGAGGGGCTGCCTTGTGTTTTTGGTGGGCTTCGCAAGTTGCGAGGCTGCTTCAGTGACACAGCGGTGGCCTGTTCTGCTCTTCCCAGGCAATGTGTTTATTTGAGAAACTCGCCTGCCAGAGTGCACATTTTTCGCATTCCCCGCAGCGTCCCATGCTGCCGTTGCATAGCGAGGCCTGTGCCGGATGCTTCTGGAAAGGCCTGAAGGCAGCTGCTGCGACGACATCCATCTCCCTCGCCCTGACACCTCATCAAAGTGACCCCCAAGGGGTCACCTAGCCAAACCCTCTGCAATGCTCAAGGACGCCTGATAGACGGCCATCCAGCCTCAGCTTAAAAACCTCCAAGGAGAGTCCACCACCTTCTGAGAGAGTCTCCTCCGCTGTCAAACAGCTCTTGCCCTAAGAAAGTTCTTCCTTGTGTTTCTTTGGAATCTCCTTTCTTGCTGTTTGGATCCCTGTGGAGCAGCAGAAAGCAAGCTTGCTCCATCTCCCTGTGAGAGCCCTGCAGAGATTTGAAAACTGCCTTTGCCTTTGGAGAAAGGAGCAATGGGGCAGAGCGATGCCCAGGAGCCAAGGCTTGGCCTTGGGAGGACATTCCTCTGCTCTCCCTCCTCGGAGTCTGTGGATCTCAGCCCTCCTGGGGACTGGCTTCCTCCTCAGAATACTTGCTTGGTGTTGTGTTGCGCTCCGGGGAGGCTCCTGACACTTCCTTCCATGCCAGCATCCACCCAGCCTTGCTGAGTTTGATGCTCTTAGAAAGCCTGCTTTCCTTTCTCTTATCAGTGTGAACTGGAGGAAACCTGCATTCTCCAGCCTCTCCTTCCCACGCAGCTTGGGGCATTCCATCTGCTGCTGAATTTCAGAGCCCCTGACTGACTGGCTTTGCAGTTTCGTCTTACAAACATAAGACAAACATCAGGCCATTGGTCCATCAAGTCCAGCATCCTGTTCTCACGGTGACCGAGTGGATGCCTCTTTTGGGGAAACCTGCAAGCAGGATTTGAACGCCACATCCCTCTCCCCTTCTGGGATTCAGAAGCATTGCTGCTTCTGACTGTGGAGGCAGAGCAGAGCCGTCATGGCTAGTAGCCTTCAACAGCCCTTTCCTCCTCCATGAATTTGTCTAATCCTCTTTTAAAACCTTCCAAGTTGGTGGCCATTGCTGCTTCCAGTGGCAGCGAGTTCCATTGAAGGGGGAAGGAATGGGTTTCTGTGCAGTCAGTCTGAAACGGGACCCAAAATCCTCATTTTTCCGGTGTCATTTCACTTTCTTTCTCCCTCCCGGGAGCAACGCAGACCCCACCAATCGGTATAGTCTAATAAGGCTACACCATAGTTTAACTATGTTCTGCATGAAGAACTTTCTTTTATCCTTCCCGAACCTTTCATCGCCCACTTTGGAGCATTCCATCTGTCAGTGAGCAGCGGAAAACAAGCTTCCTTCAGGTATTGGAAGGTGGCAATCATCTTAGCTCTCAGTCTTCGCTTCTCCTGTCTAAACATCCCCAACTCCCTCAACCATTCCTCATAAGGCTTCGTTTCCAAACCTTTGATCATTTTGTTTGCCCTCCTCTGCACGCCTTCCAGCTTGTCAGTATCCTCCTTAAAGTGGGGTGCCCAGAACTGAACACAGCACACTCCAGGTAGTGAGTGCTGACCAATGCACGTTTGGGGGCTGAAACCCCTGAAAATTCAGGGCAGCGTAGGGCAGCCTCTCGCTCTCTGCTTTATGCGTTGGTTTTGTCACCGGGTGTTGAATCTCCCAGTAAAATAGGTTTTCCCCTGTTGCCTTTTATGCTTGCTTGTCTTCCTCCTCCTTTGATTCTCTCTTTTTTTTTTAGTCTTTTTATTATTATTAATTTTTTTATTAAGAATTTCAACATAACAATTCACCAAAAAAAAATCATCCTCATTTCCCCCCCCCATTTCCCCCTCCCCCTCCCCAAACAGAAACCCACCCCCCCAGACTTCCCTCAGCTCCTCTCTCTGGTTTCTCAGCACATATTAATCTCTGCATATTATAAAATTGTAAAGATCCTTAACCTATCTCTCTATATATTACCAATAATAAATTTGTGTATGTTTATTCTAAACCTGCCAAGGAGTCCAATTCAGTTTGTTGTTTCTTTAAGTACGTTGTAAAAGGTTCCCATGCTTCTTTAAAGTCGCAGTTGTCCTTATCACACAGTTTGTGTGTCAATTTCGCCAGTTCCACATAGTCCATCAGTTTTTCTTGCCACAGTTCTTTGGTCGGGATTTTTTCGTTCTTCCATCCTTGTGCTATTAAGACTCTTGCTGCCGTTGTCGCGTACATGAAAATGTTCTTCAATTTCCTTGGCCTCCTCCATTGATTCTCAAAACAAATTGCTGAACCAAAGTCGACTGAACATACCCTAAAAGTAAAACATAGCCTGAAAAGGAAAATCATTGGCAGGCTGACATAAATGCAATGTACAGAGGAGGCAACCAGTAGTGTCCCGGAACAGCCCCTCAGCAGGTGACAAGGAGGCTCTCTCTCTCTCTCTCTTTCTCAGGACGTCCTGGCCCTGCAGGCCCATGGTTTTCTGCTAAGCAAACACCCGGCAGGCAAGCGCAATACCTGCCTTTGCATTTCAGGGCAGGGCCTGGGGAGACTCCACACCCTCACCAGATGCAACCTGCCACATTATCACAGCAGAAGTGCCAGCCCAGGAGGAGAGGATTTATTCCTCCTCTCTCTTCCCGTGGCAGGGAGTTCCATAGTTTAACTCTGCTCTGCATGAAGGGCTCTCTTTTGCCAGTCCTGAATCTTGCAGCGTAGGAAGTGTGTGTACATATACACATGCAAATTAATGTATCATAGTTTGTGTCCCTTGATATCTAAATGTGGACAGACTTGGAGCAGAATCCTGCACCTCGTGGCAGCCTAGGAGGGAAGCAACTTTCGTCTCTCCAACAGGAGCATGTTTTCATAACAGTTAGACCAGGTATCCCTAACCTGTGGCCCTCCAGATGTTTTGGCCTACCTCCCATGATCCCTAGCTAACAGAACCAGCGGTCAGGGACGGTGGGAATTGTAGTCCAAAACATCTGGAGGGCCGAAGGCTGGGGATGCCTGAGTTAGACTGATTGTTGTCCCCTGGAATTTGAAAAGCTGACTGCACTTGGTTCATTGGTTCCTGGTGAGGAATTACAGCGAATTACGCTCGTGTCAATTGCTCTTGTTCTATAGGCTGCATAGATAAAGGCAGACGGAAGATTTTCACTTTTAAGGTTTGAACGCATGTCTGCAGGCAGTGGAATGCGTAGAAGCCTGGAGATTTCAGCGTCGAGGGAACAGGCATTGGTGAACTTTGTAGAATTGGGGCCAGAGGAAGTTTTTTAAGATCTTGGGATGTAAAGTACTGAGGGCTGTGGCTTACTTTTGCAACATCCCATGGGGTAATCGTGGGCCGTCCTTAGATCTGAATCTTAGAAAAACGTTATCTTTCCGAGGCAATGCGCATGCTTTCGTTGGAGGAGGGCTGGGAGGGGGAGCAGCTTGTGGTCTGGGTCCTAAGAGCCAGGACAAAGATTTCCGCTGCCTCCTTCCATCCTCCTGGGATGCTGTGCAGTGACGTAAACTCGTTTCACACATACCCCAGGATGGCTCAAAGCCCACAACTCTCCTTGGAACAGGCTGATGCAATTGTCTCCATTTCCTCTCTTGGCAAAGGTCCTTGTTTTGGACAGTGCAAGAGCTCCATTAAAGCATCAGATCAGATTGAAGTCCAGCTTCTCAGAGGATGGCAAAACCCAATTTGTGCAAACAGGAACCAGCCACTGAATAGGTGTTGTAGGTCCCCTGCAAAAAGCATTTCTGGGTGCATTTCCACCCTAGGCGAAGCCCCTCTCTCAGCCTCGCTTTTCCACTTGCCATACAGACGCAGTTGTCTCTTTTGCAGCATCATTGCAGGGTGGGGTGGGAGACTGAGATACGCATGTCCTGCATTTTGCAGCCTCGGAAGCAAACGGCTCTGACAAAAAGCAGCCCTGTGTGCCTGGGAGAGGTTCCTTTCCCTTCTCGTCAGCCCCAGGGTGTGTCCAGCTACTAGCTGAGAACCCCCTGCCTAAACCAATCCCTGCCAGGCATCGGTTCCACTCTGGGTGGGGTGAGAGGGAGGTGTGCTGGGCGGCTCCCCCAGAGTCAGGAAGTCCCCTGCCTTGGAAAACACACCACCATCAGTCATGGCTGAGGGCCAAGGTTTGGTGAAGAACTTAAGAAGAGGAGCCTGCTGGATGAGGCCCATCTAGTCTGGCATCCTGTTCTCACAGTGGCCAATCCGATGCCCCAGTGGGAAACCAGCAAGCAGGATTCAAGCACAAGAGCAGCTGTCCTGTGGTTTCCAGCAGACGGGTTGATGGTTGGTTGGCAGAGGGGTGCTGCAGGTGGGATTTTAATCGACTTTTAAGCTTGCATTTCCTTCCTGCCTTCCTTTTCTTTCTTTTTTTAATATAAATTTTTATTAGTTTTTTAACATAGCATTTTCAACAGTAATTAAACATACTTTTACTTCTTATTCAATTTTTTTGACTTCCACCAGTCCTGTCTGAAAATTTTACAATCTAAACTCTCAGTATGCATTTCTTATTTTCCCTATTACATTTCAAACTCATAACCATTATCTCTTATCTTTTTCTACTTTGTAACACTTTGTATATTTCTCCTTACAAAACTTATTGTAGCCCTACTAGCGTAATTTGTTGGTTATAATTGCTCTTCAAATAGTTCATATATTTCTTCCAATCTTCTGTAAATCTCTGGTCCCACAGGTTTCGAATCCTTTCTGTCATTTTGTCCAATTCTGCATAGTCCATTAATTTTGTCTACCATTCTTCTTTTGTCAGAATTTCTTCTTGCTTCCACTTCTGGGCTAACAATACTCTTGCCGCTGTTGCATATTAAAACAGTTTAACATCTTGCCTATTAATGTCCTGGCCTATAATACCAAGTAAAAATGCTTCTGGTTTTTTTAAAGAATGTATATTTCAACCCTGCCTTCCTTTTCTTAATCTTCTTGGAGCTTTGGGAGGCTAGCCACCAAAGCAAAATGAATAGGGGCTGTAGAATTCCTGTGTTGTAAGTGAAGCCAGGCCTATATCATCACCTTGCTCCTGTTTCTGGGCGACCTGGCCCTTAGTCTTGCTCTCCGCTGTCAGCTTCCCTGTGCCTTCTCCCCCCAACACCCCTCCCTGTGCTCTTTCTATCCAGCTCCCCTCTGAGCATCTGAAACAGCTTCCTCCTCCAAGGCATTTCTCTGAGCTTCAGGAGCTGCTTCCTTGCGCTCCACTCTTGCCAGCCCCCCTGCTCTCCTCCTGGGGGAGGTGACTGCATCTCTCCAGACTTCCAGCCCTAGCACGCTGTGGGCAGCCAGTCTCATGGCCCATTTCTGCTCTCTCTGTCTCTGTTCAGGCTCCAGAAGGCCCAGGAGGAGCACCGCACGGTGGAGGTGGAGAAGGTCTCCCTGGAGAAGCGGCTGCAGGACGAGATCAGCATCGCCAAGCAGGAGGCCCACCGGCTCCGGGAGCTGCGGGAAGGGACGGAGAACGAGCTCAGCCGGCAGAAGTATGCAGAGCAGGAGCTGGAGCAGGTACGCCCTGGCCGGGAGCAGCCCCCATGCCGGGTAGGTGGACAGCTCCTCCTGGGGGGCTTGAACTCTCTCTGGGCTCTGGAGGTTTCTGCCTGACCTGCTGCCCTTTGGAACTGAGCCCAAAAAAAGGTGGCAGCCATATGCCAGATTCTCTCCTCCCATCAATCCCAGTTTTAAAATGACACACGTGATTCCTGTCTCCATATAATTGGGCTAAAAACACCAGAAGGCCTCGTCCAACCTCAAGGCAGTCGTATCTTTGGCCTGTTTCCCATGACCGCTTAATCTCGGGCAGCAAGACTGGCACAGACAACCTCTCTAGCCCAATCTCTGCGGCTCAGGAGGGTTAGAAGTGGCATACAGGTTTTGAGGTCCAAGTTGGGTTCAGCCTGGTGGGAGGAAAGCTTGTGGGGTTCGGGTCAGCGTCAGGCCTCCTGTTGTCCTCCCCATTCATGCGTTCATTGGAGAAGGAGCAGAAAAGAGAAGCCAAAATGACCCAGGGGATAGAGCGACTTCCTAAGGTTGCAGCGTTTGGGGATTCTTAGTTTAGAGGTGACATGATCAAAGTTTGTAAAATGATGCATAGCAGGGAGAAAGCAGATGCAGAAAAGTTTCCCCTCTCAACACTGGAACTCGTGGACATCTGATGAAGCTGAGCGTGGGAAGATTCAGGACGGACCAGAGAACGTCCTTTGCAGAGTATGTGGTTCATCTGTGGAACTCCCTCCCACAGCAGACAGTGAGGACCACCAACTTGGATTGTTTTATAAAAAAGGATTGAACAAAGTCACGGAGCAGGAGGGGGCTGTCAGGAGCTCGGCCTACACTCAAGTAGGACCCTGGCAGAGACACATGCCCAACTGGCATGTTCTTTCCCTCCTGGTCGATTGTCCAGGAGCTTCATAAGCCTTCTTCAGCCCAAACATCACAGCGACCGATGCCAACCGACACCGGCACACTTAGGGATCCGCAGAGTCTTCGCAGCTTGCGTAACAGACCTCAGCAACTCAGCATTTTGGCTAATCTACTTTATTTACATATAAACACACACGGAGCACTGCAACATGGCTCCCTCTGTCTCTAGCATCAGACAGCAAAGAGAAAAAGAAGAAAGGACAATAGTCACACTTAATTGGAACACAGTAACACAAACATCCTGTCTCCGTCACTTCCCACTCTGTGGAGTCAATGTGATGGACAAAAATCCCATGACTACAGTCATGGAGCAGGAATTCTAACAGGGGCCACAGATGACTATTAGCCAAGATGCTCTGCCTCCACAGCTAGAGAGAGGAGGCGTCTCAGGCGAGCTTGGGAGGAGCCCTGGCACACCCTCCTAAAGGCCCACTACTGCAGCGGGAGAGCCCGATGGAGCCTGTTTCAGCCTCAGCAGGCCCTGCCAGGCCTTTTGGAGGGCATGCCAGGGCTCCTCCCAGCGGCCTTGTGGGACCTGCAACAGGACCTCCTGCTGCTGTGACAGGCTCTGGCGGAGCCGGCTGTTGCAGTGGGAGACCCCACCCGGCTGCAGAATATTGAGGGGGCCCAGACCCCTCGCCGAAAATTTTGTGGGTGCCTGGACACCCGGGGCTCTGCAGAGACGGCGCTCCGGCGTTTCTGAATGCCTGTTGCTGAACACCACAGGACTCTTGTGAGGGCTCTTGTGCTCAGATCCTGCTTCCTGGCTTCCCACGGGCGTCGGATCAGTTGGCGTTTCCACTCTCGAGGGCACACAAAGGGGCACGAGCTGCGGCGTCCCAATTCCAGGCCCCCTTGGTAGGGTGGGAAGGGAGACCGTTCACCAGGATGCCCTGAGCCAGTTTGGCAGTAGGCAGAGGAAACCGGAACCCATGGCCCAGAGAGACTGGAGTGGGTGGGGGGTTGTCGGACAGGGCCGGTGCGCCTTGTTGTTGACCGTGGCTGATGCCTGCCCCCCCTGAGGAAGTCTCGTGCGCCTGGGGCCCCCTTGCCTGACTGCCGAAGTACTAGAGCGGCTGCTGTTGTTCCCCACTCCCTGCAGGTGCGCATGGCGCTCAAGAACGCGGAGAAGGAGCTGGAGTCGCACAGCAGCTGGGCCGTCCCAGAGGCCCTGCAGAAGTGGCTTCAGCTGACCCACGAGGTGGAGGTGCAGTACTACAACATCAAGAAGCAGAACGCCGAGAAGCAGCTGCTCCTGGCCAAGGAAGGGGTGAGTGGGGGGGCAGGGAAGAAGGAGCAAGGAGGCCCAGTCGAGAGGGAGGACTTCTTCACGCAGCGCATGCCTGAACTATGGGGTTCTGGTTGCCTTGCCTCAAAGAGGGTATGTAGAATTGGAGGAGGTTCAGGAAAGGGCATCCAGAATGATCCTGGGGGTGGAGCAACTCTCCTACAAGGAAAGGCTGCCGCGTCTGGGGCTTTTCATTTAGAGAAAAGTCAACAAGATAGGAACTTGTGAAATTGTGTACCGCATGGAGAAAGTGGATAGAGGAAAGTTTCTCTCTCTCATAGCACTAGAACTTGAGGACATGCAGTGATGCTGGATGATTCAGGACAGAGAAAATAAAGTAGTTCTTCACACAGCACAGAATTAAACCATGGAACTCCCTGCCACAGGATGGTCTTGATGGCTTTAAAAGAGGATTAGACAAATTCATGGAGGGCTTTTGAGGGCTGCTAGCCCTGATGTCTGTGCTCTGCTTCCACAGTTGGAGGCAGCGATGCTTCTGAAGGCCGGTTTCTGGAAACCACAGGAGGGGAGAGGGTTCTTGTGTTCGAATCCTGATTACAGGCTTCGCTTTAGGCCACCTGGTTGGCCACTGTGAGAACAGGAGGCTGGACTAGATGGGCCATTGACCTGATCCAGCAGCTGAGCTCTTATGCTTCAGTGAGGCTCATGGAGGTGGGAGACAGAATCCACAGACTGCTCAGCACCCTGTGGCAGAAGGATGTGGGCTGTGTCTTCCCTTCCTAGCCTCGCCCTCTGGGTCCCATAGGGGCTGGCAGCCGAGACTCAGGAGCAGAAAAGTTTGAATAGATGTGACCTTTTCAGTCACGTTCCTCTGCTTACGCCCTTTTCCAGGCCGAAAAGATAAAGAAGAAGCGCAACACTCTCTTTGGGACATTCCACGTTGCCCACAGCTCGTCCCTGGATGACGTGGATCATAAAATCCTGACGGCCAAGTGAGTTTGCTGTGTGCGTGGGCAGCTTCTGTCCGCTCTGCCCCCTCCGCAAGACCCACATCCTAGGAAGCTGCTGCGCAGGTTTGGAGGCCAGAAGCCGGGAGCCTTCAGCTGTGTGGGAGGCAGATGACCCCCCATTCTGTTCTGCGGAAGCAAGAGCGCTTTGCGGAGGAGGAAGGGCCTAGCCGCCCATCCGCTCCGCAGGCTAAAGATGTTCTGTGGGGCAGGCGCATCACCCTCTGCTTCGCCACTTTTTGTCTGGAGATGCTGCCAGAGATTGCATCTGGGGCCTGTTGCATGCCAAGCAGACACTCGGCCACTCAGCTCTGCTCCTTCCGTGGTTGGGGTTTGTGGAACTGTAGAGTTGGGGGCACCCCAGAGGCCATCCAGACCAACCCCCTGCAAGGCACCTCAGGCCTTTGTCTCTCCGCTCCCTCCAGCCCTGCTTGTTTCCTTTCCTTTCTCCCCCGCCCCCCGGTAATATGTGTTTATTTCTTTTCACAAGTACACATTTATAAGAAAATTGTTTAATAACCATTCTCTGAGATTCTCTGAATCTCCAGACTGACTTCCCTCCATCCCCTACATGGGTCCTTGTACCAATATTTACAACTACATGTCAGTCCATTCTCCATAGTTTTTGTAGTCATACCTCGGGTTACAGACGCTTCAGGTTGCATTTTTTCAGGTTACAGACGCGGCGAAACCCGGAAGTACCAGAACAGGTTACTTCTGGGTTTCGGCAGTCGCGCATGCGCAGAAGCGCTAAATCAACCTGCGCAGGCGTGGCGCTGTAGGTTGCGAACATGTCTCCCGCACAGATCACGTTCACAACTCGAGCGTCCACTGTATTCCCAAATTGTCCATAATTTTCGTTACATTACAAGTGGGTCTTATAGCCCAGCTAAAGTTTTAATTTGTTTACAATGGTCTCCTAGGTAAATTATACATTTTTCCCATTCTTTTTTAAAGTCCTTGTCTTCTTGATTCCTGAGTCTGCCAGTTAGTTTTGCCTTTTTGGCAAAGTCCATCAGCTTGGCTTGGCTAATAACATCCATGCAGCTGTTGTCGCATACATGAAAAGTCTTTTCTGATCTATTGGGATCTCAGCACCTAGAATTCCTAATAGAAACGCTTCTGGTTTTTTAACAAAAGTTATTTTAAATGTTTTTTTTTCAACTCATTATACACCATTTCCCAAAATGATTCTGTTACCTTACATGGCCACTGCATATGGTAAAAGGTACCTTCCTTTTCTTTACCCTTCCAGCAGGTATTTGAACTTGTTCTATACATTTTAGATAACTTAGTAGAGGTCAAATACCACCGGTGCGTCATTTTCATAGAAGCTCGTTCCCTTCTCCACCCCGCAGGCAAGCCCTGAGCGAGGTGACGGCGGCCCTGCGGGAGCGGCTCCACCGCTGGCAACAGATAGAGATGCTCTGCGGCTTCCAGATCGTGGTCAACCCGGGCATCCACACCTTGGTGTCTGTCCTCAACATTGACCCCTCGTGGATGGGAAGCTGCACACGGCCAAACACATCGCACTTCATCATGACTGACGACATGGACGACCTGGATGAGGAAATCGTATCCCCCGTGTCCATGCAGTGTAGGTCTCCCTGGGGAGCGGGGGGGGGGGGGGCGAGGAGCTTCACAGCCAAGGAAAGCAAGGGAGCCCTCACCTGTTAGAGGACTCTAGGCTAGCAGTGATTCTCAAACATGGGTCTCCAGTTGCTTGTTGGACTACAACGCCCATCATCCTTTGCTAGCAGGACCTCTGGGTCACGGATGATGGGAGTTGTAGTCCAACAGCAGCTGGAGACCCAGGTTTGAGAGACGCCAGCTAGGGGATGGTTCACTTTCGCACAGTCCTCCCGGTACAGAGGTTCCCAAAACTTTTCTTCTGTTTTTATTATTATTTATTGAATTTATATACCACCTTATACCTGGAGGTCTCGGGGAGGTTCACAGAACAAAATCAAAATATAAAACCACAAAATATATAATCGAAATAAAAACAGCAACCCAGTAGCCCCTTCCCCCTGTCTCTGTTCCATCAACTTGTCCCCAGTGCCACCCATTCCGCCCGGTATAAAAGCGTTATTTGGAATAGCGGTTTGCACAACCCCTAAGGAAGATAATCACATGGTAAAATTGAAGGTGGTAACCATGAATTGCACAATTATTTGCAGCCCAGTTAAAACTATTTCATTCAACTGATTCAACAAAATGGATGGGCTTGATCCGGGCATGCCAGCTTTTCACGATAGTGATTTGCACCTCCGTTGTCCCCCTGCCACCCCCTTAGCGCTCCCCTTCCCCGGTGAGCCCACTGCCCCACCCCCACTTTGGGAACCTCTGGACCAGAGCCCCCTCTCCATATCGCCTTCCTGACACAGGAAGCAAATTCTACATGGAGGGAAGTGGGAAGCGCCTGGTGCGCATGCGTGCTTTAAGAGCCGGGGTTCCTCCCCTCCCCACCTCTGCATTAAAGTGGGGCGGTGGTGGGGAGGAGGAGGAGGAGGAGAGCGTAGCCCTGGGGCTACAGAATGCCACCGGCTCCCATTGCGTAGCTTCAAGACAGCTGGAATCAAGCAGGGCTTGGTAAGGCTCAGCTCAAGGGTGCTGTTCCTTTGAACATGCGCAGAGCGCTTCCCAAGCTCAGCCAGGCACCTTCAGTCTGGGGCTCAGGGGTTTCTGAGCAGAGGTTTGAACACCAGCGTTTTGCTCTTCTGAAGCACCCCTGACTCACGATGGCCTAAGACAGGAACGCCTGGCTTGCCTCTGCCCTGCATTTCCCCAATACTGGGAGGAGTGTGGGGTGGGTGGGATTTGCTGCTGTGCTTCAAGGGACCCCGAGGGTCATCCAGCCCACCCCCTGGCAATTCGGGAATCCCATAGAATAGACTGGAACCTGCTCACCCTGGGCAGGGAAGGTGAGGACAGAGCGGTTGCTGGGGGTGTCAGGTGGGGGCAGGAGTGGGGAAGGCAAGCCTGGGGGTGGTGAGTGGGCACAGAGCCACAGAGTGGGAATGGGACCCCAATGGGTCATCTAGCTGAAACCCGACAATGGGGTGCAGAGCGGTGGTCTAGGTTTGGCAGGATTGGGGGGGAGGGCAGGGCAGGGTCCTTTGCTTGCCGATCAGAAATGCCGATGTGAGGTGTGATGTTTCTCCCCACCAATGACGCCCCCCCCCCCTTTCTCTCTCCCCCACCGGCCTCCCTGCCCTCCTCCCGGTTGGCTAATGCCAGACGCAGCCTTGCTCTTGGGGCACAGGTTCAGCGACCGCTCATCCCTCTCCTCGGAGGACCAGTCCTGGAAATACCCCGGTTTGAGGATTATTATCTTGGATTCTCTTTCCACCCTCTGAACTAAACGCAAAGGGCAGGAAGGCGGGACCCTCCTGCTCACACAATGGCACCAGCAGCCTCTCTGAGCACAGAAGCTAATTCTCACCTCATCCTTTCTTCCTTCATCTCTAGCCAAAAAAGTGCACACACAAAAGCCCCCCAAAGCTGGCATCTTTACTAACACCTTCCCTGGGGGCAGGGCCTGCTGGGACCCAGAATCACCCCCAAGCAGAGAGGAAAGCAGGGCAGGAGGGACTCGGGGGTCACCTGGACTCTGTGCCCTGAATGTTCCTGTCCACAGTCAGAGGCAGCGATGCTTCTGGATCCCAGCTGCTGGAAACCACAGGATGGGGAGGGCTCTGGTGCTCAGATCCTGCTTGCAGGTTTCCCATAATGGGCGTCTGTTTGGTCACTGTGAGAAGAGGAGGCTGGACAAATGGGCCATTGGCCTGATCCAGCAGGTGATTCTTAGGTTCTTGCGTTTCGAAAGACCTTCCAGGCTGAAACCTGCAGTTACTGGAGGATGCTTTCTGGCAAGAAACAAGAAGACAGAGCAACCTGCCCCCTCCCCCTGCCTCTGTGGGCAAAGATTCATCGCCTGCCCCCCGCCCCCCCCCCGAGCCTCTGAAATATTAGAATTGTAGAGTTTGAAGGAAGCCCAAAGGTCATCTAGTCCAACCCCCTGCAGTTCAGGAATCACTTCAACTGCTTCCTGGTTCTTCAGATCCCAGCAGGGCCCCCCTTGCTCATCGGCTTCCCGCTCCATGCGCCTCTTAACCCCTCTGACGTTGCTGCTTTCTTTGCATGCCCCTCCAGTGCCCAGGCACCCTCCACCCCTGGAACCCAGAAGGCACCTCTGTGCCGACCTCCCATGGTGCCCCGTCAGGAGTTATGCGCGGGTGCTGTGAAGCCTTGGAGGTCCGGGGGCCTCGTCCTGGATTCCCAGGCTTGAGTCCGCCAGGCTCCTTCGCTCGCTTCTCATCCGTTAGCAGGGCTGCATTTGAGAGAAGAATCCGGAGAGGGCAAGAGGAGGGAGATGCTTATAAGAATCCCCAAAAGAAGATAGCGAAGACCCTCTATAGGGCAGCAAGCAACCTAGGTGACCCCCATAGATGCCTCTCGACTACTTTGATTGACAAAACTGCTCCTCTTAGGGTGCCACGTCAACCCCATTCCACATTGTGCAAAAACAATATTTTGGTGCGACGGCACCTATACACTTATGAACCTGTTATTGACATCCGTCAGATGCCTTCCCTGCACTCTTTGGCTTAGACAAGCCTGCTGCTGCAAGTTTTACTCTATTTCCACTTTAACTTTTGTTAAGTCTTAGGTTGCTGCGCTCGGTTTTTTCTTACAGATGATTTCATGGTTTTATTTTTTCCCCTACGTTGCTTTGAGCTTTCTCCTTCCAGTCGAGCAGTGTGTAACTCTTACAAAACAAGCAAAACAAAAGGCACTGCAAGGAGGAGCTGCCACAGCCATTTACTGGGGGCTCAGGGCGAGTGTGGAGCTCCTTCACTTCCCCGGGGGAGCAATTGGCAGTGGGCAGGGACAGGGACAGGGCGCAAAAGCCGACAGCCAGCAACCTCTCCTGTCTCCCTTGAGCCGCTCGCCCTCCTAATCCTCTGTCTCTCTCCCGGTTTAGCGCCCTCCATGTCCAGCGGCGTCCGCCAGCGCCTCGTCGACCCGCAGCACTCCTTGGGATCGCAGAGGTTGGTAGAGAGTCACCAGGCTGCTGGCCAGGGTGAATCGGGGCCGCTGGTCCACTACCTGCCCGGCAGGGTCACTCTGCGCCGGATGCCCAGCTTGAGCGGCAGCCAGCCCTTCGCCTCCGACATCCACGGCGGAAGTGCGGCCGCCTGCTCTCCATCTTCTTCTTCCTCCTCCTCGCCGCCGTCTCCTCCTTCCTCCTCCTCCACGGGCCACTCGCCCTCCTCCGCTTCCGCCTGCCACGCCCTGCCCATCCTTTACCACCACACCACCTCCTCCTACATCCTCCAGGTGGACTCCCTGCCCAACCTGCCCCCTCCCGACGTCACCTCCGGGACGCGCTGCCGCGCCGAGAGCTATGGGTATTGTGCGGCTTCCTCCGGGAGTGGTGCTTGCCCTCTTGGCTTCCCCTCCGGGGCCCGGCCTGCCTTCCTAACCCAGCTTCCTACCTCCTTCCCTTGGCAGAAGCATGGGTGCCCGTGGCTGCCGTCTTGAGGCCTGCACAGCCTGGTTTGGCGTGTCATTGGTCCTCTCGCCTGGTGGTTCTGGCCAGGAAAGAAAAAGGACGCTAACACAACTAACTGGCCAGCCACCTCCCTGCCTGACTTGGGCCGTCCTGCGATGCAGAGTGTGCTTTTGTTTGGTTTGCCTCCACTTCTCCCCGCTGCACAGAGTTAAATTGCTCCAAGAGGGCTCTTGGGTTTGAATCCTGCTTGCAGGTTCCCCATAACAGCCAGCCACTGTGAAAACAGGATGCTAGATTAGGCGGGCCATTCGCCTGATCCAGTGTGCTCTTCTGATGTTCTTAACCCTGCCTGGGTTTGTGTGTTGGTGTGTGTGTGTGTTTTGGACATCAGTAATTATTACTATTCTTATTAACCCCAGCCACTCTGGGCAGCCTCCAACACATTCAAAAACATATTAAGACATCAAACATGGAAAGCTTCCCTAAACAGGGCAGCCTTCAGATGTCTTCTAAAAGTCAGTTTATCTCCTTGACATCTGAAGGGAGGAGGGTGTTCCGCAGGGAGGGAGCCACTACCAACAAGGCCCTCTGCCTGGTTCCCTGTAACTTCGCTTCTCGCAGGGAGGGAACCGCCAGAAGGCCCTTGGCACTGGACCTCAGTGTCCTGGCTGGACAATGGGGGTGGAGATACTCCTTCAGGTGTACTGGGCTGAAGCCGTTTAGGGCTTGAAAGGTAAACACCAACACTGAATTGTTCTGGAAGCCAATGTAGATCCTTTAGGACGAGTTTTCTATGGTCCCAGCGGCCGTTCCCAGTCTCCACCAGTTTAGCTGCTGCATTCTGGATTAGTTGTAGTTTCTGGGTCACCTTCAAAGGTAGCCCCACGTAGAGCGCATTGCAGTAGTCCAAGCAGGAGATAACCAATCTGGAGAGAGAGTGCGCGGTCACACATTTTAAAATCCGGGTTCCTCACGCCCTGCTTTTTTCCCTTGTCTCTCTCTCCCCCACCGCCAGAGATTTATCGCACTCTGACTCGGATTCCTCCATCCCTCACCTGAGCAACAGCCAGCGCACGTCCAGCTCGGCCCCCCGGCTGCCTGCCCGGCCAGCGCTGCTCAACAAGTCGGAGGAAGCGGCAGTGGCGGCCGCCTGCGGCTACAGCAACCGGCCGGCGGAGGCTTCCTCTCTGCCGGAGCCCTTCCCCGAGAGCCCCATCCTCATGAAGAAGGCCGTGATGCTGAACCACGGCCTGGAGAAGTCGTCCAGCCTGGGGGAGATCAGCCACGCGGCCGGGGCAGGGCCCCCCTCCCGCCAGGCCCACTCCGACTCCTCCCGCTCCCACAGCCCCAGCTCCACCGAGCCCGACACGCCCTCCCCCACCTCCGACCCCCGGCTCAACAGCCAGGGCAAGGCGGGCAACAGCCGCATCCCCCACCTGGCCTCCAAGAAGAGCGCGGCCGGCGGGGAGGAAGACAGCGGCTCCACGGGGGAAGAGACCGACTCCTCGGGGCAGGGCAAGAAGAAGTTCCCCCTGAAGATCTTCAAGAAGCCCAAGAAATAAGTCCGGGCCGGGGGGGTTGGCAAGGAGGGAACCCCCCAGCCAAACACCCACGCTGGGACGGAGCAGGAGGCGAGGGGAGGGGGAGAACCTTGAGGAGGGGGGGCAAGAGCACCCACCCACCTCTCCTCCTCCTCCCCCAGGATCCCTCTGCTCTCTGGGTGGGGGATCTGCTGGTGGAACGCCCCTATTTATTTTGTGACGTCGGCCTGGCTGCGCCGGAGGTGGTGGTGGGGGGGTCCCTTGCTTTTGGCTGCGCATGGCTTCAGACGAGCTCTCCCTCCTAGCCCTCTCGCCACCGCCACACCGTGTGACACTGGATCCGTTCACCCCCTGTGCCCCCCCTTTGTTTGCTGCTTCCCCTGCGCACCACGGCAGCCCCAAGGAGGCTGAGTGGCCCACTCCACAGGGAGGGAGAGGATTTTGCAAGGGGGTTGTTGCTGGGGAGGGTGGGGTGGTGCTTCCCTTGCTTGTCCTAACCCCCATATGTGGGTTTACTTTAGGGACTAGCCCCTTTGCCTCAAGTGAAGCAAAGAAGGGGCAGGAAGAGGGCAGGCCAGGGCTGCTGGGAGGAGTGGGGAGTGCAGAGGCCCACTGGGGCAGAAGCCTGTTTCTTTAGATCCCTTTGTGAACAACAGCTGTTCGTTGCAGACAAAAAGGGGCAAGTTCAGCCCCCAGCTCTGAGGACAGGAGACCACAAAGCGGCCACTTGGCCCGAGAGCAGCAGGGGCTTTCCTTCTCCCCACACCTCCCCTCCCCTGTTTAGGGAAGAGGCCTTGTCTTTCCTGCAAGCGGCGCTTGGCTTTGGGGTGGGGGTCCCTGCAGGAGCTGGGGGGCTTTCTTGTGTCTGCTTTCTGGCTCACAAATGAGCAGGAGGCTTTGCTGAGCCTAGAAGCCTTCTGCAAGAGCTTCCCCACAACTCTACCTTTGGAGTTGCTGTCTGCCCCAGGACATCCCTGCTACAGCCAGGTCTTGCCCTATGCACGTGGGACGCAGGGAGACCAGAGCTGGCCTGCCTTCGGCTGGCTCAGCTTCTTGGCCACGCCAGGTGCCAAGCGGAGGAGACCCCCCTGCCCTCCTGGTTGCAGTCTGGGAGGTGGGCGGCTCGTGTGGGGATGTGCGTGTGAGAGAGCTGCCTCTCATTCCCTCTCGCAGGCTCTGTTGTTTTTGCGCTTTGGAGCAAAGGTGGACAGGTTTGGGCCGCTGGTGGCCTCCTTCCGTGGCAGACACAGGTCCTCTTCCCCGACAGCAGCCTCCCCTCCAGAGCCATGCCTGCATGCCTTGCAAGGACAGAGGAAGGGCTTTGGGGAAAACTCAGAGACTTGATGGCCATGCTGGCACCGCTTTGAGCTTCCTGCTTTTGCTTCTCCCCCATTTCCAAGCACCTGCGCCATCCGGGCCTTCCTCTGCCAGCTTGACAATGTCCCAGTCTGGTGAGGAAGGCGAGAGACCGGGCACTTACAGGGAGGGGGGGCTGGGATCGGCTCAAGCAGAGGATGGGACGACTCCACCCCCCCAAGTTCCACCATCCAAGGCCATGAAGACCAGAGGCCCAGGCCAGCTTGAAAACCCAGAAGGATCGTGGTGCTCCCCTTGCCATGCACCAGAGGAGCCACGACGAGCGCCAAGGAAAGCAGCCTTCACATCATCACCTTCCTCCATGAGGTCCTGTCTGGCTGCCAGCTTCTGCCCTGGGCAGCGATGGGCACCAGGAGAGCGTCCCGTTCCCCCCAGCGCCAGGCCACCCTGCTCTGCACCTGCCAAGTCTTGATCTTATTTAATGGCCATTTCATAAAACTGTTTTCAATCCAATAAAAGCATGTAGATTATTTTAAGGCGGCTGTGTGGCTTCGGTGCCTTTGGCAGAGGGAGGGGGCAGGCAGGAAGTGGCGGTTGGGCAAGAAGGAAGGGTTTGCTTTGGGCGGCATTGCAACACGGCCTTGGCTGAGAGGAAGAGCCTGAGGGGCAATTTCCTAGAGTTGGAAGGGACCACAAGGGGCATCTAATGCAACCCCCTGCAATGCAGGAATTATTATTTTTACATTCATTTATACCCCACCTTTTCCCTCATAAGGACTTGGCGGCTCACAGCTGAAGGATCCCTGTCAGATGGTCGTCTGATCTCTGCTTTAAAGCCTCCAAGGAAGTCCCGTTCCACTGCCGGACAACTCTTGCCGACGGAGGGGAGGGGGGCGCACCAAGAAGGGCCTCAGAGGATGAGCGCAGGATCTGGGTCAATTCATGTGGGGAGAGGCAGTCCTTGAGGTATTGTGGCCCTGAGCTTTGAATTGGGCCCGGAAACAGATTGGTAGCCAGTGCAGCCAGTCCAGGATTGGCGTCCCAGGCTCAAACCGCCTTGCCCCGGGGAGCAGCCTAGCCACCAAATTCTACACCAGCAGACATTTCCTGTCTTCAGCCCTGTGATATAGCTTTGCAATAACCATTTATGCACACTCTGTGGGTTATGTGTATGTACCCTAATCCCTACCCTGGGCTGTCTTTGGCCCAGTTCCCAAGGGAGAGAAAAAAAATCAACTGCACCACGGCACTTGGAAGAGATCAAACCATTTATTTAGGGGGAAATCTTCAATTTCCCCTGGAAGGGAGGGGGAGGCCTGCTTCCACATCTGGTCTTCACAGGGGCTGCATCTTCCAAACCTTTCCCTCCCAATGCCCTGCCCCCCACTTCCGCCAACCAAAGCCCCACACAGTTAGAACCCACTCCCTACTCATCCTGACATTGGCACACGCAGATCTGAAGAGAGAGAAACAGGAATACAACAGAGCAATGGAATGCAGAGACTGTGGGCAAGGGATTCCTGAACAGGAGGACCAGTGGCGGGGAAGGGGCTCAAGGAGGGAGAGACCCAACTGCTTGCACCTTCCAGAGCATTAATATCAGGGCAGGGCTAGGGGACCCCTCCAGCTCCCATCTGCCCCAGGCAGCATTGCCACTGGTCAGTGCTGATGCAGGTTGAGCCCCACATCCCATAGGAAAGCCAGTCCTTATCCAGGGGATCGGGTCCTTCCCTACACCGGCTTGAGCTCCGTTACTTCGTTGGCTTCGCACTTGGCACCTAGCAGGGACTCTGCCAAACTTGGATGTCTAAAAAGAGACGGACAAACGCCTGGTACAAACCCCAGCCCTCCACTGGCCATCTGCTTGGGCCATTTCAGCAATGGGGGCGAGAGGAGGGAAGAGGGAGCAAGGAAGAATGACCCAGGTGGGGCGCAAGGGAGGAAGCAGCCCAGAGTTTTCCTGCTGCTCTGCAGCAGACAATGCCCTGCTTGTTTTCTTCCTGGCTGGAGAGTCAGGTGTGCAAATGAGAGAGAGAGAGGAACGCTTTGCCAGTCCAGAAAAACTGGCTGGGACCCGGCCTCTTGAGTGAGTGGCACCTCCTTGGCAAGCCATCCGTTGAGTTGGAGGAGCTCTTGGAGACAGCAATAGCCTGCCGCGTTCGTGAGCCCAGCAGGGCTGGCAGATGGCACCGACGTTGCCACGGCAGGGTCTGGAAGAGTCCTGCCAGCCCTTGGCCACCTCCCTGTTACGTAGGGAAATGAGCTCTGAAGCCCTAGGCAGGCCTTGCAATGGAGAGATTGGCCCCAGACTCAGACTCTCCTTGGCAAACAGCAGCAGGGCTTCCCCAGCGCCATGATGGGGACGTCTCCAAGGAAGCTGAGATGGGCGGTTGCTGTTGGCGAAGGCGGACAACCGCTGCTCCGTTCACCCACAGATTGATTCTTCGTCGCCATGCGGCGGCTGCCAGCCCCCTGCAAAGTCGTTGTCCGTCAGGTTCACCGTGTAGGGGACATCGATGATCTCGTGAGACGCATCCCGGCTGCTGGCAGTGCGCCAGGAGTTCAGAGGGCGGATGGCTTTCCTGAAACGCTGAGAGAGCAGCAGAGAAAAAGGCCATGAGCTTCTGAGTTCAGCTTTGAACCCCCAACCTTGCATCTTAAATTAAAAGAAGCCTGGTAGGGTTGGGAAGACTTGCATCTTAAATTAAAAGAAGCCTGAGGGTTCAGGACTCCAGGAGCTCTGTGTGTTCAGCCCCCCAACCTCCCCCTGGTAGGGTTGGGAAGACCCTCCTATGGAACCCTGGAGGGATGCTGCCACTCTGTGTGGGTCAGGGATCACCAACCTGGTGCCCCCCTCCAGTCATTGGATTACAACCCCCATCAGCCACAGGCTGGCAGTTGGGGATAATGGGAGCTGGAATTGGAAGGTTCGGAAAAGATTAAAAAGTAGGTCCTTCTTCCTGCAGAGCAAAGAGCGTGCTTGAACTATGGAACTCCCTGCCACATGAGGCAGCAATGGCCACCAGCTTGGATGACTTTAAAAAAAGGATTGGATGAATTCATGAATGAAGAGAGGGCAGTCGATGGCCACAGTGGCCACACTCTGCTTCTGAATACCACAGGGGGAGAGAGGGCTCATGCTCAGATCCTGATTTTTGGTTTCCCATTAAGGGCACCTGGTTGGCCACTGTGAGAACAGGATCCTGAACTAGAGGAGCCATTGGCCTGATCTTACAGTCTTCATCCAGCAGCTCCCAGAGGGAAGTGTCTGCGCAGATGGATCAATGGCTGGTCACGGTAAAAGGTAGCTCCCTGTAGTCATTTGCCTGCTGCCTAAGCTGGCTTTGAGATGTTACCTGCCGTTTATCGTCTTGACTGTTTTAAGTGCTCCATTAATAATAATAATAATAATAATAATAATAATAGTAATAGTAATAGTAATAATAATAATTTTAGAATGCTGTGTTACTTTTATTGTTGCTAGCCACTCTGAGCCCGGCTTTGGCTGGGGAGGGCGGGATATAAATAAAATTATTATTATTATTATTATTATTATTATTATTATTATTATTATTATTTTATATTTATACCCCGCCCTCCCCACGGCTAACAACAGTAAAATTACAGTAAAAACATAATAGGGGGGAAAGACCAATTTAAAATACAGGTTAAAATGCAATTTAAAATGCAGTCTCATTTTAAAAGTAGCCCATGGATCAAAACCGTAAGGAGAGGGAAAACATAAGGGTCAGACTGAGTCCAAACCAAAGGCCAGGCAGAACAGCTCTGTCTTGCAGGCCCTGTGGAAAGATGTCAAGTCCCACAGGGCCCTAGTCTCTTGTGACAGAGTGTTCCACCAAGTTGGGGCCAGTACTGAAAAGGCCCTGGCCCTAGTGGAGACCAATCTAACCACCTTGCGACCTGGGACCTCCAAAACGTCATTTGTGGACCTTAAGGTCCTCCGCGGGGCAGACCAGGAGAGGCGGTCCCGTAGGTACGTGGGTCCTAAGCCGCATAGGGCTTTAAAGGTCAAAACGTCACCAGTCAAACCAGGTGACATCAGATGACCCTGGGGGTCCCTTCGAACCCTGTGACCCCTGCAAGACAGGCCAGCTTGCCTAAGGCCCTCTACTGAGTAGTGGCAGAGGTGGGGTTTTGAACCAGAGAACTGCGCAGCCCAGGGGCAGGAACTGTAGAATTGGACAAGTCCAGTGGTTCTCAACCTGTGGGTCCCCAGATGTTGTTGGACTACAACTCCCATCACCCCTGAGCTCTGGCCTTGCTAGCTAGGGGTGATGGGAGTTGTAGTCCAACAACATCTGGGGACCCACAGGTTGAGAAAGGCTGCTCTAATCCAACCCCCTGCAATTCAGAAATCTCAGCTCAAGCATCCACGACAGAAGGCCATCCATCCTGTGTTTAAAAGCCTCCCAAGGAGTCCACAAATTCCCAAGGGGAATAACTGCTACTCTCAGAAAGCTCTTCCTGATTCTTAAGTCAGAAACTCCTTTTTTTACCATCGGAATCCCTCTGCTTCCGAAGCAGCAGAAAACAAGCTTGCTCCCTCTCTTCCACATCAAGGCCCTGGAAGGTGTCTATATCACATCACCATTCAGCCTTCTGAATCATACTCACATCTGCCAGGGTCCCCGACTCCTTGAAGAGGGCGATGGCTGCCCAGAGAGGGATCTGGATGCAGGTCACGACCCCCATGCAGATGCCCAGGGCCTCCCCCCAACGGGGATACTGGTAAGTGCCGTAATGCAAAGTCGTGCTGGACAGATCCAGGAAGATGTAGAAGAGGATGAACTGTGGGGAGGGAGAAGGAAACACAAGCAATCGTTGGAGGATTCTGGGAGTTTCAGAAAGGGGCAGTCGTCATGCGTGAGCCTTCCCACCTCCTGTGTGAAAGGAGCAGAATGGTTTTCTTGCTATTCTGGCAGCAAGCAATATTATTTATTTATTTATTTATTTATTCATACATACATACCCCACCCATCTGGCTGAGTTTCCCCAGCCTCTCTGGGCAGCTCCCAATCGAGTGTTAAAAACAATACGGCATTAAACATTAAAAACTTCCCTAAACAGGGCTGCCTTCAGATGTCTTCTAAAAGTCAGATAGTTGTTTATTTCCTTGACATCTGATGGGAGACCATTCCAAAGAGCAGGCACCACCACCGAGAAGGCCCTCTGCCTGGTTCCCTGTAACCTCACTTCTCACAGGGAGGGAACTGCCAGAAGGCCCTGGGATCTGGACCTCAGTGTCCGGGCAGAACGATGGGGGTGGAGATGCTCCTTCAGGTCTACTGGACCGAGGCCATTTAGGGCTTTAAAGGTCAGCACCAACACTTTGAATTGTGCTCAGAAATGTACAGGGAGCCAAAGGACCGGTGTTATGAGGTCAGAGACCACAGTGATGGCCGTGAAAGGCCTATAAACAATGGAGAAATTTGCTCTCCCTAAGTCTTCCAATATCACGATGGCATTACAGTCATACCTCATGTTAAGTTTGCTTCACGTTACATTCTTTCAGGTTACGTCCCGTGGCGACCCGGAAGTACCAGAAAGGGTTAATTCCGGGATTCGCTGCTCGCACATGTGCACAAGTACTAGATTGCACTTCGCACATGTGCACAAGCACCAAACCGCGCCACGCACCTGCGCAGATACGGCGCTTCAGGTTGCGCTCTTTTCATGTTGCGAATGGGCCTCCGGAACGGATCCCATTCACAACCAGAGGTACTACTGTATGCCAAAGAAGAAAAAGAAGAAGAGTTTGGATTTGATATCCCGCTTTATCATTACCCAAAGGAGTCTCAAAGCGGCTCACAATCTCCTTTCCCTTCCTCCCCCACAACAAATACTCTGTGAGTCCAGTCCAGGTCGCAAAAATCCAGGTTCAGAAAAGGAAAGCCAAAATGATCAAAATGAACGCTCGGCTTTCACCACCCAGTTATTTAAATCGAGATGAACAGCGGCAGGAAGCTGATAAAAAAATCTCTGCCCGGCTCCCACCCAAGCGGAAGGGTGGGGGGCGACTTGCCAGCAAGAGCCCTGGCGTGAAGACCACCCAGCAGGCCTTGAAGTACAGCACCAGCTGGCTGCACCAGGGAGGGCAGCGGCAGATCATGTCCACGATGTCTTGGCAGAACTTGTTGATGCCTGCGTGGTTGGGGAGAAGACGACGAAAGGAGGTTAGCAAGTGGGAGGCAGCGTGGCAGACACACACACACACACCCCGGCCACCCCACCCTCATGGAATACCTCTCCATGGTTTGCCGTATTTTGCCGTGTATTGCACAAGGGTTTTTGACCCAAAAACCATGTGAAAAAACGGGGGTCGTCCAATACAAGGATAGTGGGATGGGGAGGGTGGAGAAGCGGTGCGCCGCCAGCCAGCTCATTGGAGGGAGTGCAAATTCCCCGCATGGTGGGTGCTCCCTGGATCAGTTCCTGCGCAGCGGCATCAGAGAAGGTTGTGCTCCCGGGAGGGCAACTTCCCCCAATGCCGTTGCGCGGGGAAAACGATCTAGGGAGTGTTTCCTGCCCAGGGGGAGAGGCTCAACAACTTTGGCCATCTCCCCTCATTTCCCTAAAATTGAGTCCCCCAAAATAGGGGGGGGGTCTTATACAAGGGGGCGTCATATAGACGGAAAAATACGGTGATATGGGTGAGCCACATCATGGAGTTGCACTTCTCAAGGCAGCCATCCCCTTCTCTGGCTGGGCCACCGTGAAAGGAGGAGGTGGGCTTCTTCTGACGTGGCTTTGGCGTCTCTCTCCAAACAGGCCATGAGGGCTGGCCAGTGGTTCCTGCTGGCTTACTGATGGAGGTTTGTTTTACGTTCACATGTGGTTCCCATACCTGGGGGGGGGGGGATACCTGCCCCTTGGTTCCATAAACTCATTAGTAATGCCCCCTACCCTCCCCAAAACAGTATTCAGACCAGCAGTTTGCATGGCCTGTTAATAATAATAATATTTTTTATACCCCGCCCATTATTATAAAATAATAATAATTTATTATTTATACCCTGTATGTTATTTATACAGCTTCCAACAGAATATTAAAATACAGTAACCCATCAAACATTAAAAGCTTCCCTAAACAGGGCTGCCTTCAGATGTCTTCTAAAAGTCTGGTAGTTGTTGTTCTCTTTGACATCTGGTGGGAGGGCATTCCACAGGGCAGGAGCCACTACCGAGAAGGCCCTCTGCCTGCTTCCCTGTAATGGGATCATTCCATACCGACCCATTTTTCATTTTCATGTGTAGTTAACGTGTTCTATATCATTTTAAAGACAATTTTCCAAAGTCCATTTTCCCAACAGGGCAGGCGCCACCTGGTTCCCTGCAACCTCACTTCTCGCAGCGAGGCAATCGCCAGAAGCCCTCGGAGCTGGACCTCAGTGTCCAGGTAGAATGATGGGGGTGGAGATGCTCCTTCAGGTATATTGTTAGGGCCTGTTAATAGAACCGCTGCGAGAAGCCAAGTTACAGGGAACCAGGCAGAGGGCCTTCTCGGTGGTGGCGCCCGCCCTGTGGAATGCCCTCCCACCAGATGTCAAAGAGAACAACAACTACCAGACTTTAGACATCTGAAGGCAGCCCTGTTTAGGGAAGCTTTTAATGTTTGATGGAAGGTGGCACAGGGGATTCAAAAAGGGAGCAATTAGTTGCACATTTATTCGAAAAACAAATATATGCAAGGATAGGTATATGCTCTAATCTAGTCTTGGAGCCAAAATATGCATTCTTAGTAATGAAAAGGAAGGATCCCTGACATGTGGCCATGCAACCTCTCTTTAAAAACCACTGAAGGGGATTCTGCCACCTTTCCAGAGAGTCCGCTCTGCTAGGGAACAGCTCTTGCCATCCGTTCATCCTAAGGGTTAGTCAGGATCTCCTTTCTTGACACTGGAATCCGTTCCTTTGGGTCCCACCCTCTGGAGCAGCAGAAAACAAGCTGGCTCCATCTTCCACACAAAAGATACCGTATTTTTCGCTCCATAAGATGCACCTGACCATAAGACGCACCCAGTTTTTAGAGGAGGAAAGTGGGAAAGCCCCATTTTTTTGCAGATCAGCTCACAGTTGTGCGGCTTCTTTTGCAAAGGGAAAAAATCCTGTTTTTATGGGGTTCAACGCACAGTTCTGCAGCTTCCTTAGGAAAGGAAAGGAAGCCCTTTCTACAGTTTCCAGACAGATAATCTAATCAGCCAGTCACATGTCGCTGGGGAAACAAACAGCCTCTTTGCAGAACATTAAAAAATGGAGGCCTGGGCAAGGGGCCAGAAAGGGAGCCAGCGATCGACCACACATTCGCCCCATAAGATGCACAGACATTTCCCCTTACTTTTTACGAGGAAAAAAGTGCGTCTTATGGAGCGAAAAATACGGTACTTGAAGATGCTTGAAGATGGCTATCATCCCAGTAGCTCAATTTCTTCTTCTCCAGGCTAAACATCACCAACTCCTTCCACTGCTCCTCTTGAAGGCTGAGTTTAAGAGCCCTTTGGAGGGCGCAGGATGACAGACAGAGGTGGAAATTGGCCTCAAAATCTTGCCATGTTCCTCAAAGCACTGACTGCCCTGTGGGCATCGAAATGCCTTTCCAGGCAATGCCTCAAGTTGGCAGTGCAGCAGGAGGAGAACAGTTTGGAAGCCAGGAGAGCTCTGGAAGAAACAGACTGGGTTGGGGAGGCCTGCAAGACACTCACCATAGAAGAAGGTAACTCCGAGGCACATGAAGAGGGCGATGATGATGAGCCCAAAGCTGGTGCTGTAAGAGTCCATGAGGGTGAACCAGTAGATGCCGCCCTGGGGAGGGAGGAAAATCCACACACGTGAAAACGGAAAAAGAGCCTTGTTGCATCCAGGTAGTCCACTATCCCACTCCTCTTTCCAAGCTCCCTCCAGTGGCAGGGAGTTCCGCAGTTTAACTCCTATGTGAAGGAGGACTTCAACAGGGCAGAGCCATTGTGCCCTGCAGCCATCTTGCACTCGATTCCTGCTAGCTGGTTTCCCTTTGGGCATCTTGGTTGGCTGCTGTGGGAACAAGCTGCTGGACTGGATAATATAATATTAATAATAATTTTCTATTTATACCCCGGCCTTCCCGGTTTAAAAACCGGGCTCAGGGCGGCTAACAAGCAAATTTAAAACATTGATTAAAAATGCGACTTAAAAACAGCATAAAATACAACATGAATAAAGACAACAGCATAAAGACAACATCTCACGAAACATTTTATGCTCCGTGTATATAGACACCTTCTTAAAACTCTTGAAGGGGTTAAAAATCAAAAGCACCCAATCGGTATGCTCCTCAGTGCTAGCCTTGTTTCACTGAAGGCTCCTCCAGAGACCTGCGAACGGGCAATGCGAGTCCCCTCTTGTTCACTAAGGTAAAGGTAAAGGGACCCCTGACCATTAGGTCCAGTCGTGGCCGACTCTGGGGTTGCGGCGCTCCTCTCGCTTTACTGGCCGAGGGAGCCAGCGTACAGCTTCTGGGTCATGTGGCCAGCATGACTAAGCCGCTTCTGGCGAACCAGAGCAGCGCACGGAAACGCCATTTACCTTCCCGCCAGAGCGGTACCTATTTATCTACTTGCACTTTGACGTGCTTTTGAACTGCTAGGTTGGCAGGAGCAGGGACCAAGTAATGGGAGCTCACCCTGTTGCGGGGATTCAAACCGCTGACCTTCTGATCGGCAAGTCCTAGGCTCAGTGGTTTAACCCACAGCTCCACCCGCGTGACTCTTAAATAACTCAGTTCCCCCCCCCCCTCGGCCTGATCCTGCAGCCAGGCTCTTCTGGTGTTCTGCTTACCTCTGTGATTAGCAGGAGCCCCAGAAGGTAGAAGGCAAAGCAGAGAAGCCCCAGGAAGACGGCTTTGCGCCTCCAGTCACGAAGCGAAGGGAACTCGTCCATCACGGCCGTCGTGATGCCTTCCATGTTCCCGAACTAGAAAGAGAAGCATTTGCGGTTGGGGTGGGGGGAGACCAGCACCCACAGCGCCTCCCCACCTGCCCCTACCCTCCTCCTTCCATGGGTTAGAATTTGACATGCACTTCCCTGCAAAATGAAATTGTGCAAAACACACTTGTGAGACTGGTCCCATCCACTTGCACCATGCACCTTTTTTGCCTCGGGCCTGCCAATTATCTGAGCATGCCGCCCCCCAAAAAACACCCACCCACCCAGGAAGGATCTGTGGAACTCCCTCCCACAAGACCACCAACCTAGGTGGCTTTAAGAGAGGATCAGACAAATTCATGGAGGAGGCAAGGACTCTCGATGGCTCCTAACCAGAGGCAGTGATGCTTCTGATTCCCAGTTGCTGGAAACCTCAGGAGGCGAGACTTGCTCTGGTGCTCAGATCTGCCTGCAGGTTTCCCATAATGTGCATCTGTTTGGCCACGGGGAAACTAGGTGGGCCACTGGCCTGATCCAGCAGGCTCAACTGGTGTTCTTATGGTAGGGTTGGCCATGTCTGAATGTCTCCCCACCCCAGTTATTGGACTGATGCCTTTAAAACTGTTGCTTCATCTGACATAGCCCAGTGGGTTCAAGCATGGCACCGATAACGCCAAGGTTGCAGGTTCCATCCCCGTCTGGGGCGGCTGCACATTCCTGCATTGCAGGAAGTTGGACTGGATTGATCCTTCCAACTTGGGAATTCTGTGATTCTAAGCGAGCGCCTGGCTTCTCTCGAAGAGTCCGGCCAGCCCTGGGCCTGCGGAAGGAGGGGCAACATCTGGAACTGACCAAGGTGTCCACTCCGAGGGTGAAGAGCATCAGGAAGAAGAGGATGGACCAGAAGGCCGACCCCGGCAGCAGAGCAAGGGCTTCTGGGTAGGCCACGAAAGCCAGACCTGGACCTGGGGAAGGATGGAAGGAAGGAGAGAGTTGGGGGCCAATAACCCAGATGTGTTTGGCAGCATCAATTGCAGGGCATGGAGGACGATACGATACTATACTCTTTATTGTCATTGTCCCATACAGAACAACGAAATTGAAAAAAATCTACATCAGACATTCAAATACCCACAAGCCTGCTATCCCAACCTGGTTAGCCCCCTAAAAACTCTGATACCCCATAATTAAATACAATATACTCCCATAGAGACTACCTTAAAGGTAAAGGGACCCCTGACCATTAGGTCCAGTCGTGGCCGACTCTGGGGTTGCGCACTCATCTCGCTTTACTGGCTGAGGGAGCCAGCGTACAGCTTCCGGGTCACGTGGCCAGCAGGACTAAGCCGCTTCTGGCAAACCAGAGCAGCGCACGGAAATGCCATTTGCCTTCCCGCCGGAGCGGTACCTATTTACCTACTTGCACTTTGACGTGCTTTCAAGCTGCTAGGTGGGCAGGAGCTGGGACCGAGCACCGGAGCTCACCCCGTCGCAGGGATTCAAAGCGCCGATCTTATGATTGGCAAGTCCTAGGCTCTGTGGTTTAGACCACAGCGCCACCCGTGTCCCCCAGAGACTACCTTACACTGCGTTTAAAACCAAAATCGCCTTTGGATAGAAACTGTTTCTCAGGCGGCTAGTCCTAGTCTTTATAACCCTGTACCTTTCTTCCAGAAGGCAGAAGCTGAAAGAGATAATTTCTGGGGTGCGCACTATCCTGCGCTATCTCTGCAGCTTTCTTATGGCACCTGGAAGTGTAGATTTGACCCAAGGTGGGAAGAGTGCACCCAATTATTCTCTCCGCAGTCTTTACAACCCTGGACAGCCTTGTTTTTTCCCTGACCGTGCAGCTCCCAAACCACACACACGAGGCCACACCTGAGACACCTAGGATTTACACCCTGGGTGCCACAGCCACGCTTGCCAAGGGGAAGCAGGGTGGACTGAGGAGTTCTGGGTTCGAATCCCACCTTGGTCCTGGACTCCCAAGCACAAGGCTTATTCAGAGAGGAGGTGAGGAAGCGACACATCCAAGTTCTCCTCTCCATCATTCCCTGCAAGATTGCCTCACCCCGCTTTGATTGGCAGGACGTAAGCCCCTCCCAAAACAGGCGAGGACCCGCCTCCTCCTCCTCCTGCCCCCCTACCTGAATCTGCCACTTCCCCCACAGGGACCTTCTTCCGCCAAGCCATGTGGCCCAGGATGGAAAAGATGGCAAAGCCGGCGAAGAAACTGGTGCAGCAGTTGCCAATGGCGATGACCAGGGTGTCCCTGCAGGAAAAGACATGGAGGGATGGAGGGAGCATTCGGTCCCTCAGTTAGCAGCAATTCCTGCATTTGCAGGGGGGTTGGACTAGATGACCCTTGGGGGTATCTTTCGACTCTGTAGTCCTAGGATTCTATTTGCTGAAGACACGCCTCTTTATCCTGGGCTTTGGCACCTGAGAGACGCATTTAGGACCCACTCTAGCTGCAATTGCAGTTTGTTTTGAACTGTTTTAACGTTGAATTTTATGTCATCATAGCCTGCCCAGCGACCTGGGCTGGGTAATATTATCTCACCCCTAACTCTAATAAGAATTTTATTTTCATAGATAGATAGATGGTAGATAGATAGATAGATAGATAGATAGATAGATAGATAGATAGGTATCTCCTTCATGGATCACTGCCTTGTCATGGCGAAGGGGCTTGAACAACTCAGAGAAGCTATGAGCTATGCTGTGCATCCCAGTAGTGATGTATGGAAGTGAGAGCTGGACCCTAAAGAAGGCTGATTGCCGAATAATTGATGCTTTTGAATTCTGGTGCTGGAGGAGACTCTTGAGAGTCCCATGGACAGCCCTGAGTGCTCACTGGAAGGACAGATCCTGAAGCTGAGGCTTCAAGACTTTGGCCACCTCATGAGAAGAGAAGACTCCTGGAAAAGACCCTGATGTTGGGAAAGATGGAGGGCACAAGGAGAAGGGGACGACAGAGGACGAGATGGTGGGACAGTTTTCTTGAAGCTACCAGCATGAGTTTGACCAAACTGCGGGAGGCAGCGGAAGACAGGAGTGCCTGGCGTGCTCTGGTCCAGGGGGTCACGAAGAGGCGGACACGACTAAACGACTAAACAACAACAACATCTATCTGTCATCTATCTATCTATCTCTCAACAAAGTGGGTTCAGAGCTGAGATTTATTTTCTTTTCTGAATGTATTTTGTTCCTTTGGAGGCCTTGCAGCCTGACAGTCTCTTACCTGATCACATTGTTGTCAAACTTGTTGTAGGAAGCCATAGAAAGCAGCCCCCCAAAGCCAATGCCCAGAGAATAGAAGATTTGCGAGGCAGCATCGTTCCAGACCTGGGGTGGGGTGGAAAGAGATTTTTTTTACCCAAGATTCACTTCCCACCCCTTCTATGGAGCGATTTGTGCAACGCCGATTCCTCAAGTTGCCACCCTCTTCATTTGCACTCATTAAAAGCCACGTGGAGCTGCAAAGAAGAGTGTCCCTGAGCATACATCCTTGGGAGAAGAAACAAGGCTGCCGGAACTGAACTGGGGCGACTGAGCTGTTATTCCTGTATTGCAGGGGTTGGACTAGATGCCCCTTGGGGACCCCTCTCCAGCTGTTCTGCACTATAGATCCAGCCAGCTGTGCCAGACGGGGCTGATGGGAGCTGTAATCCAAAACCTCTGGAGGGCATCAGTTCGGCAAAGGCCAGATTAGAAACTCAAATTTTATAATTTATTTCATTACAGCCCCCTCTTCCTCCAAAGAGCTCCAGGTGGTGAATATGGTTCTCCCCATTTTATCATCACTGTTAGAATTCCTGCTCTGTGATTGCAGTCATGGGATTGTTGTCTATCGCATGACGGTGTATGTTTTGACTCCAGAGAGTGGGAAGTGACGGAAACAGGATGTTTGTGTTCCTGTGTTCCGTGAAGGGGGACTATTGTCCTTTGTTCTTTTTCTCTTTGCTGTCTGATGCTAGAGAGAGAGGGAGCCATGTTGCAGAGCTCCGTGTGGGTTTATATGTAAATAAAGTAGATTAGCCAAAATGCTGAGTTGCTGAGGTCTGTCACGTGCAAGTTGTGCAAACTCTGCGCATCCCTAAGTGTGCCGGTGTCGGTTGGCATCGGTCGCTGTGATGTTCGGGCAGAAAAAAGCTTATGAAGCTACCAAATGATCAACACATGCCAGTTGGGCATGTGTCTCTGCCAGGGTCCTACTCGAGTGTAGGCCGAGCTCCTGACAATCACAGCAACCCTGAGAGGTAGGTTCAGCGGAAAGAGGCAACAACTGGCCCAAGGCCATACCCCCCGAGCTTCATGGCTGAGTAGGGATTTGAACCTTAGGCTCACCCAGGCCTTTTCTGTGGTGGCCCCCTCCAGGGAGGCTCATTCGACCCGTTTAGGCACCAGGCAAAAATGTTCCTCCTCAACCAGGCCTTGGGCAGATTAATATTCTACAGCCTTTTAAATGTGTTTGTAGCAGGGGGGACAATTGGTTTGTTCTTATTTTTTTAATATTGTTTTTATATTGTCATTTTATGTTATGAACCACCCTGAGAGTGAAGGATGATACAAATTTAGTAAATAATTAGAGTCCTACACTCTTAACCACTGTGCCAAACTGGAACTCTCTGTGAACACGAAAGTTGGATTATACGTGCTGCCTGTCCCGGACTCTGCATCACAGACATAAAATAAACAATAATAATAACAATAATAATAATAATAATAATTTATTATTTATACCCCGCCCATCTGGCTGGGTTATCCCCAGCCACTCTGGGCAGCTCCCAACAGAATAAAGCAATAAAACATCAAACATTAAAAACTTCCTTAAACAGAGCTGCCTTCAGATGTCTTCTAAAATCAGATAGTTGTTTATTTCCTTGAGATCTGATGGGAGGGCATTCCACAGGGTGGGTGCCACCACCGAGAAGACCCTCTGCCTGGTTTCTTGTAACCTCACTTCTTGCAGGGAGGGAACTGCCAAAAAGCCCTCGGTGCTGGATCTCAGTGTCTGGGCAGAACGATGGGGGTGGAGACTCTCCTTCAGGTCTACTGGGCCAAGGCTGTTTAGGGCTTTCAAGGTCAACTCCGACACTTTGAATTGTGCTCGGAAATGTCCTGGGAGCCAATGTAGGTCTTTTGGGACCCCTGTTATATGGTCTCGCAGGGAGGGAACCGCCAGAAGGCCCTTGGGAGCTAGATCTCAGTGTCGCACCCCCCTCCCCAAGAGCCCCCCCCGGCATACCTGAGCACTGCTCAGCCGGCTCCAGTCTGCAGAGAGGTAGAATCGCACGCCCTCGATGGATCCCTCCAGAGTGGCTCCTCGGATGATCAGCACCACGATGACCACGTAGGGGAAGGTCGCTGTGAAGTAGACCACCTGGGTGGGGAGACGAGGGACGGGCTCTGAGCGGGGGGGGGGGTGTGTAAAAAGGTAAAGGGACCCCTGACCATTAGGTCCAGTCATGACCGACTCTGGGGTTGCGGCGCTCATCTCACTTTACTGGCCAAGGGAGCCGGCGTACAGCTTCCGGGTCATGTGGCCAGCAGGACTAAGCCGCTTCTGGTGAACCAGAGCAGCACACGGAAATGCTGTTTACCTTCCGGCTGGAGCGGTACCTATTTATCTACTTGCACTTTGACGTGCTTTCGAACTGCTAGGTTGGCAGGAGCAGGGACCGAGCAACGGGAGCTCACCCCGTTGCGGGGATGCGAACTGCCGACCTTCTGATCAGCAAGTCCTAGGCTCTGTGGTTTAACCCACAGCGCCACCCACGTCCCTTGTGTGTGTGTGTGTTAGGATATTGATAATCTGTTCCACCTTAAAACAGATGTGTGGATTGTTGTATGTCACATGCCTGTTTACACTCCAGCACAGCTTGCTGGGAACTTCCATTTGTGTGTATAGCTATTGCCTTTGCTGCCTGCTCCTGGACACGAAGGGGAGAAGACATGTTTTTTCCTTTGTCCTGATGTATGCTGAATAAACTGCCTGTAAATATGCTCTCACAGCCGTCTCCTGACACTTCTGTCTGCGCAGTGTTATTTATTCTGCTGATTAGAGCGTGCTCCAGCTTCTGAAGCTGTGGGTCGCTGTTTCATGCTAAGCCAAGGACTGGAGATCGTCCGGCTTACCAGCTGGTGGGTTGGAGCCAGCTGGGGGCTTGCAAATTGCCCCCGTTTCCTTGGATGCATCCCAACAGCCAGCCCCAGACCCGCCCCCCAGCAGGAGCTCAAGGGAGGGGAGAGCAGGGGAGGCAAGGGATTGACACCCCCCATTTGGGCACCCAGAGCCTTAGCGAGGGAGGGGGAGATGGACAGGTGATGACTGACAGCATTTGGGGGGGGCAGGAGATGGCAGGTGATGAGGGAAGGACCGTAGCTCAGCGGCAGACCACTGGCTTGGGATGCAGATGGTCCCAGGTTCAATCCACCTACTGGCGTCTTCAGGTATGGCTGGAAGAGACTCCTGCCTGAAGACCTGGGAAGCTGTTGCTGCCAGCCAGTGCAGACAATACTGGCCTAGGTAGGCCATTGGTTTGACTCAGTATCAGGAGATACGACTGGCAAGGGATTTGGTGTATAATATACAGTTGTCAGCATGGGGGAAATTATGGAAAGAGGATTCCAAATGATGAGGACTAGAAACTTTGTTTTATTTTCTGAAGGACGATGTCTCTCACAGATGTCCCCCCTCCCCCCCACAAGTCGCTCACCTTTCCTGAGCTGTGGATTCCCTTGAGCATGCACAGAAAGATGACCAGCCAGGCAAGCAGCAGACACAGGGCCAGCGGCCATCTCACGGGGCCAGGGTCACCCAAGCCGGTGCTGTGGACCACGCCAAGGACCTGTTCGCTGGGAAGAACAAGCGGAAAGGCTGGAGACAGGAGGCCGCCCGGGGGGTGGGGCACACTCCATCCCCAACCAGCCCCCTTTCTCCACGCCCAGCCCAAGACAAAACCCAAAAGACAAAGTCCAGCTCGGCCCCCTGTTTTCCCCCCAGTGGCCAACCTGCAGGAACGGCGGTCAGGCGGTCAGCTCTGAGCTCCTTGCCCCACGTAACCCCAAGGGGACCTTCAGGGAACAAGAATGCTAAATAAAAACAGCACTCACTTCCAGAAGGCTTCGCTGGCGCTGACTCGAGAGGCGTTGCCCCAGGATTCGTTCTGAAATGGTAGCAAAGCAGTTGAGCAAAGTGAATTTGCACCGTTCCCCGCCTCCTCATTCAATCCCCAACAACAGCCCTTTGAGGTGGGCCGAGAGGCAGTGACTGTCCGGCCCCCCAGAGTCGCCCAGCAAAGGCAAGTTCCTGCCCTGCCCTTCGCTGACCCCCGAACCTGTTCCCCAAGAATTTCTGCTGCGGGAAGGTGGCTCATCGGTGCGACAGAACCCTTTGCTTCCTGGACGGCAGGGGGTTGGGCTAGGAGACCTTTGGGTTCCCTTCTGATTCTATAAAGTTATGTTTCCAGGCAAAATGCTGCACAGGATATGATACAATACAATAATCTTTATTGTCCCATACAGAACAATGAAATTGAAAAAATCTACATCAGACATTCAAAAACCCACAAGCCTGCTATCCTAGCTATCCCAGCCTGGTTAGCCCCCTAAAAACTCTGATACCCCATTTTTAAAATACAATATACTCCCACAGAGACTCCTTACACTGCGTTTAAAACCAAAATCGCACTTGGATAGAAACTGTTTCTCAGGTAGCTAGTCCTAGTCTTTATAACCCTGTACCTTCTTCCAGAAGGCAGAAGCTGAAAGAGATCATTTCCGGGGTGCGCACTATCCTGCGCTATCTCTGCAGCTTTCTTATGGCACCTGGAAGCATAGATTTGATCCAAGGTGGGAAGAGGGGTGGGGAGACCCTTTCCCAGACACACACACACACACACACACACACACACACACACACACACACACACACACACACACACACACACACACCCTGCTCCTCATTTGCACCTGAAACTGGCAGAGGTGGGCGTTCTGTGGGGCATCGCAGGACCAGGGCAGGGGGCTCTGGAGAGACATGCCCAGGTAATAGAAGGTCCAGGCAATGATGATGTTGTAGTAGAGAGAGACCAGCGAGGAGACCAGCAACATTCCGATCCCAATCCCTGCAGAGGAAGAGGAGGGGAAATCAATCGTAGAATCACAGAATGGAAGAGTTGGAAAGGACCACAAGGGTCATCTAATAATAATAATAATAATAATAATAATAATAATAATAATTTATTTAACGTCTTTCCTTCTGCAGTGCTGGATGGCAGGTTGAGGGGAGTTCCCTACCAGGACAGACTTTGCTCGTGTGCTCAAGACATCGATTCTCTAAAACATATTTTGCTGCCCTGTGCGAAATATGAGCAAGCCAGGGCTGAACTGGTACCTTTCCCGGTAAAATCAGAGGCTCACTAAGTCAGGTTCCTATTGGAAGACCGGACAAACGCTAGAACATTAGCAGGGGCAAAGTTTTTATTGGTGGTTGCAAGAACCAATGATCCCTATCTTTAATTCTGAACAAAATGCTTGTTTAGCCTGGAGGTAGGCTGTCTGAATTGTGCATTGCTCAATCTCTCTAGAGTCTCCTCCAGCACCATAATTCAAAAGCATCCATTCTTCGGTGATCAGCCTTCTTTATGGTCCAGCTCTCACTTCCATACATCACTACTGGGAAAACCACGGCTTTAACTATACGGACCTTTGTTGGCAAGGTGATGTCTCTGCTTTTTAAGATGCTGTCCAGGTTTTTCACTGCTTTTCTCCCAAGAAGCAGGCGTCTTTTAATTTCATGGACAAAGACAGGAGTAGCTACAAAGGGTGAGAAGCCCACCAGGTATTCTCAGGAGTTTGCTAACACAGCTGTTGCAGATTTAGCTGTGGTTAGTGGCTGGACACAGGTCTTGAAACCTGGAGTCTTGAAAGGGGTACAAGGTTTGTCCTCAAGGGATGGGAAACCAGGCTCCCCCAAAAAACAACCCTTTAAGGCGGTTTGCAAGAGAGATAAAGGAATCAATTGATCACTATGGAAATACTAACAGCAATACTTTTCAAGCTGCACCTGGGAGCACCTACCTTTCAAGAGGGGACAGCACTTCCAGACGGTGATGGGTCCTGCAGCGCCATATTGGCCCAGGCTCAGCTCCATCAAGAAGAGAGGCAGCCCAGTGAAGAGAAGCATTATGGCGTACGGGATCAGGAACACCCCTGTGGGACGCAAGGCAGGCCTTTAGTCAGGGATTGGGGGAGCAAACCCCCAAAATTGTGCAGCAGGACGACTGATTCCCCCTTGTTTTAAGCAGATGTTCAGGATTGGTGCCATGGAATAGCAGTTTTCAGATTGGAGAAAAGGCCAGGAAGAGGCGACATGATCGAAGTTTAAAAAATTAAGCATTGCAAGGCGAGAGCAGACACAGGAAAAGTTTTTCCCCCTCCCATAATGCTAAAAGTTGTGGATGTCTAATAATAATAATAATAATTTATTATTTGTACCCCGCCCATCTGGCTGGGTCTCCCCAGCCACTCTGGGCAGCTTTCAACAAAGAATAAAAATACATTAAAATGTATTAAAATGCACCACTCTGGCCAGACAGTCTGCGGGCAGGAAGGGTCTCAGCCTGCGTACCAGGTGGAGCTGATAAACAGCTGCCCTGGACACAGAATTGACCTGCGCCTCCATGGACAGCTGCGAGTCCAAAATGACTCCCAGGCTGCACACCTGGTCCTTCAGGGGCATAGTTGCCCATTCAGGACCAGGGAGTCCCCCACACCCGCCCGCCCCCTGTCCCCCCAAAACAGTACTTCTGTCTTGTCAGGATTCAGTGAAGCTGAATGTGGGGAGATTCAGGACAGAGAAAAGGAAGGACTTCTTTGTGCAGTGCAGAGTTAAACTGTGGAACTCCCTGCCACAGGAGGCAGCAATGGCCACCAACTTGGATGGCTTTGAAAGAGGATTGGGCAAATTCATGGGGGAGGAGAGGGCTAGCAATGGCTCCTAGTCACAATGGCTATCAACATACGTAGGGCACCAGGTTGGCTAAGGCCGGCCCGTTCCTCTTTGCAATGCATCAAGCTCAAAAGGCGTTTAGGCCCTCCAGCTGCATCTGCCGGAACATCCAACGAGGGCGGAAACTGCAGAGATGTTGGTGACGAAACGCAGAAGGATTTCCCAAGATCTGAAGCCTGGGGCCTGGTTTGCTGCAAGTGCCGGGGGCCTGCACTTTCAATTTCTCCTTTATATTCTGGAGGTTTGTGGAACTGCCTGGTGGGATGCAGAGAAAATACCCGCCACTCTTGGGACCTGCTCTCTGCTTTGCCTTCTAAAGTTTAAGACCGTTGGAAAAGGGATGTTTTGCAAGTCTTTCCCTGTGCGGTCCATTTCCCAGAAGAGGAGCAGTCTTGGTGTGCTGCCAGGGCAAGCTCAACTGCAGCTGCTTTAGGGTGGCAGCACCGGAGGGTACGATGGGGAAAGATGGGCACCAGCCTCTCCTTGGGGCGAGGCTGCAAAGTCCCGCGAAACCACAGGAGGGAAGATGCAGAGATGCAGAAACAGAAGCTGTGAATCCTCCTAAAAGCGCACAGATTCTGTGCCCTGGCTGTAAAATTGGCTTAAGTTTCCCCTGAAGGAGCAGGTTCATAGCTTGGGGCTCCTCCTGGATCCTTTGCTGTCGCTTGAGGTTCAGGTGGCCTCAGTGGCCCGGAGTGCCTTCCATCAGCTTCGGCTGGTGGCCCAGATACGCCCCTATCTGGACAGGGATAGCATAGCTACTGTTGCCTATGCTCTGGTAACTTCAAGGTTAGATTACTGCAATGTGTTATAAGTAGGGCTGCCTCTGAAGACGGTTCGGAAACTTCAGCTGGTGTAGAATTCAGCACCCAGGTTGCTCTCAGGAACAAGACGGTTTGAGCCTATTGCACCGATCCTGGTCTGACTGCACTGGCTACTGATTTGTTTCCGGGCCCAATTCAAAGTGCTAGTTTTGACCTATAAAGCCTTTAATGGCTCAGGACCACAATACTTCCTCCCATATCAACCTAGCCGGACCCTGAGATCATCTTCTGAGGCCCTTCTTCATGTGCCTCCTCCTCAAGAGGTCTGGAGGGTGGCAACACGAGAACGGGTCCTTCTCTGCAGTGGCTCCCCTTCTGTGGAATGCTCTCCCCAGGGAAGTTTGCCTGACACCTTCATTATACACCTTTAGGCGCCAAGCAAAAATGTTCCTTTTCAACCAGGCCTTTGGTTGACCTGACCAACATCCCATACCCTTTTAAAATGTGGTTTTTTTGGGAGAGGTGTATTATTGGGTTATTGCTTTTATTTTTGTTTTATATCCTGTGATCCTTTTATGTGAACCGCCCTGAGACATCCGGGTATAGGGCGGTATATAAATTAAATACATACATACATACATACATACATACATACATACTGTATTTTTTGCTCCATAAGATGAACTTTTTTCTTCCTAAAAAGTAAGGTGAAATGTCTGTGCGTCTTATGGAGCGAATGCGTGGTCCCTGGAGCCGAATTGCCCAGGGGCGAAAAGCAGATCATGCTTTCTTTTTGAAAGAGGGAAGTGGGTGTTGAAACAAAGCCGCTGATTGGCATGCGCTCGTGAGTGAGATAAGGGATGATAGCAATAAAGGAGGCTGCCTGGGAGGGGGGAGGAAAAGATAGCAAACTTGCAAAGGGGGGAAACAGGAAGACTAAAGCAATGAGGAGAGAAATTAGAAGAAAAGGAGGAGCTAAAACTGCTCCAGCTAAGGAAAAGACACTAAGGAAAACAAGAGGAAAGGGAGTGTTGAAAGGAAACAGCTGATCAGCAAGCGATTGGGAGGGAGATAAGGGACGTGATAAAGGAGGCTGCCTGGGAGGGGGGAGGTAAAAGCCCATGGATCCTCAGGATTTTTGCATTGGATCACCCCAAATTCACCATCAGATCACATAGCATGTCCATGGCTACAGCCTGCACCAAAAAAATTACGCATCCACTGTTTCGTGGGGTCGCAATGGTGCAAAAACATGGTTACAAAGCACGGATCCACATGGATTCTCAGGATTTTTGCATTGGGCTACCCCAAACTGACCGTCAAATCACATGTCTGTCGCCACAGCATGAACCACAAAAATCATACATCCGCTGTTTCGTTCAGAATATTTTTTCCTTGTTTTCCTCCTCTAAAAACTAGGTGCGTCTTATGGAGCGAAAAATACGGCAAATAATAAATGACCATGGAGCTCAGGCAAGGACCTAGCTCCCCACCCTCTGCCTCAGGCTCTCCAGTCGCCACCCTGGGGACTAGAAGCATGAGGCGCCTCTTTGCCAAGAGCATCCAAGCCACTCACCGCCTCCATTGCGATAGCAGAGATACGGGAACCTCCACACGTTGCCCAGCCCCACGCAGTACCCGACGCAGGAGAGGAGGAACTCGTACTTCCCTCCCCACGTCCCCCGGGGCTGGCTGGGCTCAGGGGACGGGGTCACCGGCTGGATCTGGAAGGAGAGCTGGCTCTGGGCGGGACTGGCAGGAGACGGGGGGACCGCCTCCAGGGGCGCCCCGTTCATCAGGATGGCACCTCCCGGTGGCTGGAGGAGAAAGAAGGAGGGTCACCGGAAATCGAGGCAGGAAGGAGGCGCTGCAAAAAAAGGCTGCAGCATTTAATTTCAGACTTTTTTTTTAAAAAAAGTATATCTTCATTGATTTAAAATAAATACATTTATGGGAAAACAGACAAATAAAACAAATAAACAAGCATACAATCAGACAAACAAATAATGGAGAAATCAAACAAACAACCACAACATACGAAACAACAAAATTAGTATAACTAACATCACTTATAATCCCGATACTGAAATCAATTATCAAACTTATAAAGAAAAAAATTAAAAATGACTTCCAATTAATCTCACTGTACTTTATCAATTACCTTATACCGCACAGTTGCATATTTCTTATATAGTCTCTTTTTACCTCCCTACTAACTTATATTGATGCAATACAAGGATCAGTCTAGTTCTGCCAAGATGTTTCCTTTTGTACCATCATTTTTTAAGTATTCTTTAAAGATTCTCCACTCCTTATAGACTTTTTGTTTCAGTTGGCCTCTTATCCTTCCTGTCGCCTTCGCTAGCTGCAGATATTCTACCATTAGGTTTTTTAGTAGCAAGGAATTGGAAAAATACAACAATACCCAATACGGCATTTTGAACTTTTTAGCTCTGTGGAACAGTCTCCCTCAGGAGATTGTGGACTCTCCTTCCTCGGAGGCTTTTAAGCAGAGGTTGGGTGACCATCTGTCAGGGATGATTTGGCTGAAATTCCTGCATTGCAGTGGGTTGGACTAGATGCCCTCAGGCTCCCTCCCCACTCAACAATTCCTGGAGTCCATGGATTATGAAATAGTACGCAGCTGAAAAAGTTGACAAGAGGAAAAGTTGTCAGGAGTTCAGCCTACGCTCGAGTAGGACCCTGGTAGAGACACATGCCTGACTGGCATGTTTCCTCCCTCCTGGTTGATTGTTCGGGAGCTTCAAAAGCTTTCTTCAGCCCGAACATCACAGCAACCGATGCCAACAGACATCGGCACACTTAGGGATCCGCAGAGTCTTTGCAGCTTGCGTTACAGACCTCAGCAATTCAGCATTTTGGCTAATCTACTTTATTTACATATAAACACACATGGAGTACTGCAACGTGGCTCCCTCTCTCTCTAGCATCAGACAGCAAAGAGAAAAAGAACAAAGGACAATAGTCCCCCTTCACGGAACACAAACATCCTGTCTTCGTCACTTCCCAGTCTGTGGAGTCAAAACATACACCGTCATGTGAAAGACAACAATCCCATGACTGCAATCACGGAGCGGGAATTCTAACACCATGGAATGGAGGGTGCAGGGCTGTCTTTAGCATATGTGCCGCCGGGGTGCAAAGGTCCATCCAGCGCCTTCAAATTTAGTTTAGCTCCCGAATTAACTTTTATTATGCTTTTGTCAGACACCACGCTTGCGCCTCATCTCTTGTTTACGAAAGAAGGGGGGGAAGTGTTTCTCGCTCAGCATTCGTCATAAAATGCAGAAAAAATGCAGCTCACACCCGAATTCATAGTGTTTTGGATACCCAACTCTGACCAGTCAAAAGATCTGGAGAGCCCCACAGATTACTGAAAGAAGGCAGCAGTCGAGCAACCGCCCCTGGGAGCCCAGCAAATGTCTCTGGTCTGTTTCGCTAGCTTCCTGTTTTGCACCCGCTGCGATTCCCAGAAGTGCTGGGCGGGTCATGCTGAGGGCACCCTGTTGGCTCCTCCTGTGGTTGGATCAAGACCACAAGCCCACAGCAGTTCCCAGGAACGAGGTTTCATAACCTGGCGGGTTTTGAGAGCTGCTGGATTCCACAGGTGCAGCGAGAGAAGGGTGGCTTTGCACCCTCAGAGAAGAACTCTGAATCACCCCACCCTCCACCCATAATATAACGATATATTTTAGTGATGCAAGATGGGGGGGAAATGTACGCATTTCCAAAACTGACATGCATTCACATTTTTAAAATTTGTGCCATTTGAAAAAACAACTAAAATGACACCAATCCAGTCTGACTAAAACATATTTCATTCATTTTTCTTGCCGTAGTACAGTGGACGCTTGGGTTGCGAATGTGATCCGTGCAGGATGCATGTTCGCAACCTGCAGTGGCGCATCTGCGCACGTGCGAGTTGCGATTCAGCACTTCTGCACATGTGCAAAGCGTGATTTAGCGCTTCTGCACATGCACGACCACCGAAACCCGGAAGTAACCCGTTCCGGTACTTCCGGGTTTTGGCGGTCCGCAACCCAAAAAAACGCAACCTGAAGCATCTGTAACCCGAGGTATGACTGTATTTAACTTGCATTCTTATACTTCAACTAATCTAAAACTGTATAATTAAAAAGAACACCGAGTGTTCAGTACGTAATTATTTTAAGAGAATTTAACAAAAACTCCCTTATATGTGGAATGGGGAAAAGACCAAGACTATGATCAGGTTTCCTTGCAATGTATTGATTTCAAAGGTTTCCAAAAGGTATCCAGATTTTTTTCCCCCTGGGAAGATTTCCAAAAGCTAAATTTCCAAAAATTCCACACCTCGGTTACCGTATTTTTCACTCTATAGAACGCACTTTTTCCCCTCCAAAAATGAAGGGGAAATGTGTGTGCGTCCTATGGAGCGAATGCAGGCTTTCGCTGAAGCCTGGAGAGCGAGAGGGGTCGGTGTGCACCAACCCCTCTCGCTCTCCAGCCTTCAGGAAGCTATCCGCAAGCCTTCTATCCTGAGAGATCTGCATTGACTCCCAGTACATTTCCGAGCACAATTCAAAGTTTTGGTGATGACCTTGAAAGCCCTAAACGACCTTTGTCCTGAAGGAGCGTCTCCACCCCCATCGTCCAGCCTGGACACTGAGGTCCAGCACTGAGGGCCTTCTGGCGGATCCCTCACTGCGAAAAGTGAGGATACAGGGAACCAGACAGAGGGCCTTTTTGGTGGTGGCACCCTGTGGAATGCCCTCCCACCAGATGTCAAGGAAATAAGCAGCTATCCTATTTTTAAAAGACATCTGAAGGCAGCCCTGTTATTTAATGCTGTGTTGTTTTTAACACTCAGTTGTGAGCCACCCAGAGTTGCTGCGGAAGCTCAGCCAGATGGGTGGGGTATAAATAAAAAATTATTATTATATTATATTATTATTATTATTATTATTATTATTATATCTGGGTGTGCACGCCCGAGACCCGGACACTGTCGGAGACAGGACATATGGCTGGTGTACAGAAGCAGGAGGAGCGAGGGGTCTGTCCATGACCCCGTCACCTGGATAAGCTCCAGTAAGTGGCTCAACAGGCTAGTCCTGTGCATTCGTAGATGCTCTGCTGTCAGAGGCAGCGATACCTGCAAGTATCTGTAGCTGAGAGTCCCAGGAGGGGCGGGGCAGCGCTGCTGCTGTGCTCCTGTCGGTCCTGATTTCGGACCTCGCTTGGGGGCATCTGCTTGGCCACTGGAAGAACAGGATGGTGGACTGCAGGAGCCCCTGGCCTGATCCAGAAGCTCGGCTCTTCTTATCTCTTGCGTCACCGTTTAAAGCTCAACCCTTGAATGGTTGTGGCAGCTCAGAAGAACTCGGCTGCGTGATCAAGCCAGTGGTCCGTCTAGTCCGGCATCCTGTTCTCACAGGGGCCAAACCGTGGGAAACCAGCAATCAGGATTCGAACACAAGACCAGTGCTCTCCGCTCCTGTGGTTTCCAACAACCGGCATTCAGAAGCAGACCTTTGGCCAAAGCACAGTCTGACTCCCTTTCTCCTTCTGTAATCCTCATAGAACTCTAGCTCAGCGGTTCCCATTAATTTGTTTCTGAATCGGTTTTAGAATGAATTGATTATTGAACAGATTATGCTAGTAGGATTGCAAGAAGTTTTGTAAGGTGAATTATTTGAAATACTGCAAGAAAGATAATGAGGAGAATGATTAGTTAAGGATAATTAAAGGTAATATAGAAATTAAGAAATGCATAATAAGGGATAGAGAACGGAAAGTCATCAGAGGCGTTGATGGAAGCCTAAAAATATTGTATAAGATGAGAAGTTATGTTGCATGACTGTTGGAACTGATATGTTAAAAATTAATAAAAATTAATATTACAAAAAAAAGAATGAATTGATTTTAGAATGTATTTCAATTAATCGATTGTGATTTTATGTAAACTGCGTTACCTTTACTGCTGTTAGCCGCTTGGAGCCCGGCTTTGGCTGGGGAGGGCGGGATATAAATAAATAATTATTATTATTATTATTATTATTATTATTATGGCTGCCTCCGACTGCAGGCACAGAGTTGAACCATCCCAGCTGCCTCTGCGCATCCTTCTGAATGTGCACCTAGGAAGAGCCTGGATCCTGGCTAAAGACCTGTCTAGAAAGACTCACAGAAGGGCAGAGTCGGAAGGGGTCCCGGGGTCATCTAGTCCATCCCGCTGCGATGGAGGAATCTAGTCTGGCATTCTGTTCACACAGTGGCTCACCAGATGCCCCCAACTGAAGCCTGCAAGTAGGGTGGAGGTCTGTGGGGGTCTCTGCCACCTGGAACTTCCTGAATCCCTATGGATTCAGCCAGGCGGAGGAGCCTTTGAAGGGAAGATTGGTTTCACAGCCTTGAAGATTCGCCAAACGCTCGCTCACTCTTTTTACTGAATAAAACTGGAACTGACAAACTGGAACGTGTCCAGAGGAGGGCAACCAAAATGGTCAAAGGCCTGGAAACGATGCCTTATGAGGAACGGCTAAGGGAGCTGGGCATGTTTAGCCTGGAGAAGAGGAGGTTAAGGGGTGATATGATAGCCATGTTCAAATATATAAAAGGATGTCACATAGAGGAGGGAGAAAGGTTGTTTTCTGCTGCTCCAGAGAAGCGGACACGGAGCAATGGATCCAAACTACAAGAAAGAAGATTCCACCTCAACATTAGGAAGAACTTCCTGACAGTAAGAGCTGTTTGACAGTGGAATTTGCTGCCAAGGAGTGTGGTGGAGTCTCCTTCTTTGGAGGTCTTTAAGCAGAGGCTTGACAACCATATGTCAGGAGTGCTCTGATGGTGTTTCCTGCTTGGCAGGGGGTTGGACTCGATGGCCCTTGTGGTCTCTTCCAACTCTATGATTCTAGGATTCTATGATTCTATGCAATGGGGGTGTGGTGCGCTGTTTTCCTCGCTGCGCCAAACGAAAGGCGTTCTGCTCCCCTTTGTGGAAAGGGGCCCAGCTGAGCTGCTGAAAGGAAAGGCAGGATGACACGTCCCATTTTCAAAGAGCCCTTGCGGAGTCCAAGTTACCAAACTTCAGAAGAGGAAACAGAGCCGCTCTCAAAAGAGCAACAGGCTGCCTGGTTAACCCTTCAGTCCCAGGCTTCCGGCGAAGGCATGCAAGCACCCCAGCGAGGCAGGGGACCCCCGCTCCACCCCCACCCCCGACTCCCAGGGCAGAAAAATGATGCAGACTTCGTTCAATTCCAGCTGCCCACCCTCAACTCTCTGCAATGCCCAAGAGAATCGGTTGCCTTGGCAGCACCACTGCACCCCATTTGGTCACAGAAGCCAGAGCGAAATGTCTTGGCTCAGGCCGACCAAGAAAAAGATGGACAGTGAAGGATTCAGGGGCCAGGGAGACACACCAACCCAGACTATTGGATCTGGTGGCCATTTAAAGCACCTGAAGCTGGGAAAGGGGGGCGGGTGCCAGCCTAGGAAAGGAGGGCCTTCTCTGTGGTAGCCCCTAAGTTGTGGCACTCGCTTCACCTGGCATCCTCATCACTCAGGTTTTGGCGAAGGTGGAAAACTCGCCCCTTGGCCCCAGCTGTTGACATCTGAGATGTGTATTTTAAAGACTGGCCTTAGCTCTGTCATTTTGTTTTAAGCTGTTTTTAAAAATATTGCCCAATATTTTTTATTAGTTTTCCAAATTTCTATCAAATCAATACGAAATCACATCAAATTTAATACAATTTTTCCATTAAGTTGACTTCCCACTTGTGAATGGGTCCCTTCTTTTCTCTAATTATAAAAAAATAATAATAAATAATGTAACATAAAGCAGCAAATGTTGTAATAATATTGTATTGTATCTTACAATAATATTGTATCTTAATATTAGGATCGTTGCACTCCTTAGGTGAAGGGCAGGTACTAAATTGCAACAACAACCATAATTTGATTGGATTCTGTGCTCACGAGTCGCAGAACATTTTTGGCAAGATCTGCTACAACCATCTCTTGCCTTGGTTGAAGTTTCGGCCTCAATTTGGGAGAGAAAAACAAGCAGCAATCTGTTTTCACCACCTACCCAGGATATTTGCACCTGACCAAGTAAGTGATCAGCTCCTTCTCACAACCACTGGTGCAGTTTCTGGTGCCACACCTACAAGGCAGATCTCCTTCCTATTTGCACTTGAGTAAGCTCTCAATTAAAGCTCTGGTTTTCCCAGTAGTGATGTATGGAAGTGAGAAATGGACCATAAAGAAGGCTGATCGCCGAAGAATGGATGCTTTTGAATTATGGTGCTGGAGGAGACTCTTGAGAGTCCCATGGACAGCAAGAAGATCCAACCTATCCATTCTTAAGGAAATCAGCCCTGAGTGCTCACTGGAAGGACAGATCCTGAAGCTGAGGCTCCAGTACTTTGGCCACCTCATGAGAAGAGAAGACTCCCTGGAAAAGACCCTGATGTTGGGAAAGATGGAGGGCACAAGGAGAAGGGGAGGACAGAGGACGAGATGGTGGGACAGTGTTCCCGAAGTTACCAGCATGAGTTTGACCAAACTGCGGGAGGCAGTGGAAGACAGGAGTGCCTGGCGTGCTCTGGTCCAGGGGTCACGAAGAGTCAGACACAACTAAACAACAACAACAATGCTCTCAATGGTTTGGGCCAGGGCTATTTGTCAGAAAGTTCTTCCTGATATTTAGTCAGGATCCTTTCTTGTAACTTGAATCCATTGCTTCGTGCCCTACCCTCCAGAGCAGGAGAAAACAAACTTGCTCTACCATCTTCCGGGTGATATCTAAAGATGGCTCTCATATCTCCTCTCAGTCTCCTCTTTTCCAGGCTAAACATACCCAGCTCCTTCAACCGTTCCTCATCAGGCTTGGTTTCCAGATCATTCTTGGTCGCCCTCCTCTGCACATATTCCAGCTTGTCAACATCCTCCTTAAATTGTGGCGCCCAGGACTGGACCCAAGACTCCAGATGTTGTTTGACCAAGGCAAACAGAATGGGACTATGATTTCCCTTGATCTGGATTCTAGACTTCTGTTGATGCAGCCTAGAATAGCATTACCTTGTTGTTGTTTTTTGCTGATGTTGCATCAAACTGTTTCTTCCCATCTCTTTCTGTTGTTTTGCTTGCTGGCTGCTTTGGATAGATGTTTGCCCAGGAAACCAACTTAGCAACATTTTAATTAAAAATAAATAAATAAAGGGAGACAAGTTGGCATTCTTGAGAGAGGCAGGGCTCCCTTCACAGTACGCCGGAGTCAGACCAGATGCAACAACTTCCATGTCGGGCATCTGTCGTGCCACCCCCTCTCGCATAACACAGGTGGGATAGCAGAAAGGTGCAGTAGCAGGAAGTTGGATGAAACTGAGGGAGCGACGCCCTGTCTCTCCTCTGACACAGTTCTGCGTGATTCTCCTAACAGATCCTCAATTACAGGCTGGGTGTGCCACATGAGGAGCTTTTACGGTTCAGATCAGAGCCGGGCATAACGAAAGGTGGAGCTGGGCTTAAACAGGTAGTGTGGACAGGTGAGAAAATCAGCGGGAAGGAAAAGAACCACAGGGCTGTAGAGCTTACAAGGGACACCCACGGTTCATCTATTCCAGCCCCTGCAACGTAGAAATCACAGCTTAAAAAATCCCTGACAGATGGCTACCCAACCTCTGCTTTAAAAGCTCCAGTGAAGAAGAGACCATCTTAACAGCCAGAAATTTCTCCCTAATGTTTAGCTGGAATCTCCTTCTTTGGAAAGGGGGAGACTCTGGAGACGATGTCTGGACCGTCCAGCGACTTGGGTTCCCTGCCCCAAGCTGGAAGAATCTTGACTTAAGAGAGAAATTGGGCGCTGCTGGGGCTCATCTCCATTCTGGGCTCTGAGGTAGGAGGTCTCTGCCCCGAAGACCATCCAATCTTGGCTTAGGAGGGAGCAAAATCTGGGCAAAAAATAGGCTTTGGGGTTCCTTTAAGGCCGTCAGGTGGAGAGATTTTGGGAGCAGTAGCCATAAGCGACCCCACCATCCAAAAAAAAAAAAAAATCCTTCTCACCAGCTGCGCCAGGGAGCGTTTTGCGCGCAGTTGCACACTAGGAGAGATCAGGCACTCTGCACATGCCCAGACGCTCTCGGAAAGCGGCAACCGCCCCCCCATAGCAGCACCAACGAGTCCCGGGGCACCTCCACCCACCCCTCCCGGCCCGCTTCAACCACTAGGTGAGGCTCCCCCTTCACTCACCGGGGCGGCTGCCGGCTGAGCCGGGGTCTGCATGGCGGCGGCGGCGCTTCGGCCCGACGAGGGCCCCTGGGCGCAGCAGACCCGGCGCGGCTGCCGGCCGGAGAAAGAGGAAGCCGGGCGGGGGGCGGGGCCGGGGCGGGGCCAGCCGGGCTCACCTGCCCGCCCTCGGCTCACCTGGGCCGGCGGAGGCTCCTCCCACAGGCTGGGAAGCTTCTCCCAAGCGGCCCCCGTGCGGTCCCTGGGCGGCCTCCGTCGGAGTCAGCGCTCGGGGGCCGCTTTCTTGGGAAGGAGAATGAAGGCTACGCGGAGGAGAGGCAGCGTGGTGTAGTGGTTAGAGTGTGGGGGTTAGAGTCCCGGAGAGATCAGGGTTCAAATCGGACACCCCGAGGTTCTCCGGGTGCGCGCTTGGGTTGGGGGCTGCCTCTCTGCCATAGCTGTCAACTTATCGATTTGAAAATAAGGGACCAGCAGTCTCGAAAATAAGGGATCAGCAGCCAAAATAAGGGATTTTGGCTTAGCTTATACAGAAATCCGCCACTGATGGAGCCATGCTGCTTTTGCTGCGACTGACTGTGTTTTGCAGGGGGTTGGACTAGATGATCCTAAGGGTTTACAACTCCGACCAAAGAAGGTAAAGGTAAAGGTAAAGGGGACCCTGACCATTAGGTCCAGTCGTGACCGACTCTGGGGTTCCGGCGCTCATCTCGCTTTATTGGCCGAGGGAGCCAGCGTTTGTCCGCAGACAGCTTCCGGGTCATGTGGCCAGCATGACTAAGCCGCTTCTGGCGAACCAGAGCAGCGCACGGAAACGCCGTTTACCTTCCCGCTGGAGCGGTACCTATTTATCCACTTGCACTTTGTGCTTTCAAACTGCTAGGTTGGCAGGAGCAGGGACCAAACAACGGGAGCTCACCCCATCGTCGAGCTCACCCCATCGTCGGCGAGTCCTAGGCTCTGTGGTTTAACCCACAGCGCCACCCATGTCCCTGACCAAAGAAGAGTGGCAGACAAAACTGATGAAGGACGTCGAGATGGCAAAGCTTACAGGCAGAATTAGAAACCAGGAAGAGGACCTCTTTAATAAAGAATGGGGAAAGTTTATAATTTAGTTGAAAAGCTATTGTAAAGAGTTGCATACATTGGTAAGATTGACAGAAAACTTGTAGTAAAAATTTGAACTATGGATGGACAAATGATTTATAAAAATAGTGTTATGAAAGGGATGCAGAGGGGGAAATCACTACATTAAGATGCTGCACAGGTTGGAGGGTATGCTAAGCAGCATGTCGGGGCTGCCATCGTCCTGGCGCGAGGAGTTCCATCGGCCCTTCCCCGCCCGAGAGAGAGGGTGAGAGGGAGAGAGACTCTCGCCCACGCTGCCCGCGAGCCCGGCATGAGGTGGTTGCGGCGCTGCCGCGGTGGCCACTGAAGCGCCGCCCTTCTGCGTCCCTCCCCATCCCCTCCTCTTCCTCCTCCCTCAGGCCACCTCCTCAGCCGCCTCTGGCTTCCCCTGGCAGCACGGTGGAAGTCTCGCAAGAGAGGGGCTGCCTGCTCGCCCGCCGCCACCCATCTCCTCACGACGCGCCCCTGAGGGGGAAAAGGGAGAGATGGAGACGCGGCAGCTCGTGCGCACGCTCTCTCTCGCGGCGGAGGACCCCGAGCCGCTGCTTCCCTCCCGAGCCGGGCGAGCATGAAACCCAGGAAATTTATGGGACATCATCAATAAGGCACAGCAGTGGGACACGGCGCCGGGATAAGGGAGTTTTCCGCCAAATAAGGGACGGTTGACAGCTATGCTCTTTGCGCCTGGCCTACCTCGCAGGGTCGTGGTGGGCATTTCGTGTAAGCCCCCACTTTGAACTCCTGGGAGGAAAACGGTGGGCGAGAAATGCAAGCGATCCATTTGGATTCATAAGCACCCGCTGCTCCCAAAAAATGTATGCAGGTGACTAAGGAGATGCGCATGGATCTGACGTGCGCACAAGCGAAAATGGGGATTTGGGGAGAATGGAAGCGAGGAGCCCTCTGCCTTTTCCGAGCTGAAATGGGGTGGGGGTCTTCTCTGTTTTGTGTGGAAAGGCTTCCTGCCTGTGCCCGTGCCCTTCTCTGGGAGGCTGCCTGCCTGGGATGGAGGGAGGGAGCCTGCTGCGTCTTTGGAACGCCCTCCCACCAGATGTCAAAGAGAAGAACAACTACCAGACTTTTAGAAGACATCTGAAGGCAGCCCTGTTTAAAAAGGTAAAGGGACCCCTGACCATTAGGTCCAGTCGTGGCCGACTCTGGGGTTGCGGCACTCATCTCGCTTTATTGGCCGAGGGAGCCGGCGTACAGCTTCCGGGTCATGTGGCCAGCATGACTAAGCCGCTTCTGGCGAACCAGAGCAGCGCACGGAAACGCCGTTTACCTTCCCGCCAGAGCGGTACCTATTTATCTACTTGCACTTTGACGTGCTTTGGAACTGCTAGGTTGGCAGGAGCAGGGACCGAGCAATGGGAGCTCACCCCGTCGCAGGGATTTGAACCGCCGGACCTTCTGATCGGCAAGTCCTAGGCTCTGTGTTTAAATAGGTTATTGTATTTTAGTGTTCTGTTGGAAGCTGCCCAGAGTGGCTGGGGAGACCCAGCCAGATGGGCAGAGTATAAATAATAAATTATTATTATTATTATTTCCCCAAGGAGCTTCTCACCTGGGCGCAGTCCCTCCGCCTGGCGTTCCCATCTCCACCCGCCTGGTGACTCAGGGCCCCACCTGCCAGTTAGACGGGGACCCGCCTGGAGCCAGTCAAAAAGGCTCACCCCTGCCTAGCCCAACCCCCTGCTGGTTTATTAAAGTTTATAAAATTATGCTCAGCCTGCAGAACGTGGATAGAGAAAAGATTTCTTCCCTCTCTTAACCTAACGCTAGAACTTGTGGGCCCCCAATGAAGAGGAGCACAGGAAGATTTGGGAAAGGGAAAAAAAATAAATCCTCCTTCATTCAGCTCAGAGTTAGACTATGGAACTCACTCCCACAAGATACAGGGGCGGTCGAAAACATTGTTGTTGTTTAGTCATTTAGTCGTGTCTGACTCTTCGTGACCCCCTGGACCAGAGCATGCCAGGCACTCCTGTCTTCCACTGCCTCCCGCAGTTTGGTCAAACTCATGCTGGTAGCTTTGAGAACACCATCCCACCATCTCGTCCTCTGTCACCCCCTTCTCCTTGTGCCTTCCATCTTTTCCAAAACATAAGGGTCTTTTCCAGGGAGTCTTCTCTTCTCCTGAGGTGGCCAAAGTATTGGAGCCTCAGCGTCAGGATCTGTCCTTCCAGTGAGCATTCAGGGCTGATTTCCTTCAGAATGGAGAGGTTGGATCTTCTTGCAGTCCATGGGACTCTCAAGAGTCTCCTCCAGCACACGAATTCAAAAGAATAAATTATTCGGCAAAAACATAGATTAGGCAAGTTCATGGAGTAGGAAAGGACTATGGATGGAGTAGCCCTCAAGAGCCCCTTCCTCCTCCCTGAATTTGCCCAATCCCCTTTCAAAGCCATCCAAGTGGCAGGGAGTTCCACAGTTTAACTCTGCGCTGCATGTCCTGAATCTTCCAGCAGTCAGCTTCCTTCACCTTGCCATCTCCCTTTGAAGTGCAGCTCGCAGATATTCTGATTGATTAATTAATTAACCCAGAGCGCAAGTGCTTTGCCTAAAATGCCACGAGACAATGCTCTGTGTTCGGAGTTTGGTCTTCGGCTGGTAGGATCTGAGATATGGGATGTGAAAGTGGCGCGATTGTGAAACAGCATCCTCTGCCGATGAAAGCCGGCCATGGCAGCCGCGGAACGGATTCTGGCAGCAGCAGGAGATGCAGTTCAAAGGGCCTCTTTCATGTCTCTATATCAGTGCACAAGCGCATGGAATGCAGGAAAACAAGCTTTCTATGGACTTGTTTATTAAGTTTGCATCCCGCCCAAAGTGAGCCCGGGGCGGCAACAACTGCTTGCTTTAAAAAAAGAAAAGAAAAAGGAATCCAGCGTTTTCTCATCGGTCCGGTTGTGATAACGTCCTTTCCCATCCACACCCCAAAGCGCACTGACGCTGTACCTTTTTTTAGCAGTCATGGCTTGAGGAAGAAGAGCTTGCCTGGATCAGGCCCAAGGGGGCCTATCTGGTCCAGCCTCTTGCTCTCGCAGGAGCCAACCAGGTGCCTCTTGGGCCAAACCCGCACTCAGGATCCGAGCACAAGAGCATTCAACTTGATGGGAGGTCCAAATTTCCTCTGCCCGCTTTATCAAAGCCATCCATCCTTTCATAAACCTCTACCATGCCTCTTCATACTTGCTTTTTCTCTAAACTAAAAAGTCCCATCCCTGGATCATTTTGGTTTGCCTTTTCCGAACCTTTCCCAACCCTACAATATCCATTTTGAGTTGAGGCGACCAGAACCCACGGCCCAACGAGCCCAGCGTACTGTTCTCACAGTGGCCGACCAGACGCCCATGACGGGGAGATTGCAAGCAGGATCCGGCCTCAACAGCACTTCTCCCCCTCTGATGGCGGAGGCAAAGCGTAGCCATCTTGGGAACAGTAGTTTGAAAAGGCTACTGAGAACCGTTGAGCTGTCAAGGGAAAACTACAGTTCCCAGGCTTCTTTGGGGATGTGTACAGTGGTACCTCGGGTGAAGTACTTAATTCGTTCCGGAGGTCTGTTCTTAACCTGAAACTGTTCTGAACCTGAAGCACCACTTTAGCTAATGGGGCCTCCCGCTGCCGCTGTGCCGCCACTGCACGATTTCTGTTCTCATCCTGAAGCAAAGTTCTTAACTTGAGGTATTATTTCTGGGTTAGCGGAGTCTGTAACCTGAAGCGTATGTAACCTGAAGCGTATGTAACCTGAGGTACCACTGTATGGGCTTTTAAAGTAATAATAATAATAATAATAATAATAATAATAATAATAATAATATTTTATTTATACCCCGCCCATCTGGCTGGGTTTTCCCAGCCACTCTGGGCGGCTTCCAACAAAACACTAGAATACAATAACCTATTAAACATTAAAAGCTTCCCTAAACAGGGCTGCCTTCAGATGTCTTCTAAAAGTTTGGTAGTTATTTTTCTCTTTGACATCTGGTGGGAGGGCGTTCCACAGGGCGGGTACCACCACCGAGAAGGCCCTCTGCCTGGTTCCCTGCAACCTCACTTCTCGCAGTGAGGGAACCGCCAGAAGGCCCTCGGCGCTGGATCTCAGTGTCCGGGCAGAACGATGGGGGTGGAGATGCTTCTTCAGGTATACAGGACCGAGGCCGTTTAGGGCATTAAAGGTCAGCACAAACACTTTGAATTGTGCTCGGAAACGTACTAGGAGCCAATGCAGATCTCTCAGGACCGGTGTTATGTGGTCCCAGTGGCCGCTCCCAGACACCAGTCTAGCTGCCGCATTCTGGATTAGTTGTAGTTTCCGGGTCACCTTCAAAGGTAGCCCCACGTAGAGCGCATTGCAGTAGTCCAAGCGGGAGATAACCAGAGCATGCACCACTCTGGCAAGACAGTCCGTGGGCAGGTAGGGTCTCAGCCTACGTACCAGACGGAGCTGGTAAACAGCTGCCCTGGACACAGATTTGACCTGTGCCTCCATGGACAGCTGCGAGTCCAAAATGACTCCTAGGCTGCGCACCTGGTCCTTCAGGGGCACAGTTACCCCATTCAGGACCAGGGAATCCTCCATACCTGCCCGCCTCCTGTCCCCCAAGAACAGTACTTCTGTCTTGTCAGGATTCAACCTCAATCTGTTAGCCGCCATCCATCCTCCAATCACCTCCAGACACTCACACAGGACCTTCACCGCCTTCACTGGTTCTGATTTGAAAGAGAGGTAGAGCTGGGTATCATCCGCATACTGATGAACACCCAGCCCAAACCTCCTGATGATCTCTCCCAGTGGCTGCATGTAGATGTTGAAAAGCATGGGGGAGAGGACAGAACCCTGAGGCACCCCACAAGTGAGAGCCCAGGGGTCTGAACACCCATCCCCCACCACCACTTTCTGGACACGGCCCAGGAGGAAGGAGCGGAACTACTGAATAACAGTGCCGCCAGCTCCCAGCCCCTCTAGATGGTCCAGAAGGATGTAATGGTCTGTTATGTACTGAAGTTCTCACCCTGGGCAAGCAGAGGGATACTGTAGATAGCTATGCAAATAAGAGACTGAAAGTGACGTTCAGTGATTGGATAGTTATAGAAAGTGTTACAGTTGCGTTGTGGTGGAGCTCTATATAAGCAGGCTGGCTGAACCCTTCAGTTCAGTTCTGTTCTGGCCTGTGAATAAACAAGAGCTGTTTGAAGAATCGCTGTGTCGTCTGATATGTTCACCCACAACTTAACATGGTCGATGGTATCAAACGCCTCTGAGAGATCCAGCAGAACTAGGAAACAGCTCTCACCTTTGTCCCTAGCCCACCGGAGATCCTCGACCACTGCGACCAAGGCAGTTTCAGTCCCATGATGAGGCCTGAATCCCGATTGGAAGGGATCCAAATGGTCTGCATCCACTCGCTCAATCAAGTATGGTGCGGCCGTCCCACTTTGCCTCAGCTTCTTTCTCTGCCCCGTTGCAGACAGGGCCACCCACCTCAGAGATGGCCTTGCCCCACATGTGCCCACCCAGCCACTTTGAACGGGCGCTGCTTCAAGTGTCAGAAAATGCCCCTCCATCCTGCGTTCGTAAGCACCTGCTCGCTTAGTGTGGCAGCAGCACCTGCGACTTTGGAACTCCTTGCCTATGGATCTCAATCACAGGGGCCAACACCCTGGGGCCCTGAGCACCCACAAAATTCCCCATGCAGGGGCTGGGCACCCACAGTGGGGGGCCAAGTTGGCACCTCCGTTTTTGTTTAAATTGCTGTTATTTTTTACCTATGTCATTTTAAACTGTGATATGAATGCTGTATTCTTAGTTTTAGATTTATGTGGAAATTGTTTCCCACTCGGTGGTGTATTTTTTGATGTGGTTTATTTATTGTTTATGACTTCTGTAATTTAGTAAATCTTGTTATGCTGTAAGCCGCTTTGAGCATTGCTTTTTTAACTGTGGAAAGGCGGCATACAAATAAAAAATGATGATGATGATGATGATCTCGAACAGGCCCCTTTTCGGCACCCGCTAAAAACATTCTTGCTTAGACACAAATGTGGTTGGGACTTTTAACCCATTTTAGCATTGTAATGTTTTGCATGTTTCATGCCACTGCCATAAATTTTCCCCACGGCTGATTCCATCGGTTTATCGTTTCTTAAACTGTTTTGAGAGTTGGCTTTTTAAATATTCTTTTTCCTTTTACGATATATAAATGGACGATGTTTTATGGAAGAAGTGGGAAAAATGAGCCTCGTTGCAGGCAGGGAGCGGCTTCCCAGTCCTTCCTGGAGATGCCAAGCAGGCGTTCTCTCCCCTGGGAGTGAATCTCAAGGTCCTAGTCCTCATGGTGGAGAACTGTATTAATAATATTCCACTTTTATACTGTCATACATTAAAAAAAAGAATCACACTGCAAGAACCACAGCCCCACTTCACAGAACTTAAAAATTCGTGAAATGAAATACATTAATTTTATTCAAATAAAAATTGGTAAACCACTTTGAGATTTTTTTTAATGTCTTTATTTACAATCCAGTCGTGTATAATAATTTCTAATGAGAAGTAAAAAAACAAAGCCCTCAGAGGGCGCTTTTCCCGTGAGGCTTCTTCGCGCTCTTGGGCTCCCCTCAGAGAGAGGCGGGAAAAGGCCGCCGCCGCCGCCATCTTTGTCCCGGGCACGGAGAGCTGGGCCTCCCATCGCCTCTGCTTTCCCCGGTCCAGCCGCTGCGAAGTGGGGAAACCTGTGCCAGCTCCCAAGATGGCTCCGTCGACGTCCCGGCGTGGGCGTGGCTACGGCGGCGCGGCGGGGCCAGCGTCGCTTGGCGGGAAGGAGCCGTTTTGCCGGCGCCGCCGACGCCGCCCCCCCAACGGCCTCATCCCGCGCGCGGTTCCCGAGGACGGAAGGTCGGTCGCCTGAGGAGAAAGAAGGGAAGGGAGAGGAGGAGAAGGAGGCCGCCGCCGCCGCCATGCACGTGGTCAAGAGAGGTGAGGAGGAGCCCCCCTTCCAGGGCGAGTCTGTTTGTGAGAGGGGGGAGGAAGGACTTTTTGTGCCCCCTTTACCCCCCAAAAAACCCCCTTCATGGAGAAGTGGGGGACGGACGGAAGGGCCAGGAACTGTGAGCCCCCAAAACCCTCGGCCGACCCAAGGCCAATATTCCCGCCATAAAAGAGAGAAAGAGATGGAGCGGGGGGGGGGGCTCATTTCTGTCTCTCTCTCTCGGGTCTTCGCGTAAAGGGAGGGGTAAAATGACAGAACTAAGAAGAGATCACTCAGGCGACAAGGTGAAAAAAAGAACGGGATTGCTTTAAAAAACTACCTGGCAAAATACGGTTCCAAAAACAATACTTTGGCTGTGCTTAATCACACAGGTATAATGGGGGGGAAAACCCTGATTTTAATAAATGAATACAGAACAATTTTGTATACTTGACTAATTCTTTTTCATTTATTATTTCCCCCCGTTTTTCTTTTTCTGTATTTTTCTTATTATTTTTTCTTATTTGGGTGTAATGCTTAGTTCATGCTTTCTCTGAAGTTTTTAAAAATGCAATAAAGCTAATACAAAATAAGTAAAGGGTGGGGTATAAACAGGAAAAGAAACATTATTATTACCATTTGCCGTGTTACCGTAATTTGCTGCTGCTCCTCTTTGGCCGCCTTGTGTGTAGTGTGGGAGGAGGCCAGGATTGTCAGTTTAACAACAACAACAACTAATAGTAACAAGAACAACAACAACTAATAGTAACAGCAAGCGGGTCTGGGGTGGCGTGGAGGCTGCCTGGTCGGCTCCCTTGCTGCATTCACTTTAACTGCCAGCCGCCTTGAGTCCCTGTCAGGGGCAAGGGCAGGTGTAAATGAACTGGTAGTAGTAATAATAATAAAAATACAGTGGTACCTCTGGTTGCGAATGGGATCTGTTCCGGAGCCCCGTTTGCAACCTGAAAGGAACACAACCCACATCTGCGCGTGCGTGGGTCGCAATTCTCAGCTTCTGCGCATGCGCGTGACGTCATTTTGCACGTCTGCACATGCACGAATGGCAAAACCCAGAAGTAACAATTTCTGGTACTTCCGGGTTGCCACGGGACGCAACCTGAAGAAACGTATCATGAAGCAAACGTAACAAGAGGTATGACTGTAATAAAACTCCAGCTTGCCCTTCCCCCCTCCCATGGTACTTAAGGCGGTGTGCAAGACGGTTCTCCCGCCCACCCCTTTAATCCCCACACCAACCCTCCCAGGTAGGCTAGGCGGAGAGGCAGTGGCTGAGGAGGGATTCGAACCCTGGTCTCTCCCAGTCCCTCGTCCACTGCACCACACCAGAGACACGGGGGGGGGGGGGGTTTGCTGATGCCAGGAGTGAGGCAGCACCTGGTTCCTGCCAGACCGCCCCTCCTCCTCCAGGGTCAGCCCAGGGCACCCCGAGGTGCCACCCTGCAGGCTCCGGAGAGGAGCATCTCCAGAGGCACCCTGGGGTAGTGTCCTCTGGCCCAGGTTGGGTGCAGCTACATCTCCCCTTGCCCCCCCCTCACGTTATCACCCCCCCCAAATTGCTTTGTGGGATGCAAGGGCCCTTGTGGTGACAGGCTCACACTGATCTCCCTTGGGTCACTGAGCTGGTGAAGTGTCTGATTCAATGTGTTTGGATGTCCCCATTTATTGCATTTGCAGCCCACTTTTTTCTACTTGGTGGAGGGGCTAGCTAGTTTTTCTGGGAGGGATATGGCAGCAGTGCTAGAGGCTGTGAGGCCAAACCCTTGACTGGACCCTTACCCAGTACAGCGTTTGCTCAGCAAGTGATGCTAAATGTTCCCGTCTCTTTTCCGCAGATGGGCGCCATGAGCGCGTCATGTTTGACAAGATCACGTCCCGGATCCAGAAACTGTGTTACGGTCTCAACTTGGACTTCGTCGACCCTGTGAGTGTCTTCGGTGCTATCATGAGTCTGTCATGGTCTAAGATAAAACAAGGACAGTAAAACTTATTGAGTACATTGTAGTGGAATGGTGGAACGTAAATTCCCATGAATAAATGAATGAAGCTCCTTGTATGCTGAGGAAAGTTCTGTTCATGATAGTGACAAAGCAGTGTTTGCTGCTGTGGTCCACAAAATATACATTTGAAGTTCCAGTCTGTGCACAGTTGCCTCAGTCTGATTTGGAAACCAGTCTGCTTTTTGGGTGTATGCCATTTTTAAAATAAATAAATCTGTAAACTGCCTTCCAGGGAAAATGGCCACTTAAGGTGACAAATTTTTATGTAAAATTCTGAGCAATTGAGTACCTCCAAAGTATTACGTTCAGCATGATTATATTTACTGGTGGTACCTTGCAAGTTTTAAGCCTTGCTCCTCACTAAGCAGTCACTGAGGAACTGCTGTTTCTCAACTTCCCAGCCTTCTGAGCACTCCTCTCCCCCTCTCATCCCTCCCATTACCCACCTGTTGTTTTAAGATTCATACATTTACTCTTATCTTATCTCCATATTACTTTAACCACCTTGAGAGTGAAAGGGACCAAGTGGACAGCTTTGCTACAAAATTCATATAGTTCTCTGGCAAAGAAAGTCATTGAAAACTGACTGCTCCTCCCCCCTTCTGTTATAGCAAACTAACTTTGTGAGTATTCACTCTTTTTTTTTTTTGTCCAGGCTCAGATCACCATGAAAGTGATCCAGGGCCTTTACAGTGGAGTCACTACTGTAGAACTGGATACTCTGGCCGCTGAAACAGCAGCAACCTTGACAACCAAGTACCCTGACTATGCTATCCTCGCAGCAAGAATTGCTGTCTCCAACCTGCACAAGGAAACCAAGAAAGTATTCAGCGGTGAGTGTGTGGGTGCTGGCCACAACACAGGAAAACCATTTCTGCAACGTTCGTGGAACTGGCATGTTGGAGGGATTTTAATGGCAAAACTATTGGGTGGAGAGGTTTGATGTAGTTAATCCCAGTAATAATATGTACCCAGGAGGTATCGTATTGCATTGAAATTCTCACTGATCAAATGGTTGTGATGAATTGCGGAGTTAAAATGTTGTGCAATAAGCATGAGCTGATTTCTTCAGCTGATTTGCTCAGTGGTGGGGGGGCATTCAGCTTCGCCTGTTCTCCCCCCCCCCCCCCCGTCTCCAAAGGCAAGTAATAATACTGGCAAACCTTACGGTTGTAATTATTAAAATACAGTAACCCCCCTTTTTTAGATGTGATGGAAGATTTGTACAACTATGTGAACCCGCGCAATGGCAAACATTCCCCAATGATTGCTAAGGAAACTCTAGACATCGTATTGGCCAACAAAGATGTAAGTAGCACTTTGGCAGAGCTAACAGGAAAGAATTAAAAGCAGTCTGAGTTAAAAGCAGAATGGCTATTCTGGCGCTAGGCGGTGGGAAGCAGTTTTCACCTGAATATCCACTTGGTGTTTGGGAAACTGCGTAATATTCTGTGACAGAGAATGATGAGATGATCCACATGCATTTGTGGAGAGGCAGATGAGTTGCCAGACAGAGGAATGTGCATGGACTAAAAGTTAACTTGCCAGCATTTTCTGTGCACTTGTGATGGCTGCCCTCGTGGTATTATGCATGGTCCACAAATGCCTCATGGATGTTGGTGGAAGGTGGCCTTGCCATCTCTTTTAAACATAGGTTTTCCAAAGCCCTGTGTCCAGATCTGGTCCTTTGAAATAAGCCCTTGACAAATACAGCGATTTTTCATACAGTGTGGCATTGTTGGTTTTTTGGGTACATGTAGAATATTCCAAATGCAGTTATATTGATCAACAGAGCCAGGGGACATTCTGCGGAAAGGAAGTGGTGCTGGTTTGAAATTAAGAATTGTTTGCTTCTTAGCTTCCCATTTGGAAACAATTTGAGTCATCACATAGTTGAAAAATGGAACAATTCACATCCAGAGGGCTTAAAAAAAAACTTTTTGTATCACACACCACGTAGGTTTTTGTGTTACATGAACTGGGGTATACATAGTCTAAATGTGTTAATCTATCATTTTTTTCTTCTCTCAGAGACTGAACTCTTCTATAATTTATGATCGGGATTTCTCCTATAATTACTTCGGCTTTAAGGTAAAGAGTTGTTCTTTCTTTGAGGGTGTCAGTTACTGATAAGGCTTGGAATGGCAAGTTCTGTTCTATGTAGGAGCCCCAGACAGTAAATAAGCACCCTCATCCCAGCTGTTGTTCATATGAATGGCTTGGGGAAGGCATGTCGAGGCAAGATGCCTTCTCTTGATGCCTTCCTTTGCAGTATGCCACACACACCTCCCTCTAGTGGAATTTTGATAAGGCAACTTCTAAGTAAGGCAGCAGTTTTCAAACTTCCCAATACCAGGGAGTTGTGACTGCTGATAACCTGCTGAGAAGGTTCCCCCCATGGCTTCCCTCAACACCGTCAACTGCAAAGCATCCTAGGTGTGTTTTAGGGGCCCCTTCCCCTGCTTGCATGGCTGTGCACATGGTGGGGCTGCTCTGCCACATCAGCTGTGTATTGCAGGGACTTCCTCAGGGAAGCTGGTCTGCCATTATGGACCTGATGAGGAGCTTTGGGGTTTTCTGAAATAGTGATTGAAAGCCACAGCCTTTTAGGTGCAATAAGAGGTTGGTGGTGGTGGAAAAAATTGATTTTTTGGTAGTAAATCTTCTACTTTATTTTTTATAATGAGCTCTGACCTACGTCCTTTTCCTTTCCTCTCTTTTTAAGACACTTGAGCGTTCGTATCTGCTAAAAATCAATTCCAAAGGTAAGTGGTACAGGAGAATTGTCTCAGTCCTGTGTACAAATGCATATAGCTTATTCTTAATTTTTTGTAAACTGTCTTGAAGTCATTGATAAAATGTGACATATAAATGTTTTAAATAAAGCCATAGCTTTCTAGAAGTGATGGCTTAAGGGGTTTTTTTGGCACTTCAATACTCCTTGGAGCTTAAATCATGAAGGATTAGCACTTCTGTAGGCAGGGTGATTCTAGGTATTGGGCTTCCTACTGAGAGCTGGCCCCTTGTCAGAGGTAGTTTTACTTCTGAATACCAGCCATTGATAACTGCAAGAGGGGAGAGTACTGCCATTACGTTCTTGTGTTCTCAAAACCATCCAAGTAGCAGCTTCATTGGGCTTTATGTTACAAATGTTCCTTACATGCTGCTGCTGCTGCCTAGCATAGGAATGTGTGAAGCTGCCTTATGTGGAGACAGACCCACTGGTCCACATTACCTCAATATTGTCTACACTGACCGGCAGAGGCTCTCCAGGGCTTCAGACAGGGAATGTCTCCCAGTCCTACCTGGAGATGCCATTGGGGATTTAACCTGGGACTTTTTGCTTGCAATACATAATCTCTACCACTGAGCCCCTCTGCATTGAAGAAGTAGATAGGGATTTCTTTTAACTCACATGGCAGCAGTTCACTCATTATTTATTCTGTTTGGGTTGAGGGGGGCTAATTTGGACCTTTGGCAAGAACTGACTCTCCCCCCCCATCAGCTTTTATTCTTATATCTTGCTGTGCCTGGAATCCTACAGACGCCAGAACAGGAAATTGCTCTCTGATCTGACAGAATGAATTGGGCCCAGCTGCCTCAGCGGCAGAGGCTCCTTTCGCAGGCTGTGATGCACTCATGTTTTCTTTTTGACTCCTCTCTTCCGGTGTCTAGTGGCTGAGCGCCCCCAGCACATGTTGATGAGGGTGTCAGTGGGAATCCACAAGAACGACATCGATGCTGTAATTGAAACCTATAACCTCCTTTCTGAGAAGTGGTTCACCCACGCATCGCCCACTCTTTTCAATGCTGGTACCAACCGCCCCCAGCTCTCCAGGTAATCCGGGAACGTGGCCACTGGAAGAGGGAGCAATTGAGGATGATGTTGCTTAAGCAAAATGGTTTTCACTGTCTATAAAATGGGCATCAGCTGTCCCTTCCTTGCTCTTGCTTAGACTGCTCTACAGCTTTTACAGCAAGCATTTTTTCAGAAGGGTGCATTTGCTCATAAACAGAACAGTGCCTACCTAGAGGGTCTATTTGCTTGCTGTTGCTAATGAACAAGTTTCTCTCTTAACTGCTGGTGCTAATTGCTGGGCGTGGTGGGGAGGTATTGATTCAAAATTTCTCATATAAAGAAGAAGAAAATCCTTTCAGGGGAAAATTAATGTCCTATGACTTATGAAGTTAAGTGTTGTAGTGAAATTATAGCTGTCAGTTTGCACCCCTCCCCAAAGAAATCTGCGTGATGACTTTAAATGTCAGCTTGAGTGCTCTCTGTCCCCTCCTGTGGCATTTAACACTTCTGTTTCCTTCCATCCAGCTGCTTTCTGCTGTGCATGAAGGATGACAGCATTGAAGGGATCTACGACACTCTTAAGCACTGTGCGCTGATTTCCAAGTCTGCTGGGGGGATTGGTGTTGCAGTGAGCTGCATTCGAGCCACTGGCAGCTATATTGCTGGGGTGAGTTTTGAATTTTGAACACCCTGGCTGTGTTAGTGATTGCTGCAAAGCACCTTTTCCAACCCCTTGGGCTGCTGTGGCTTTAATGTAACTTAAATCAGGTCCTGCGTTATAAAAATGGCAGCATTTCCTATGTGGGGTTGGGCACCTGCCTCTTCAAGAGGAACAAGGTGCTCTGCGCCTTACGTGATGCCCATCTGCTTTCTCTTTGTTTCAGACCAACGGGAACTCTAATGGACTTGTCCCAATGCTGAGGGTCTACAACAACACAGCTCGCTATGTGGACCAAGGGGGGAACAAGGTGTGTTGGCTTCTTCCAGAGACTATGTATGCATTTGGGGGAGTGGGATTGCGAGTTCAAGTGCTTGAAGACGTTTCCAGCATTCTCCACTGCTCTTGTTCTGAAACTCCTTTTAAAAAAAATATTTTAATACAGATTAATCAATTTGATTGGGTGGAATGTAGTTCTACCTACCCAATTTTTAAAAATGTATTTCATTAAAACCATTTGTCAGTCACCTTTTAGCATTCAAAGTAGCATATAATAAATCTTGCTTGGTACACCACAGACAACAAATAATACACAGCATAAAGAAAAACTCAAGCAACAGTGTGGAGATAACAGGACAGAAGCCTGTTTGAATTGTTCACATGTTACCTGAACCATTGGGACCAATGACACATGTGAATTTCTTGAACGGTCCTATGCATTGTTTCCCTTGCCATGATTTGAAATTTTCCACCATCAAAAGCTGCAAGTATCCCATCTCGCCCGAAGGATTTTGAACGGGAGGAGCGGGGAGAAGAAGACCACCTTCTCACCTGGACGCAGCCTCACAGACCCATCCCTATTGTCTCCTCTCACCTTCTGAAACTCCTTTTAAGGAAAGCGCTTGTCATTCGCCACATCTCTACCATGAGAGTGCCTGGCAGTGTTTTTAGTTCCTTTTCAATGTGGGCACCTCAGACTTGCCACTGGGTAGTCCCATGGTGTAAAACAGGCATAGGCAACTTTCGGCCCTCCAGATGTTTTGGCCTACAACTCCCATGATCCTTAGCTAACAGGACCAGTGGTCAGGGATGATGGGAATTGTAGTCCAAAACATCTGGAGGGCCAAAGGTTGCCTTTGCCTGGTGTAAAAGTTTGCTTTTGTGGTGTCTCTGAGATACTGGAAGGGTTGCCCAGAAGTACAGTCAGCATTTGGGATTTTTTCCAAGCTCTCTTAGGCTCATGTTAAAGGTTTTGACTGCAGGGAGTTCAGTGAATAAAAATGCTCTGTAACGTATCTTGATCCCCCAGCTTCTTTCTATCTGTAGAGTTTCTCTAAAAATCACCCACTTAGAAAATTGACCTTGGAAAAACGTTCCAGTTTATGCCAGTTTTCTTATATCTATTATATAAGATGTGCAGGTTGGGCACCAAGAGACTGTCCTTGGATCCTCCTGGTTTGTAGTTCAAGGCTTCAAAAACCTTTTGAAGGTTGGGAGATCATCCAGTAAGATCTCCAATGTCGCGTGAGGTGCTTCATTTGGAAATTGAACAAAGTGTAATAAACATGCAGAAGCACTTGGGTGTGCTTGTTAGATTTTGCAAGCAGCCTTAGTGCAAGCAACCTAATCCGTTGTTTGGTTATAATCCAGGAAATGACGGAAAGCTTCAGCCAGGCAGAAGCCACTTAATTTTTCTTCTACCCTAGCGAGAAGCTAGGGGCAGAGATGCAACTTCCTGTATGCATCATTCTGATTCTTCTGTTTATTTGCTCTGCCAGAGACCTGGAGCCTTCGCCATCTACCTGGAGCCGTGGCATTTTGATATCTTTGAGTTCCTTGACCTGAAGAAAAACACTGGGAAGGAGGAGCAGCGCGCCCGCGACCTCTTCTACGCCCTCTGGATCCCAGACCTCTTCATGAAGCGTGTGGAGACCAACCAGGTGGGCAGCTGGGCTCACAGCACAGGCCCCTGCCAGCAGGGCTGCAAAGAGAGGGCAATGGCATGTGCCAGCAACAGTGCCCTTAACTCTGTTTTGAGTTACGTCTTCTCTTGTCAAGATACAGCCATATAACCGAGGAGTTACAGAGTAACACTGATTTGGGCAGTCTTGTAGTACCTTTCTCGGTTCCTCATGAAATGTATGCCTAGCAGCATAATGGATCAAGCCCTATGGCTTTAAAAACCCTAAAGGCAAAGTGACATTGGACCCAATATCTATCCAACAATCACTGATCAGTTCTGAGACACTGAAGAAGTTAGAAAACGGCTGTCTTGTTTTAGATAAGTCTAATTGGTTGTTTGTTTGTTTGTTTTGTTTCTTGTATCCCATTTGGTGAACCACAGGGTGTACTCAATCTTTTTAAAATGTTCTTTATTTTAATATAAAAACAATTCCCAACAGGGGGGTAATGCACAGAAGTAATGCTTTGTGTGTTTGGTTCTTCGTATTTCATTCTATTGAAAATGCAGTTGAGCTTCTAGAAAAAAAAATCTTTTGTGTTCTTCGCCCTTTCCACTCCCCGGAAGTGAGCTGAATTGATAAAAATGTTTTCCCTGTTGAGGAGGGAAAAGTGGTGACTAAAGTCTTTACTAAAGGCATGAAGGCTTGCTAATGTACATTTTGTCTTTGCAGTGTCCTGCTGTGTGGAAGATAAGAACAGTTTGTGTTTGTCCTTGCTTACTTTCAGTCTTTCTTTTGCAGGACTGGTCTTTGATGTGCCCCAATGAATGCCCGGGCCTAGATGAAGTCTGGGGAGAGGAGTTTGAGAAGCTGTATGAGAGGTATGAGAGAGAGGCTGGTGCATCCGTTGGCAAAGTTTGAGCCAGGAATAGCCTGACAACAGCAGCTCCTCCTTCACCTCGCCTTGCCCCTTAGCTGGATCTAAATGATTCCAGACAAAGTACCTTTTGAGTCTGCTTAGAAATGAAAATGGAATCAAAGCTCTTGTTACCTCTTTTCATTCTGTATGTTCTGAGTAGGAATTTGTAGCTCATTTATTGCAACTACCGTTCAGAAAACTTAATGGAACTACACTTTTTGCATTCCTCCCCCCCTTGGTCTGTATTCTGAAAATGGGAACTGGCAGTGCTCATCAGCTGGAGCTGGCCAAAAATCCAGACTCTTAAGAACAACACAAACTGCTTCTGTTACAATTTCCCCAAGGAACTCTGGGGAGCCTAAGAATTTTGCAACAGAGCTCTCAGCACTTGACCAGATCTGCAGCTCCCAGGATTCCCTGGAGCAACCCAATACCATTACACTTGTTCATAGTTTAGGTGTGCTGTTGTGCACCTCCTGTTCAGGGGCCTTGTTCCACCAGGAGTTCGTGAGGTTTCAGTGTCCTTGCTTTGCAAATGAAAACAAGATGCTTGTGAGCCTATTTTCAGAAACACCAAGCGGGTCCCAGTGACGAGTCTTGCTCTGTCTTGCAGCTATGAGAAGCAGGGGCGTGTCCGCAGAGTGGTGAAGGCTCAGCAACTCTGGTATGCCATCATAGAGTCTCAGACGGAGACAGGAACTCCTTACATGCTGTACAAGGACTCTTGCAACAGGAAGAGCAACCAGCAGAATCTGGGAACTATCAAATGCAGCAACCTGTGCACAGAAATTGTGGAATACACCAGCCAGGATGAGGTGGGTTGGGTAGGAACCAGGTGCCACTGCGGCTCAGCGGAGTCCGTTTTAGGGAAGGCGTTCCTATGAGATGTATTTGGGGGAGCCACTGTTCTCCCATGATTTGCCAATCAAAAGGCCAAAGGGATGTTCAGATGCCGTGAGAAGTGGGAAATTCCTGCTTTGTTTTAAGGAAACTCATCTGTGCAAAATGAGAACAGGCCTTTTCTCTGGTGGCTCCCCCTTGGGGACTGCTCTCCTCTGGGAGGCTCACCTGGCACCCTCCTTGCATATCTTTAGGTGCCAGGCACCAGGAAAAAACATTCCTCTTCAGCCAGGCCTTGGGCTGTTAAACAATCTATGGCCTTTTAAGTGTGTACTGTGCTTGTCTTGTTGTTATGCATTTTGTGTTTTTATGCTGTAAACCACCCTGTGATCTTTGGGTGAAGAGTGAGTGGTATATAAATTTTAAAAAATATTTTAATAATAATGATAATGATGTAGAATTCACTGCCAGGTGAAAGGAACACAGCTAGAAATTAATGATGTGCATAGATATATCTAGAGCAAGGAAGACTGGCACTACCCATCTGGTGGTGTGGGCAGTGTGTGTGTGTGTGTGTGTGTGTGTACACAGAATGAGGATCATAAGTGGTGTTGACAGCATGTCTGAAAGGACTAGGAGTGTCTAGCTTTTGAGAAATAAGAGGTGGAGCGGTTGGGATTTGTGTATGTTGAGTTACTGCCCTCTTCTGACATTTTGAAGATTTATTCCTCACAGGATCACTGAAAATAGAATTGGAAAGCAATGGTTTTGATTACTCCTTACCATATTTGAGCACATCAGCATAGCATACCTGCCTGGGCAGCCTGTAGGATCTTCCCCATAGCATTTAGAACTGGATTTAGAGCTCTGCATTTAGGCAGAGGGTGTCCTGGCTCAAAGCAGGTGTTTGGCCTACGGGTGGCTCTTCAGATCCTGCCATTCCAGGTAAATGGTTGATGAGCCTGTAATGGGGAACATCTTCCGCCATACAGTTTGTAACCCTTTCCCCTCTCTCTACTGCATACATTGCTTTAGCCATTGAGCGCTGCTTCCTTCTTTGCCTATTCCAGGTTGCGGTTTGCAACTTGGCTTCCTTAGCCCTGAATATGTACGTCACTCCCGAGCACACTTACGACTTCAAGAAGCTGGCCGAGGTCACCCGGGTCATTGTCCGGAATCTGAACAAGATAATCGACATCAACTACTACCCTGTGCCAGAGGTACGAAGGAGGAATTGGTAGCCCTAGATTGAGAGGTGCTCTTGGTAAGGCTGGTTGTTCAAGGTTGAGGGACTACAGAGAACCAGCAAGTTCAACTACTTCCTTTGAAGGGCGGCTGACACTATGGAGAAACTTAAGGATGTGGCAGTTTCTGTATTCCTCATGTATTTTCCCCCCTAAAGCACATTCCTTGTTAGCCAGGCATTAGCTAGTGGGCTGTGGGAAGCACACAATACATTAGTAGGGGAAGAATGATTTGCCTGAAACCAGAGCTTGCCCATTCCAGGTTCTTAACTCTCTGACGACCCCCCCCCTTTTCTCCTTTTGTCCTTCACAATGTGTTGCAGGCCGAGACCTCAAACAAGCGCCATCGTCCGATTGGTATTGGTGTGCAGGGGCTGGCTGATGCCTTCATCCTCATGCGATACCCTTTTGAGAGCGCAGAGGCCCAGCTGCTCAACCAGCAGATCTTTGAGACCATTTACTATGGTGCCCTAGACGCCAGCTGTGAGCTTGCCAAGGAACACGGGCCGTACGAAACCTACGAGGGCTGCCCAGTCAGCAAAGGCGTAAGTGGCAAAGTTTAGAAAGGTTTTTGAACCAATGGTATTGAGGGTCCTTTGGACAAATCTGTCGGATTGGAACTTGTGGAATCACAAACTGAGATGCCAAGAAGTGCCACAACTCCAATAAATGTCTGCTGGACTACACTGAGATGCTGAACTAATTTAAGGGTCCATTTCACCATTATTTCACCCTATGACTGGTGTTGTTGAATCTGGCCTTTTGGCACAGAGTTCAGATATTCATGAATACCCAGTTTCATTTTTTTAAAACAAGTTCCTAGCCCTTAGTTCCTACAAGATGCCCCTGCAAGCTTTTTCTTCAAAAGCATTCTTTCTTTGTAAGCATTTTTACACTTGAGTGAAATGTCTGCTTGCATCTGGATTTGCTAAACTTCTAAATCCTTAGGTATATTTTGAAGCTCTCAAATTCTTCCAAGTGTTCTGCTTTTCCTCTTCCTTTTCACTTAAAAAACCTGGGATCTCCAGAATGCTGTATAGTGTCCATCACAAATCTCAGTCTAGATGGAAGTGTGGAGGTTTGTGATCATGACTGGTTGAGATTAATAAGTTGCACAGCTGTGGATTTTCACCACGTGCCCTCAACGTGTCTGAGATGCTTTTTCTTAGACATGATTGTCTCAGATTCATTGTGATGAAATTCATGGCTGAAACCTGAAGGATGAATTGCCACATCCATGGAGAGAAACCATCAACTCATGCCTCTGTGGAGAGCTTGGCATTTGCCATGTGGTGTCTAAGCAGGAATTGAAGCACCATGTATGAACCAAAAATTGCAAGAAGCCTTGACCTGAAGGAAGCTGCTTTTCTCTTCATTCCCCCCTTTTGTTTTATATTGTGGGCTTTCCTGTGGTAGCAGGCAGGCTGCACACCCTCACTTAGATGGCAGGTTTGGTTTGACGAGATGGTTTGTGCCTTTTCTTCAGATCCTTCAGTATGACATGTGGAATGTGACCCCTACAGACCTTTGGGACTGGAAGGCTCTGAAGGAGAAGATTGCAAAGTGAGTAAAAGCCCTTGATCTCTTTGGCGCAGTGTGCCTTGGGCAACACCTAGAGCTGGCTGGTGATGGGGTTGATGGGTGAAGAGTAGCAAAGCATGCATGGTGGGACCCCATGCTTCTGAGAAGAGGTGGAGCCAATTTCAACCAAAGGAACAGGGTAGCTCTAAACTGAGGGTGTTAAAACTGCAGCTTGAGCTATGTAAGAGCACAGTCTTCTCCCTGATGCAGCTCTCATTCATTTCTGTGCAGCTTGCACAGGAAAACTCAACAGTGTATTCTGATCTTGGGATATCCAGTGTTCATTCTAGGAGCAGATGCAGTAGAATCAAGTCCGTTAATTTCAGTGGGACTACTCTGTGACTTAGTTGCTTTTGTTTAACACCAGACCTTGAGATCCTTTTGAATGCTGGGGGAATACAAGCACTTTAGGGTATTATCAATCACCTGCAACCAACCTTGCAGATGGTTCCGCTGGGCAAGATAATTTTTAATTGGTCAAAACCGGGCTTTCCTTAACTGATGCCGAAGGTTGATTCTCTGAAGATGGTGATCCTCTTCAACAATCACGGGTCCCTGTTTTCTGTGATTTAGGTACGGGGTTCGGAACAGCCTCCTACTTGCACCAATGCCGACGGCTTCTACAGCTCAGATCTTGGGCAACAATGAGTCCATTGAGCCCTATACAAGCAACATCTACACGCGCAGAGTTCTCTCTGGAGAGTTCCAGGTAAGGCAGCAGTAGGGTGGCCTTGAGCAATTCAGGGGTAAAGGTGGGTGCTGCGCCTGAGATCCCGATGTCCTCCTTGCCATCCTCTCCAATAAAATTCAGCCCCCGCCTCTTGTGAGTGCCAGAACCACAGGCCTGGTTCACACACAACATTAAACTCTAGTTTACTTTGAACAAACCTTGGCTCTGCTGCCCTTGGTTTGGAGAGAGTTGGGGATTGTTTCCCCCGCTGTGTGGAGCAGTCAGGGGCAGGAGAGGAGCTAAGCAAGTCTGCACATTAAATCGTGGCTTCGTGTTGTGCGCAGACCAGGCTGCTCTTTGGTGGCTCATGGCTCCAATATGGGCTTCAAGGGGAAATGGTTGCAAAATTCAAGATGCTAGCTCTGGTGGACTGGCATGTGAGATTTAGATGAGCTTCAGAAAAGGGCAGCCAGAATTATAAAGGAGATGGAGCAACCCCCCTCCCCTGTGATGAAAGGTTGCAGCATTTGGGGTTTTTTAATTTAAAGAAAAGGCAAGTTAGAAGGTACGCGATAAAGGTGTATGAAATTATGCCTGGCATAGTGTGATGGCTTGTGTATGCTCTTCGCAATAAGCACCCTCTGCTCACTCAGATATTTACAGTTCTTTATTTTACATATGTACAAACAGCACATTACAATCACACGTCCAAATCGTCCTGTTCAGATTCGGGGAGTGGTCTTCTCCGGCTTCTCCTCCAACAGAAAAGGCGGGGAAGTTTCATGGGACGTCTCTGATCCCTGCATTTTAACCCTCTCCTTTCCTGTGCAGACGGCACAGGCACAGGATCACCGTCTGTTCCTGAACTTCCTGTGCGGTGCTGGGGCTCTGCTTCAGCATCGGAGAGCCTTTCCGCCTCCTGGCTCTCTCCCTCTTCCCCAATCCGTCACTTCCTCTCTATCTTCCTCTGACTATTCCCGCTCCTCAAAGGCGTTCCCTGGCAGTCCCGTGACACATAGAGGACAGAGAGAAGCTTTTCTCCCTCTCCCGTAACACTGAAACTCGTGGACATCCAATGAAGCCGAATGTTGGAACATCACGCAGCACAGAGCCAAACTGTAGAATTGGCTGTCCCAAAAAATGGTGATGGACACTAACTTAGAGAGCTTAAAAGGGAGATTGGACGCATTAGCAGGAGTTGCCAGTGGCTACTAGTCATAATGGCTGTGCCCTGCCTTCAGGAACTGAGGCAGCCCACAAACTTCTGAATGCCAGTTCCTGGGAACCGGAGATACATATGTGGGGCGCATCATGCCCTGCCTGCCTGCTTGTGGGCTTGCCAGAATCTGGCTGCAGCAGCAAACAGAACACTGGCTGCTTGCTGTAAGTGAGCATGACTTCCGGTTTTTGCAGATAGTGAATCCCCACTTACTAAAAGACCTGACGGAGAGGGGCCTGTGGAGCGAGGAGATGAAGAACCAGATCATTGGCTACAATGGCTCTATCCAGGTCAGTCGCCGGGGGGTGGGGGGCTTTGCCAAGGGGGCTGTGTCTGCGTGGAGGCCTCAGTTCTATACCCGGCTCCATATGCGAGAAAGAGCTTCCTTCCTCTTATGTGAAGATGCTAAAAAGCGAGAGAGAGAGAGAGAGAGAGAGAGAAAGAAAAGAATGCAAGAAAACCATGCCCTTCAAACATACCTGCTACCTTTTTGTGTCTGTTCATTATTTAAATGGGGATAAACAACAGTATAGTCAGTTGAACATTGAAATTGTTAACATCCAGTAAGGCTGCACAGTGCAGGGCTGAGAAAGCAGACAGGGAGTGGTTTTTCCTCCCTCGCCTAATGCTAGAACCTAGTGGGGCCATAGGGTGAATCAGAATTTTAGAAGATTCAGGACAGATCAAAAAAAGCTAAACCATAGCATTTGCTCACACAAAATGTAGTGACGGCCACCAACTTGGATGGCTTTAAAAGAGATTTGGACAAATTCATGGAGGATCTGGCTATCAGTGGCTGCTAGACTCAATAGCTATCTTCTCCCTCCCCTGTTGGAGGCCTTTACCTCTGAATACCAGTTTTTGGGAATCCCAAGAGGGGAGAGTGGCTGTTTCACTTAGGCTCTGCTTATGGCCTCTTTCCTTGGGGGCACCTGGTTGGCCACTGTGAGAAGAGGATGCTGGACTAAATGGACCCCTGGCCTCATCCAGAAGGGCTTTGCTTAAGTAGGTGAGGCTGGTTTGGGGATAGAATCAGCACGGGATGACTTGGAGGGTGCGAGAGAGCACAGCCTTGCTGAATCTCGCAGCAGATTTTGATAGCGTTGACTTTGATTTCCTTCTGGATTCTCCACGTGAGTCGGGAGTTGGCCAAATCCAGCCCCCCATCCCTGGTGTAAGCCAAAAGCAACCTTCCTGTCCACAGGGAGTCATCCTGTAGGCCTTCTGCCTTTCAGAATATCCCTGAGATCCCAGATGACTTGAAACAGCTCTATAAGACGGTGTGGGAAGTCTCCCAGAAAACGGTCCTCAAGATGGCAGCAGACCGAGGGGCCTTCATTGACCAGAGCCAGTCTCTCAACATCCACATTGCGGAGCCCAACTATGGCAAACTGACCAGCATGCACTTCTACGGGTGGAAGCAGGTAAGCAGAGCGGCAGGGAGGGAACCACCCTAATACAAGTTTTTCGTGTTGATCTTGTAGGTTATGTTTTTAGGCTATTACAATATAGCCCTGATAACAAGCCATTGTGCTCAGGCCTTGTTTTGACAAGTCCTGCAAACCTTGTCCAGGGGGAAATCCTGGCTCATATGGTTCTGCCTGGTTTTTGAATTGAATTGGCAGTTTAATACTTATATAAAGCGTGGAATACTTATGGAAGATACAGAAAGTATAGAAAAGGATAGTTATTACATAGATTGTAGCTGCCAACAGTGGTAATATAATAATAGTAATAATTTATTATTTATACCCCGCCCATCTGGCTGAGTTTCCCCAGCCACTCTGGGCGGCTTCCAGTAGAGGGTTAAAAACAATACAACATTAAATAACGTAAGGTAACGTCCTTCCCTGGATCCTGGGTGTTCTGAGTTACCTCCTGTTACTGTGGTGTCGGGAGCAAAACCTACTCAAACTGCTTTAATTCCTCTCATCTATCATCTATCTATCTATCTATCTATCTATCTATCTATCTATCATCTGTCTGTCTGTCTATCTATCTATCTATCTATCTATCTATCTATCTATCATCTGTCTGTCTATCTATCTATCTATCTATCTATCTATCTATCTATCTATCTAATCTATCTCACCCTTTCCTGCCCACAGGGCTTGAAGACTGGCATGTACTACTTGAGGACAAAGCCTGCGGCCAACCCCATCCAGTTCACCCTGAACAAGGAGAAGCTGAAGGACAAGAGCTTCAAGGAAGAGGAGGAGAAAGAGAGGAACAAAGCAGCCATGGTGTGTTCCCTGGAGAACAGAGATGAGTGTCTCATGTGCGGGTCTTAAGCAGCTGCCCGGCGTGGAGGCCCCTCTTACCTCTCCTGCTCCAGCCCCAGCTAGGTTAGTTAGGTCTAGTTCACTTTGGAGGGAAGAGAGAGGCTGCCATTCTGCTTCAGGAGGGGGTCAAACAGTTGTGGGTCGCTGGGTGCAGTGGTGTCCTTGCTTCCCCTTCAGGTGGCAAAGCTGTCTGGGTCATCCAAGTGGGGTGGCGGCGGCAGCAGCAGAGGCAATCTGCACCCACGGCTGTTGTAGCAGGAACCTTTAAGTGCCCTTTTATTATCTTACCCATAATGTAAATAATAGTAGGCTCCTTTAAAATGCACATAAAGTTTGCACGTCTTGTTATGCTTGGGGAACAAGGACTCCTTTTGACAATCGCTTCTTATGCCAAAATCTCCACCAGCCTGTCTTGTTACCCAGAGAGACAACATCTCATCTCCAGCCCTTGGGGTCTAGCCCTCTCTCTCTCGGTCTTAAGACGAACAGTGTGCAGTCGGGGAGCTGCAGAGCAGGGAGAGGGAAAGGGAGCATATTCTTTGCTCATCATGTGGGCCTGCAACTTGCTACTTTAGGACGCACAACTTGTCATGTGGTGCCACAGCCCATACCAGCCGCTTCTGGAGATGGGCTTAGAGTTACTGTTACATAGAGGGAATGTTTTCCCTTTTCCTTCACCGGCTGTGAATTCTGGGGAAAAGCCACTGGAAGGAGCTTGGATTAAGCATCCAAAAACTGGGCTTGGTTTAGCAGTGTTATTCTTTGCCACAAAGCTGCTGTGGCCACTCCCTCCTTCTCTGAAGAACGACGTTTACTGGGCTGAGCGGTTTATTTTATAAAGACAAGAAAAAAATGCACACCACAAACTAAACCATGCCTTTTTTCTTCAGTTCTTTGCCATTCCCATCGGAATTAAGTGGCCTAGTTCTGGACTATTTATTGAATTTGGGTACTCTGCATGTAGACTTGAATCCTTTAAGCAAATTCAGTGCATCAATAAAAGCCATGGTGTAAAGTTGGTGTCCAGCATTTCTTGGGGCTAAAGAGCCTGGAAATTTATGTCTTTGTTCGAAATGGCCAAAGTCATTGGCTTGGCATCTTTGTGTCAACTGCTCTTCCATGCTTTTCTGGGATTATGTACAACGGTACAAATCACTTTCCTGAGTAAAATTCCTAAATGAACTGCTAGTTTTAGGATTACACTGCAGGCAGGGAAGGGAGAATACGACAAGTTGAACATTATTATTATTTATTCAATGTATATCCCATCCTTCCTCCCAAAGGAGCCGGGGTTGAGGCAAAAACACCCACAATAATAATTTTTTAAACAGCATTCTAAAAACAGTTAAATCATTCTACAAAAAAAGTAGGGGTTCAAACATTGCCAGGACGTTGTCCTTCAGCTCTGAAGTGCTAGGGTAAACAGGGTTATTTTCAGATTCCTCCTGGAAGTTAGAGTCGTAGAATTGTAGGGTCTAACCCCCTGTAATGCAGGAGTCGCGGTTAATAACGTTGGGAGACAGGCACATCTCGCGCGAGAGAGCATTCCATAGATGGGGAACCACAACTGAAAAGGGCTTACAAGCTCCGTGGCGGCACCACCAAGACTCACCTGCCCATCATAGGTTGCCAGATGGTTGATATTGGGAAGGTGCTCTTTTAGGTACTTTGCTCCCAAGCCATTTAGGGCATTACATGCTAGTATTAACCTTGAATTGGGCTCAGCTCACTAGCAGCGTTTTCAGAACTCGTGGCGCATGGGGTCGCCCCACTTAATCAGCCTGGTAGCCGCCTGCGCTACCTTCAGTCTCTGGACCTTCAAGGGCAGCCCCACATGATTACAGTAGTCCAAGTGGGAGGTCATTGTGGTGTGGACCACGGAGACCAGGCTGTCCTGTTCCAGGAACAACCATAGCCGGTAAGCCAGTCTAAGCCAAGCATAAGGACTCCTAGCCACAGAAGCCACTCTGGGTGACAAATTGGAATTTCAGGCTACATTGTCGAAAGCCACTGGGACCAAGGGCTTAAACTGATCAAGGTCTTAAGTCTGGATGACTGATGGTGCCAGAACTAGGCCTGGATCCCACTGGGATGGATATAGGAAGGGTTCCCAAATTTTGGGGAGCCACACCCCGTTTGGTTTCGTAAACTCCCCAGTGCCCCATACCTTAACATAAAAAAGCTGTTTGCATTATCCTATAAGGAAAGCAATAGCTGGTCACTTAAGTGTCCTTGTCAATATCCCAAAAGAATGAGCCCAACTGCAAGAGCTACAGCCAAATGATGGTGCCCTCCACGTTAATGGGGGGGGGGGGGCTTCCAGTCTCACCTAGCTGCTACCTAGAACAGGAGCCAGAGAGCTGGGTGTGGGAGCTGGAGACACAGAAACCTGCTTGCCCTGTGCTGGATCCCAAGCTGCGATGAGCAGAGAAGCAAGACCTGTTGGGGTGATGATGCTGTGAGCCTCTCAGTCTTATGCTCGGGTTGAACATATGGGGAAATAAAACCATATATCCTAAAGACACCACAATCTCCGCTGACAATTCCAAGGAAACCAAACCTGGGTAAACAACTGGAATCCCCGGAGACTCGCCACTCAGAGATTGGAGTGGCAGATAACAATATCTGTATACCCTCCATGCTGTTTAATGCCTGTGCTACTTATTTAAAAGGAAAGGTCCCTGCTCCAAGGTGAGCCACCTGGTCACAAAGCAGCTCCCATGTTGCCACTATTATTATTATTTTGTTTTGTTTATTTGTACTCCACTCATCTGACTAGGTTGCCCCAGCCACTCTGGGCAGCTACCAGCACATATAAAAGCATAGTAAAACATCAAACATTTAAAACTTCCCTATACAGGGCTGTCTTCAGATGTCTTCTAAAAGGTGTGTAGTTGTTTATCTCCCTGACATCTGATGGGAGGGCATTCCACAAGGTGGGTGCCACTACCAAGAAGGCCCTCTGCCTGGTTCCCTGTAACTCCAGAGAATGGGAACTTGTGTGGGGTGTTCAGAGGGCGGTAGTAGTACCTGTGGTGGGGGACATCATCATCATCAATTGAATTTTATTCCGCCTTTTGTCAGTAGATCTCGCGGTGGTTCACAACATAAAAATACAAGATAAAAACGAACAAGAACAAAAAAAACCCAATAACCCCCTCCCACAAATACATTTAAATGGTTATAGGATGTTAGCCAGAGGCCTGGTTGAAGAGAGGCGCTTTTGCCTGGTTCCTGCAGGTACACAATGCAGGTGCCAGGTGAGTCTCTTGGGGGAGAGCATTTCACAGATGTGGAACCAGTGCAGAAGAGTCCAGTTCTCGTGTTGCCACCCTCCGGACCTTACCTGGAGGAGGCACACCTACCTTACGTAAGACAGGATTCGGAAGAGCAGTTTGCACGACCCACTAAGGTAAGGTTACCAGATTTTTTTCAGTGCATTGGGGGACACTTTTCACCTTCCTACTAAATAGATGGATTTTGTCAGGGGACTGATTTGTGGAAACGGGGACGCCTGGTAACCTTGCACTAAGGAAGGTAACCACACAATAGCATTAAAAACAGTAACAATTGCACATTTATTCACAATCCAGTTACAACTAATTAATTCAACAAAACTGATGATGCAGAGATGGCAGCTTTTCAAAATCTGGTCGTCATTTACACCTCTGCTGCAACGTTCCCCTTTTTTAAAAGGGAAATTCCCTTATTCCGAATAGGATTCCTCGCAAGAAAAGGGAAAAGTTGAAAGCTATGCCCCTATGCTGCCCCGTTGCCTCTTAGTTCCCCCCCCCCCCCGGTAATCCCACCTTCCCACAAGGGGTGGCTCCTCCCACTTTGAGAAACGCTGATCTGCACCCTTTCATGGTGGGAGCTTGAGAGAGATGCCAGGATTAGGAATGCAAATGGAATACTTAAAACCATCACCTGGTCCATTTCAGGTGCCTAATTTCTGGGGACCAAACAGAGCCCACCTCCACTTCCTGAAAAGCCTCAGGATGCTTTCCCGAATCTCCTTGGTCCTCACTCCGTAAATGACGGGGTTGATGGCCCACGGGAACAGCAGGTACATGACGCTGAGCAGGTTGTGGACGTCTTGGGAGGCCGACTTGGCCAGGCGGAAGACGATGGAGGAGGAGAGGCAGGAGGAGTAGCCGATGAAGAGGACGATGAGGTGTGTGCCGCAGGTGTGGAAGGCCTTGTGGCGGAAGCTCCCAGAGGCCATTTTCAGGGCCGTGAGGATGATTTTGCTGTAGGAAAGGGCGAGGAAGACCAGGTCAAAGACGATGGTGAAGGACCTCACGGCCATGCCCACCACCCGGTTCCTGGAGGTGTCCCCGCAAGACAGCTTCATCAGGGCCATGTGCTCGCAGGCAAAGTGCTCGATGACGTTGGAGCGGCAGAAGCGCACCTGGGAGGCCAGGATCACCACCGGGCTGACGATGGACACGCTCCGCACCAGAGCGGCAGCCGCCAGGAGCCCCAGGAGCTTGCCGGTCAAGATGTCGGCGTAGTGGAGAGGGTGGCAGATGGCCACGTACCTGTCCAAAGCCATCATGAGGAGGATGCCCGTGTCTAGCATGATGGCCAGGTAGAGGAAGAACATCTGGACCAGGCAGCCGGTCAGAGAGATGCTGCTGATCCCGAACAGGAAGCTCAGCAACATCTGGGGGAGGACTGTGGTGCTCCCAAAAACATTGACTGCCAAGAGCAGCGCAATAAGGAGGTACATTGGCGAGTGGAGGCAGCTCTCCGCCTTCACGGTGTAGATCAGCAGAGAGTTGGCGAAGATGATCATCAGGTAGATGCAGAAGAAGGGGATGGCAAGGAGGTACCTGGACTTCTGGAAGCCGGGGAAGGCGAGGAGGAGGAAATCCGTGTAGGAGGTGTTGGCCGAGGTGTTCTGGACCAGCTCAGAAGGGCCTCCAAATTCGGACATGGCTTTGGACCTGAAACGGGGGGAAATGGGGAAAGGTCTTACTTTGTTGTCAAGTATTTGTGGCTGCTGTGTGATTTGATCATAGCCTACAATGACTACCGGTCCAGTATACCTGAAGGAGTGTCTCCACCCCCATTGTTCTGCCCGGACACTGAGGTCCAGCTCCGAAGGCCTTCTGGCGGTTCCCTCGCTGCGAGAAGCCAAGTTACAGGGAACCAGGCAGAGGGCCTTCTCGGTGGTGGCACCCGCCCTGTGGAACGCCCTCCCACCAGATGTCAAAGAGAAAAACAACTACCAGACTTTTAGAAGACATCTGAAGGCAGCCCTGTTTAGGGAAGCTTTTAATGTTTAATAGGTTATTGTATTTTAATATTGTGTTGGAAGCCTCCCGGAGTGGCTGGGGAAACCCAGCCAGATGGGCGGGGTATAAATAAATTATTATTATTATTATTATTATTATTATTAATAATAATATTATTATTATTATTACCAGCCACGCTGGCTCTGCTCTGCCTCCACGATCAGAGGCAGTGATGCACCTGGAAACCAGCTGCTGGAAACCTCAGGAGGGGAGAGGGTTCTTGTTTTCGAACCCTGCTTGCGGGTTCCCCGTAATGCGCGTCTGGTTTGCCACGGTGAGAACAGGATTCTGGGCTAGATTCGCAAGGGCTCTTGTTACGTTTTAACCTCTTATGTACACAGCAACTTGTTTGTAGCTCAAAAAGGCAGTTTTTCCTCAATCTGGAATCGTTCCCACTTGCCCTCAACCTAGAATCATTTACTTGCAGAGTGGGACGGGACCCTAGCTGTCAACGTTTCCCTTTTTTAAGGGAAATCCCCTTATTCTGAATAGGATTCCTTGCAAGAAAAGGCAAAAGTTGACAGCTATGGACAGGACCAAGAGGGCCATCTGTTCCAAGCCCTACAATGCAGGAATATTTTGCCCAACGTGGGGCTCGAACCCACAACCTTGAAGAGTCTCATTCTCTACAGGCTACTTTCCACTTGATTCTGGAAACTGCCATCCACCAAAAGGAGTGTGGTTACTTGATACATGTTTGAAAGCCCTTCCTATG